GTGTCGTGGATTTTATTGGATCGTTGCTGTTGTTTCTTTATACAACTCTAGTGCTTGGACGTGTTTTCAACCCTAAAGATCGTCAGTTGATAAGTCGTATCTTAAATACAGTTGTATTACTCTTTATTGCTGCGTCGCTGATGTCATTTTTAAGCTTGGCAATTGAACGATTTTTATCCGTCGTTTATCCGCTATGGCACAAAGTTCACGTCTCAAACAAAGTCTGTAGGTACTGGCTTGCTGGAATGTGGCTGTTCGTTTTCACTTCTGAGTTATTGCAGCTCTTAATAGAGAGTATCGAATTTGAACTTTTTCGAGTTGGTTTTTTTTTCATTGAGTACTGCACCACCAACATGCTATATTTTGCGACATATATATCAATCGTGAAACAACGCAAGGCCCTCGAGAAAAGCAGCGAATCAAGTCATATCAACAAACGAGCAATACAGATTCGCCTGAGAAATGAAAAAAGTTTTTTGTCAACGGTAGCGATAGTTTGTGTTATTTTTACAGTGCTAGTTTCTCCAACGATTGCTTCCCTTGTTCTCATTTTTCTGAAGAAGAATAGATTAAGCGACGTTGCCAAAAAAATCACGCGCTACGTTCCTTGGGTATTTGTTATGGCGTCTCTGAACTTCGCCATTAATGTACCGATATACGTTTGGCGTCTACCTAAATATAGAAAAACTTTTAAGAAACTTTATTGCCGTAATTAGACACAGGTTTCCTGAGATGATTACTAAGTTTTGCCGTAGAAGTTATATTTAAAGATACGTAATATGATGACTCTGAAGTTTGTATACGTACGAGAATTAAACTACCGACATATGTGTTGTATTTGGTCAAACAGGAGCATCCTTTATGATTCCACCTTTCCAATCATGCGCTTTTCCTTAGTTTGTCGTCAAAACGATGTCTTTCGTTTTCACGGGTTTAGAAAGTAGTTTTATAAAAACGTAAAGCTGTGGCGGATTCAAGGTTAGGCAAAATAAATTATAAATGCTGCTGATTTCTAAATTTGCAGAACATAACATTACCTATCGTTAGGTTGTTGTAATATTATGCTCATAACGCTGGCTCTGCTAGAGGGGTGTAGCCTAGATTGGATGTATCATTTAACGTATGATTCGTTTTTTCATATTCTCAACTGCTGACTCATACCGTTGTACAAAACTTAACAGCAACTATAGCCCATTCTAACTTCAATTAAAGCTTCCACAAATAATCATAGGAGGGGGAGGGGTAGTGCAGATCTCACGGTTGTGCTGGTTTTCTCTGACATCAAGGAAACGTCCGACAAATATCGTGGGACTACTTAAAAGACTACTTCAAGCATAAACGCATAAAAAATGTTCACGGCCAAGCAACAACCCCCCCTCCCCACCCCGAAATAAAAGTGTGGTTTAGCCCTGTAAAATGCGTTGATGGTGATTTTGCTAGGACAACAAAAGAGTTTTTCATTGACCAAAAAGCTATTATGTCTCGCATGCACATCCGACGGAATACTTTATCTCTTAAGATACTTAGTGATGATCTTCCTAGAGGGTTTCATCATTCATCCCTGTCCGCACACTCACAATTTTTACAAATGCTCAGAATCTGTTATTCCGTGATAAAGTACCTCTAAACTCAGGAATAGAGATATTGCGGGCTGTTCTGTCGTAGTGTTTGAAAAGATTGAATTATCGAATGATCGTTTCAAATTTGATGGATTTTTTCGACCCAGCAAAAAGTTTCCAACGAAAAATGCGAGAGCTTGTAGTTTACGATGGTAATCTGGCGCTTAATGTTGTGCTTGACAAAAAGCTTTAAAGTACTACACTGGCACTTTGACTCGTAAGCGACTGCGCTTTTTCTATGAAAACGCAGTTTTTTTACAATGTAACTTCTAATCCGATAAGAAGTTGTAATTGGACGTTCTTCCTGAGAGCACACTAAGCAGTGGATCGTTTTAACAAGAGAAATGTCAACATGATTTTATGAAAGGAGCTCTGAGCAATTTTAGCTGTACTCGAAAATTGCATTGCTCGAGCCAGACAGGTGTAATATGGTAAGTGAAACAAGTCCATTCTCGTTACAGTGGCTTTTCGAAACTGGCTCAACTAGAATCCAAAAAAGAACTCATTCAGTTTCCAAGTCAGCAAAAAGGAATTATCTTTATACGAACAGTGGCCAAGATGGAACCCAGAGTCAAAGTTCGACATCGAATAGTCCGTTGTTAATATTACACCATTCTGTATCGCTCTAGCTTGTTATCCGGGCCAGCTCGCCTTCATATAATCAGGTCCTAACTTCTTTTAAAAATGTAATTTTCAAAAAAAATCAGCATTGCATAGCAATTATTAGTATTGTATATGAATATTGATTAATATTGGCCAATTCAATTAACGTTCTATTCACTCCCACGAGAGTCGCTGCACATTACTTATATGAACGTGTTTTCAAATTGGGTTAACGACACAACGTCTCTCGCTCTTTAGATTCATCATTTTTGTTGTGTATTGTTTTCCATTGCATTTCGAACCAATCATATTCTCTGATCATGTAGGTGGATAATGATTAAATATTTTTGAACAACTTGTCTGCATTCTTTTTTTTGCTTGACATTTGTCGAGTGAGGATGCCTAGCTTTAGAAGTCAAGATTTTCGCTGTGTCGACGAAAAGTTTGAGGAAGCTCTTTGTAGTGACGTTAGAGCAAATAATACGGGCTCAATGTATTAAGAAAAGAAAGGCTTCAGATGAAATTCTTTCACGATTTTCACATTGGTTAAAGAGAAGAGAAGTCTGCGTCAATCTCAAAAGAAGGTGAATAATGATAATTGATAGATCATTCGAAAGATATTAGTGTCGTGTCTGAGCATGAATTCGAGGCGGTAATATACCTAAATTACGATTATGAAGATGTCCTGGTAAGGTTTACGTTGTAGTCAAATGGAAGAATTTAAATTGTTTGAATGAAAGTAAGTATTTGTAAAGTATTAAAATTATAAAGCTTAAGGGCTGATTACATGACCCCGGGTAGCCGGGATTCAGCCAAGCGTTAAATGATTTTGGCGAGTGGAAACGTTTCAATACTTATCATCAGATAAATCTTTTCGAGTAATTTTACAATATTCTGATTTAATAACTACGCAAAACATTTAAAATTAAAACAACCAATTTGGCCTAATTTGAGAATTACAACAGGAATGACTTGCAACATTTAACAAACAGTTCTAGTTTTTAACTTTGAAGTTTTTGCCTCCTATTAATCCCTCGAAATCATTTCACGCCTCACTGTATCGCGGTTAACCGGGATCGTGTAAACATCCCTAATGGTGTATGGTTGAAAATTGGGATCGTCAATTCCCTAATTCCACTAATAAATAAACACAAGCGAGGAATCTTAAGTTTTTTATTCTCGTGAGACTTGTGAAGACAAAAAAACAGAATTTTCTTTTGTTCATTATTTAGTTTGCGCTTAGTTTTGCTTATTCTTGTGCTTATGTTAAAGCTAAACTTCCTTGCTTCATTTCAGTATTGTCTTCGTTCAGTGCTTTATCGTCATTTTGTTGGTAAATTATTTTAATTTGCGAATTTAAGTATTTCAATGCATGAGTGTTGGCAAGTCGGGTCAGGCAAAGGACAACACGTCCTCATGTAACTTTGGCTTTGCATGAGCAGCGCCTAAAGACATAAAAATCATACTTATGGCAGGGCGTCCAAGCTTTCAAACACAACCATTTGTTCAGAAATTCATTTTTAAACGAAATAATTCAAAAAGTGAAAACCAATATGATGAACGGTTGAGAATCGCCGAAGATAAAGAGGAAAGATGGCAGCAAAGTGAGTGATTTCACTACAACTCTTAATAAAACAGATAAACAAAACAAAAGCTATGATGTTTGACATATATATACCAAAATGTTTCATTAAAATGCCATATTAAAGTAGAAAGAAAATCTGTTAATGCTTTAATAACGGACATATTTCGTCATTAAAACGATGATATCTCTATTCTTCTATATTTCTAGACAGTAAAGTCTTCGTACAAAGGAAGAGAAATGGATTATCATTCGACGCAAAACATCCTTCCCAGGCACCCTCGATACCAATTCTTGGGTTGCAAGCTACGTCATAGCAGCCATGTTGGGTGATTTTACAAAGCATTTACTTACTTATAATACAAATTTCATCCAACATGGCGAGCATTCCATTGTTCTCTTACTACCAGGGGGATGGTTGCAACCCACCAATTCTTTTGGACTGACCAGACAACTACACCTCAAGCTCTATGGAATAATCTTTCATTTTATATTTCAAAGTCTATTCGTATATTCTGCTTTCAATGTCAGCAATAATTGGGAAATTTGGGATTAAAGGAATGTGTTGCCAGCATGATAACAGAGTGGCACTTCTATACCATTGATTAATGTCATGGAAGTAAGCACAAATCAGTTAACATGCTTGTTGACATGCTAATATGGAGGTGCTTCTTGTGAACGTCAATTGTTCGGATCTTGCATGTAACGTTTAAGTGAAACTTAATTTACAATTGATTTATTCAACTTGAAAAAAGAAGTTGCAATAAGCTGGCAGAGTATTGCAAAATCTTTAAATTATATTTGGTATAATTCAATTTGAAGTGATCACAGTATTAGTCAGACAAGCTATCGGCGTCAAACATTTTGTCGCTTTCTTTTACCTGTTAAGGCTATAACTAACACTGATATAACATTGAGGGATGTTATAACGGTGTTTTCATAGCAGTTGAAACATAGTGAACACAAACATTTTGTGATAAAATCATTTGAAATATCTAACAACAATTTTAAGTTAAAATCGAAGTAAGCCTTCCATGCTAATCGGTTTGCAGTTTACAGCTGTCTTCTGCAAATCATTGTAAAGTCCGTAATAGGACAAAAATTTTAATAGTTCGGTTCGTCTGCAAACACTGGTTTTACGAAATACATGAACTTCAACAGTTTGTAACGACATTATTCGGCTGTTGTTTTTACAGCTATTCTTACAAGGCAACCGAGTGCAAATTGAAACTGCGGTATGTGTTTGTTTGTTATGCTGTTTGATTGTTTGTTTTGTCGTACCGCTAACTTGTTGTTCAGTATTTTTCAGATGCAATAGACGAGAAGATGAAAGAATTGGAAGTCAGGAAGGCGGTAAGTGTTGCTATCATTCGCCAGATTTAACAATTTTGTTGCTTGTGTCTCTTTTAGAACGACCTAGCCTTGGCCTTACCATGGTGAATTAATGCTTCTTAAAGTAAGTGTAACCAATTCATTTTACTCCTTTGATACTTCGATCGGTGTTTGCAGACGAACAATTGTAGATTTTGATCATGCCAAAAGTATAAATATCTTGAGGGAAATCACATCAAAACACACTAACACAAAAATTTGCACATAATTGAGTGTTTTCAATATTCTAACTAAATTAGAGAGTTCCCTCGCTTTCTAATTTAGGAAAGAAATTAATGTATTCCAAAATAGACTTCTGCCACCTATTTTGGAACACTTTTGCACATAAATTTACAATGCGTACACTTGATAATCTTTACATTTTTTTTGTAATAATAAAATCTCTCTTAAGTTGAGTGAGGCCTTCATGAGAGTAAGAACCACAAATTTGCAACATTCTTTAATTATATATCTTCTTAATATTAGTTGATTGTTGCAGTCTTGGGTGGTGGTATTAAATTTCATAGGAAAGGTTGTTTGATGCAGTACTGATTTTCATTATAGTCAGTTATTTTCGTTATGATTAGCGTTGTCACTCTGTGTATTGTATATCAATAACCATCACCTAATCTATTTATAATAATCTATATTATTATCCACTATGCAAGCAATATCGCTTTTGATTGGTCAGCTACATGCGATTAATTCTCGATGTCTGTTGGTATGACGTCATATGTACAAATAATAGTTCTACAATAATGGACGCCATTAATAAAAGCTAGTTTTGGAAAAAATCAAACAACAACGATGGCTGCTATAGTTTCTAAAACGATGTAAGAGCTTTTAAGAAAAACGGATGCGGACACCACTGATAAAATAGTGAAGCTGGCTTTAAACATGCTTGCAACATATTTTAACGAGACGAACTCGAATAAAACCGCTACGGCAATAACATTGAGCTCGGTCTGAATAATTTTTGATATCATGCTCAATCTCGTCCGCTTTCCTCTTGTGCATCTATTTTATCATTAACTACTTATTGCAAAATGTAAACAAAGGTCATGTATTATCCAGTGAATGAATAATCTAGCTGGCTTGTAAATTTGTTGCGACTGAAAAATCAGCAATACAGCTGATACAAACCAATGTGCCGAACGTGTTTCTGACAGGACGCTACCAGCTTTCAAAACAATTTGGATAACTGTTTACATTTTGAATAGTTGCGTGTAGATACGTATCACACGTTCAAAAAGCAAGACGTAAATTAAAATTAGTTATTGACACATTTAGTAGTTAATTAGTTTTTTCTTGTTTATCCTGACACTGTGAAACAGAGGTAAAAATCCAATTTCGACTTAGATCATTTGAACATGCTTGCACTTGTTGCTTTCTCTTCTACATGCAGCACACAAGATGACATTTCACATCTAAAACACTGGATTTTAGTTCTATCACAAAATTATGGTTGTTTATTCGGTAATTTATTCAAACTAGCGAGTTGAAGCTGTTTACCCTTTTTAGACGCATATAAATATTAATGACATATTATTAACAAGTACTTCGAACTCAGGAAGTGCCAATTCCCTATCAAAGATTGTTGATATTAGGATCCTTGTCGTAGATTTTCTTGCATCGCTGCTGTTGTTTCTTTACACAACTCTTGTACTTGGACGTGTTTTCAACCCAGTAGACAGAGTTGTTGAGTCTAATTTCAAATGAAGTTGTATCGCTCTCTTTAACTGCGTCGCAGTTGTCATTTTTCAGCTTGGCACTTGAACGATTTTTCAAACAAAGTCTGTAGGTACTGGCTTACTGGAATGTGGATGTTCCTTTTCACTTTTGAATTTGTGCAGTACGTTAAAGAGGACATTGAGTTTCGGATTGCTCGAGTTGGGCTTTATTTCTTAGGGTTCTTCACCACCAACATGCTCTATCTTGCTGCATATATATCAATAGTGAAACAACGTAAGGCCCTTAACAAAAGCAACGAATCAAGTCACACCAACCAAAGAGCAATACAGTTTCGCCTGAAAAATGAAAAATGTTTTTTGTCATCGGTAGCGATAGTTTGTGTTATTTTTACTGTTTTTTTTCACCAGTTTTTGCCTTGTATGTTCTCATTTCGCTGAAGAAAGCAAAGCAATCGTTTAGTGGCATTAACATTATAATAGTGCGCTACGGTCCTTGGGTGTTTGTTATGGGGTCTTTGAATTTTGCCATCAATATACCGATGTACGTTTGGCGTCTACCTAAATACAGGAAAGCTTTTAAGAAGCTTTATTGCTGCAACTATACATAGGTTCACCGAGGAAATTACTTCAGGTTTTTATATGGAAATTCTAGTTACATTTGACGATACGTAATATGATGTGTATTGCATAGAAGTGTGTTTTTAGCAACAGCACCCTCGCCCACTAAGGCAATTCTCTTCAATTGCATACGATGCTTCTATATACATTCATGAAATTCAAAGTGATTCACTAGAGTAGACAAATTGAATACTACAAAAAAATATTTAAAATAGTTACTTCTTATCCAATAAATATTACAGTAGAAAATTGTAACTCGTTCCAATACAAAGTCAATTTATAAAATGTTACCCCTTCCTATTCGTATTACACTTCGATAGTATAGTTATTATATTTAATATAATTAATAAATACTTTGTACCGCAAAGTAATATAATTAATTTGTTGCGTAATGCCTAAACTCAGTTATTATTGTTATAGCTACGCTGCTATTCACTGCTGAAGCAAAAATAAGTTGTAATAGTATATTATGTATAGACCACGAAATATGCACTTCTCCACAAATCTATATCATAAAGCCTTACAATTATAGTAAATTGTTCAAATTTTTTGTCCTATTTTTCTTCAGCTTCGTTTCAGCAGATAAAATTGACCTCGGTCTGAATAATCCTTGATGTTATGTTCAACGTCTTGAAACATTGGCCCGGCTGTCCTCTTTTACGCCCGGCGTATCTATTTTTTGCATTAATTCGTTATTGCCAAACGTAAGAAAACATCATGTATTATACAGTAAGTGAAAAAGCTAACTGCCTTGTGAATTTGTTGAGATTGAAGAATCAACAATGCAGCTGTTACAAATGAAAATGGCGAACGTCTTTCTGACAGGACGACACCAGCCTTCAAAACAATTTTGATAACTGTGTGACATTTTGAATAGTTTCGTGTACATACTTTCAAAGAACAAGACGTAAATTATAATTAGTTGTTCACACATTTATCAATTTGTTTGTTTTTTCTTGTTTGACCTGGCACAGAGGTAAAAATCCAATTTCCACTTAGATTTTTGAACATGCTTGCATTAGTTCATTTCTTGTCTACATGCAACACACAATATGACATCTCCCATTTAAAACACTGGATGTGGATTTTAGTGTTATCACAAACTTATGTCGTTCATTCAGTAATTTCTTCAAACAAGCGGGCTGCTAAAAGCCACTTTAGCCTTATTTAGACACATATACGTATAATTTATATTTACCATAATTTCTAATTAGCAGCAATTTTAAAAAACACTTGAGAAAAACGACAATTTTTTTGAGAGCAAACATGTTTCGACATTATCAGAATGCCATCTTCAGTGCAGAATGATTAGTGATAAGTAATATGATACATAATATGATATGAGTAAATTAATTACAATGAGTATTAAGTATTAATAACTATAACGTAAGTTCTAAAAATAAGTATTAAGAATTTATAACAAAAGTATTATTATAAAGTAAATATAGTGTTGTAGTGGTGAACTTGGATATTTAAATCGGGATTAGTTTTATTAATGTGTAGAGCTTCCTTGATTTTGAGTGAGAAAGTGGATTGATCAGTGTCGATGATTTTAAAACAGGAAGGTGAGAATTTGTTTTACATGAAGGAGAGCTTGAAGATGTTTGTAGATAGTGGAGTTTTTGTCTGTGTGAGTATGTTCCTTTATCCTGGTAGATAATGGCGAGAAGTTTCACCAATATAACAGGGAATTACATCCCGCACATGAAAATTGATAAACTACCATAGATTTGGAAAGTTCGGGAAGTGGGTCTTTAAACGAAAATAAAGATTTTATTTTGAAAGATGTGAAAATAAGTTTAACGTCAATGTCAGTGCAGTAGCGTTTAATGATTTGTGTGAGTTTGCGTTGTGTGTGTCGTGAGTAATCACCTATGTAAGGTAGTTTGAAATAACGTTTATTGTCAGGTTGTTGTATATCGTTAGTGTTAGTTGTGGAGTTAGATGATTCAGTGCTTTTCTTGTTGTCCAAATAGTGTTGTATAGTGTTGTTGATGAAATGAAAAGAATTACGTTGGAGTGAATATTAGTTTCTTTAAATCACGTTGAAAGCCGATGTCTGTGTTGTTGAGTTTCCGTGCTCTGTCGGTCAGTGTTCGTATCAGCCCAATTTGTAATTTAATGGTGTGAAACTAAAAAGTTAGTCAGTAGTCCTGTATATGTTGGTTTGTGGTACGTAGAGGTCATACAGTTTTCATGTGATTTAGTTAGTAAGATGTCAAGAAAGGGTAACTGATTGTCTTGTTCGGTTTCGTATGTAAAGCTTATGCTTTGATGTTGTTTGTTGATGTATTCGTAAAAGAGTAATGCTTCGTCTTTGTTATGAAAAATACAAAAAATGTCGTCAACGTATCTGCGGTAAAATAAAGGTTTGTTGTTGCTGTAGTTATTTAACCAGTTTCGTTCGTGAAAACCCATGAAAATGTTGGCTAGAATGGGTGCAAGGGTGAGCCCATACTTACCCCGTCAATTTGGTCGTAGTACTTACCGTTAAATAAAAAATGAGTCTCGGCCGTAGTGATGTTAAACAATAGTTTTAGTTCTGTTCTGCTCATTTTGAATGTAGGGTTGTTGGTAAAAATTAAATCAATAGCAATGTCTATGGTTTCGGTCAGTGGTATGTTGGTAAAAGGCTTTCAACGTCAAAGAAATAAAGAATTTGTCATGTGGAGCGTTAGTGTTAAAAGATAAAAAATCATCGATAAAACTAAAAGAATCTTTAGCAGAATGGTCATTAGGTATTAGAGGTTGGAGTAAAGAGCTGAGGTATTTGGCTAATTTGTAGTTATACGAATTGATTGAAGAATTTATAGGTCTGATAGGAGGTATGTCATTGATATCGTTTAATTTATGAAGTTTAGGTAAACCATATAATCGAGCTGGCTGTGAACCTCTAGGGTACATTTCTTGAAATGATTTTTCGTCTATAGAGTACATTTCTACAACCTCTAGGGTACATTTCTTGAATTTATGAAGTTTAGGTAAACCATATAATCGAGCTGGCTGTGAACCTCTAGGGTACATTTCTTGAAATGATTTTTCGTTCCTTGTCGGATTTTCGAAATTATGAAAAGCTTACAACTAAGAAACGCAAGGCTGAACTTGATGTCGCCTTCCTTAAAGATTGCAATTCACTTGGAGTTTTTCCAAAGTTCCTGTGTTTTCCACTGCCTAATGTTGACAATCGAGATACATACCACATTCGAAAGCGTTTACTACGAACTGCGATAACGAAGAGATCTAAAGAACTACGGACACTGGATAGGGACCTGACGAACAAAACAGAAGAAATCAAAAGCTTTCTTAACCCAATTGACTGGCATATCTTGAATAAAGCCCTCAAAAAGAATGTCGACAAACAACTAAACAAAATATTTTCGACACACCGTAAGAAACTAAATAATTTGACCAAAAACAAGGCTATACCATTCACTCATAAAGACACTGTCACCAACCTATCATCTGTAAAGCTAAGTGAAGATGAACTTAACGCTTTAAAAAACGGTCTCAACTTCAGCATCAAACCTCCAAAAATCCACTCCTCCGACATTCTCGCAACATTCGAACGAATCCACTATTCATTAAGAAATAAACTTATCAAACAGGAGGACTATTCAATACTAAAAACGGAACTTGGTCACTTGGCACACACGTACGTAACTTCCTACCATCCAACTCCTAAAGACCTGAAGAAACATAAAATTCTAAGGAACATTCGTAATAATGACAAAATCATTGTTCTTAAACCTGACAAAGGCAATGGTGTAGTCATTATGGATCGTCAGGTATACATTAACTCTTGCCTCACTATAATTAACAATTTATCTAAGTTCAAACCACTCGATCATGATCCTACAATTTCCCGTGAAGCAAAGTTACAACGACTGCTACGTAACTTAAAGAAAAAAAACTCTATAGACGAAAAATCATTTCAAGAAATGTACCCTAGAGGTTCACAGCCAGCTCGATTATATGGTTTACCTAAACTTCATAAATTAAACGATATCAATGACATACCTCCTATCAGACCTATAAATTCTTCAATCAATTCGTATAACTACAAATTAGCCAAATACCTCAGCTCTTTACTCCAACCTCTAATACCTAATGACCATTCTGCTAAAGATTCTTTTAGTTTTATCGATGATTTTTTATCTTTTAACACTAACGCTCCACATGACAAATTCTTTATTTCTTTTGACGTTGAAAGCCTTTTTACCAACATACCACTGACCGAAACCATAGACATTGCTATTGATTTAATTTTTACCAACAACCCTACATTCAAAATGAGCAGAACAGAACTAAAACTATTGTTTAACATCACTACGGCCGAGACTCATTTTTTATTTAACGGTAAGTACTACGACCAAATTGACGGGGTAAGTATGGGCTCACCCTTGGCACCCATTCTAGCCAACATTTTCATGGGTTTTCACGAACGAAACTGGTTAAATAACTACAGCAACAACAAACCTTTATTTTACCGCAGATACGTTGACGACATTTTTTGTATTTTTCATAACAAAGACGAAGCATTACTCTTTTACGAATACATCAACAAACAACATCAAAGCATAAGCTTTACATACGAAACCGAACAAGACAATCAGTTACCCTTTCTTGACATCTTACTAACTAAATCACATGAAAACTGTATGACCTCTACGTACCACAAACCAACATATACAGGACTACTGACTAACTTTTTTAGTTTCACACCATTAAATTACAAAATTGGGCTGATACGAACACTGACCGACAGAGCACGGAAACTCAACAACACAGACATCGGCTTTCAACGTGATTTAAAGAAACTAATATTCACTCTCCAACGTAATTCTTTTCCTTTTCATTTCATCAACAACACTATACAACACTATTTGGACAACAAGAAAAGCACTGAATCATCTAACTCCACAACTAACACTAACGATATACAACAACCTGACAATAAACGTTATTTCAAACTACCTTACATAGGTGATTACTCACGACACACACAACGCAAACTCACACAAATCATTAAACGCTACTGCACTGACATTGACGTTAAACTTATTTTCACATCTTTCAAAATAAAATCTTTATTTTCGTTTAAAGACCCACTTCCCGAACTTTCCAAATCTATGGTAGTTTATCAATTTTCATGTGCGGGATGTAATTCCCGTTATATTGGTGAAACTTCTCGCCAATTATCTACCAGGATAAAGGAACATACTCACACACACTCCACTATCTACAAACATCTTCAAGCCTCTCCTTCATGTAAAAACAAATTCTCACCTTCCTGTTTTAAAATCATCGACACTGATCAATCCACTTTCTCACTCAAAATCAAGGAAGCTCTACACATTAATAAAACTAATCCCGATTTAAATATCCAAGTTCACCACTACAACACTATATTTACTTTATAATAATACTTTTGTTATAAATTCTTAATACTTATTTTTAGAACTTACGTTATAGTTATTAATACTTAATACTCATTGTAATTAATTTACTCATATCATATTATGTATCATATTACTTATCACTAATCATTCTGCACTGAAGATGGCATTCTGATAATGTCGAAACATGTTTGCTCTCAAAAAAATTGTCGTTTTTCTCAATTTATATTTAATTATTAACAAGTAATCCGAAGTCACAAAGTGTTAATTCTCTATCAACGATTGCTGTTGTTAGGATTCTTGCTAACTAAAGGATGAATAACTCTCACTATGTTAAACCTTTTGTAGTGAATTTTCCTATTGCATTTATTCAATTTTCTATAAACTGTTTTGGTATCTTTAATAACTTCCTGTTACTTTATGCTCACGCAAAGATCCTTACAAGATCCTAAAACGTTCTCACTTCATCATCAACGTCGGTGTTGTGGATTTTATCGGATCGTTGCTGTTGCTTCTTTATACCACTCTTCTGCTTGGACGTGTTTTCAGCCCTGAAGATCATCAGTTGATAAGTCGTATCTCAAATAGAGTTGTAGCACTCTTTTTCGCTGCGTTGCTGTTGACATTTTTTAGCTTTGCAATTGAACGATTTTTATCCATCGTCTATCCGCTATGGCAAAAAGTTCACGTCTCAAACAAAGTCTGTAGGTACTGGCTTACTGGAATGTGGCTATTCGCTTTAACTACTGAGTTATTGCGGCTCATAAAGGAGAGTATCGAATTTGTATTTCTTCAACTGGGACTTTATTTCGTGGGGTACTGCACCACCAACATGCTATATTATGCAACATATATATCAATTGTGAAACAACGCAAGGCCCTTGAGAAAAGCAGCGAGTCAAGTCATATCAACAAACGAGCAATGCAGATTCCCTGAAAAATAAAAAAAGTTTTTTGTCAACTGTAGCGATAGTTTGTGCTATTTTTACCGTCATTTTTCCCTCTATTTTGCTATGCTTTTCTCGTTTATCTGAAGAATGTACAGATAACATCAAGCAGTTTTGCTCATTGGTCAGCAGTTGTAACGTCTTTGAACTTCGCCAGAACCTCATAACGACAAGCATCATCTGAAAGCTTGTTCAAAAGCTCATAACGACAAGCATCACCTGAAAGCTTGTTCAAAATCTTATAACGACAAGCATCACCTGAAAGCTTGTTCAAAACCTCATAAAGACAAGCATCACCTGAAAGCTTGTTCAAAAGCTCATAACAACAAGCATCACCTGAAAGCTTGTTGAAAACCTCATAACCACAAGCATCACCTGAAAGCTTGTTCAAAACTACATAACGACAAGCAACTTTTACGAAAAGCATGCATTTTGTAACGTGACCAGAATATTAATCTTACTAATTTTTTCCCGTTTTTTGTTACGAAGAATTCTCCTCGAGTCTTGTATTAAGTGTTGTATATTTCTGTATGGCCGAAGGAAAGGTATGTTTTACTTTTATAAGCAAAAACGTGCACTAACTGAACGAATGCATTTACGTGAGGCAGTAATAGATTAAAGAGCCCGTTTCAACAAAATTTTTATTTGCAATATTTAATTTAGATATCAGTGAAAAAAGTTTTTTAATTTAATCAAATCGTTCCGCATTTATTGCTGTTTAAAGTTGGCAAAAATGCTCCTTTTAATGGACCTTGTCCGTCATTCGAAAAGTCAGTGCGTCACTTTTCTGACGTTATGCAAGGGACTCCACAATACAAGATATATATTCCCACTACCGTTGATGACGTCAGAATTTGGCTAGACCCAGGTCAAGGACAGGGTCAATTGAAAAGCCACATGAAACTGCCATAACAAGAACATGGTTTGATGAAATTAAAAAAATTTTTACTTGCAACACTAAAACAAGGTGTGGCCAGAGATTTGCCAGGCGGAAAGCGAATTTTCAATATGAACATAATAGCCCAACATAAGAAATTTCTTATGTGAAGAAATAAACACAAAGCACGCTCGGAAAATAAAACCTTTTATTTTTCTTTACTTTATTTTATTATTGTGATGGCTTTTTTAGAAGTCTTATGTTGGGCTGTTATGTTCATATTGAAAATTCCCTTTCCGCCTGACAAATCTCTGGCCACACCTTGTTTTAGTGTTGCAAGTAAAAATTTTGGCTGATCGATGCACTGATACTGACACTGTTTACATGCCTAATGCCCATATTCCAAAAGTTCATGTACACTCACAATGACTCAGTGTGGCTTCAAAGTCACCTCATAATTATTCGAAGACGGCATGTTCACTTCACTGATCGCTTGATTTGAGATATTTTATTGAAAATCTTGCCATCGGTGGAGAAAATAACTTTGCTATTGATCAGAGAAAGGGTGATTTTAATGTCCTACCCTGTGAGTGTGAGGGAGATTTCAAAATGCGGGTATAAGTTTACGTAGTTGCAAGTTTTCGCCTCTAAATATAAGGGCGACTTAGAAAATGTCTCTTTGTGGCATTAAGATTTAATCATACAAAGATTGTTGAACTTGTCATCTCATTTTATCGATATAGGACAATGAATGGTACACACACAGACATCGATTTCAGGTTTGATTCTTGCTTCTTGCATGCGTCCTCTCTTATTGAGATGGTTAACTTTTCTCCTGAACATTAAGAACACTGTCAAGAGAAGCGCCTTGTTTGAAATTGTGTTTTCAATTTAAGTTTAAATTGAAGTTTGAAAATTTATTAATTTAAAGGGGCGTATAAAACTTTCTTACGAGTCATAAAAAGCATTTTCATAAAAATGAAAACAATAAACTCTCCGCGAACCCCCCTAGTCGTCGAAAACTAAATTATTTATAGTTATATAGTCTGTTAGGATGCTTTAACATATATGGCAAGCGTCACTTTCAGTTACACATCGCCCTTTCATTGGTTCGGATACAGTGTTTTGACTGTCCATTGCTTTCTTTAATGTGTCATCGGACGCTTGATTTTACAAATAAATGTAAAAATAATTCGTAAAGCAAACAATAAAAGTTTTGTAAAACACAAACAAGCCATGCGAAACAAAAAACCACGCACGAATGTGAATCGGAGGCAAAACTGTCGGAAAGTGTGTTTCATTATCCACACTACACAATTTCTGACGATTTATTTTGTAATGGCGAAAACTGCTGACGATGAAGATAAAAGAAAGAAAGTTTAATTTCAGGGCAAATAATGACTTTTAATAAACGTTTTATTAATCTCGCTTGAGTTTACTATTGCGTGTGTCTCCATATGAATATAGGACAGCCGCCTCAATGATCAATCTTCCGCGGTTTTGTTAATTACTCATAATGACATGTAGTACTTGTCGAAACTTTTGAATTAAAATCTTACGGAGTGTTTATTGTTTTGTCTTTTATGAAGTGTGCATATCGACGTGGGGTTATTTTTATTAAATTAGTTCTCGCATTTTGTTAAAATATCTTCTCACTCATGTTGGCAAAAGTTAAAGAAGAAGAATTTGCGATTTTAATAAACTGTCATTAAAAAATCATGAATATTGCAAAAGCAACTTTCGAAATAAATTAATTCATGTTTTATATATGTTGTTGAAACATATAAATAGCACTTCTAATAACTATATAGATTATTGCTATTTAAATATTGAAAACTTCTCCGAGCTCACGAAAGCTTCATTCTGTATAAACAATCACTGATGTTACGATCCTTGTTATCTAAAGAGATGAATAACAGTCATCACGTTGAACAATCACTGAATTTTTATGCTGCATTCCTTCAATTTCCTATAAACATTGTTGGTATCCTTAATAACTTCCTGTTACTTTATGCTCACGCCAAAGATCCTTACAAGATCCTAAAACGTTGTCACTTCATCATCAACGTCGGTGTCGTGGATTTTATTGGATCGTTGCTGTTGTTTCTTTATACCACTCTAGTGCTTGGACGTGTTTTCAACCCTGAAGATCAACTGTTGATTAGTCGTATCTCAAATAGAGTTGTATCACTCTTTTTCGCTGCGTCGTTGATGTCATTTTTTAGCTTGGCAATTGAACGATTTTTATCCGTTGTCTATCCGCTATGGCACAAAGTTCACGTCTCAAACAAAGTGTGTAGGTACTGGCTTGCTGGAATGTGGCTGTTCGTTTTCACTTCTGAGTTATTGCAGCTCTTAATAAAGAGTATCGAATTTGAACTTTTTCGAGTTGGGCTTTTTTTCATTGAGTACTGCACCACCAACATGCTATATTATGCAACATATATATCAATCGTGAAACAACGCAAGGCCCTCGAGAAAAGAAGCGAATCAAGTCATATCAACAAACGAGCAATACAGATTCGCCTGAGAAATGAAAAAAGTTTTTTGTCAACGGTAGCGATAGTTTGTGTTATTTTTACAGTGCTAGTTTCTCCAACGATTGTTTTTCTTGTTTTCCTTTTTCTGAAGAAGAATAGATTAAGCAACGTTGCCAAAAAAATCATACGCTACTTTCCTTGGGTGTTTGTTATGGTGTCTTTGAACTACGCCATTAATGTACCGATATACGTTTGGCGTCTACCTAAATATAGAAAAACTTTTAAGAAACTTTATTGCCGTAATTAGACACAGGTTTCCTGAGATGATTACTTCAGTTTTGCCGTAGAAGTTATATTTAAAGATACGTAATATGATGACTCTGAAGTTTGTATACGTACGAGAATTAAACTACCGGCATATTGTTGTATTTGGTCAAACAGGAGCATCCTTTATGATTCCACCTTTCCAATCATGCCGTTTTCCTTAGTTTGTCGTCAAAACCATGTCTTTCGTTTTCACGGGCTTAGAAACGAGTTTTATAAAAACGTAAAGCTGTGGCGGATTCAAGGTTAGGCAAAATAAATTATAAATGCTGCTGATTTCTAAATTTGCAGAATATAACATTACCTATCGTTAGGTTGTTTTAGTATGTTGCTCATAACGCTGGCTCTGCTAGTGGGGGTGTAGCCTAGATTGGATGTACCATTTAGCGTATGATTCGTTTTTTCATTTTCTCAACTGCTGAATCATACCGTTGTACAAAACTTAACAGCAACTATAGCCCATTCTAACTTCAACTAAAGCTTCCACAAATGATCATAGGAGGGTGAGGGTAGTGGGCAGATCTCACGGTTGTGCTGGTTTTCTCTGACATCAAGGAAACGTCCGAGAAATATCGTGAGACTACTTAAAAGACTACTTAAAGCATAAACGCATGAAAAAAGTTTTACGGCTAAGCAACAGCTCCCCCCCCAAATAAAAGTATGGTTTAGCCCTGTAAAATGTGTTGATGGTGATTTTGCTAAGACAGCAAAGAGTTTTTCATTGACCAAAAAGCTATTATGTCTTGCATGCCCATCTGACGGGGTACTTTATCCCCTAAGATACTTAGTGATGATCTTCCCAGAGGGTTTCATCATTCATCCTTGTCTGCACTCTCACAATTTTAACAAATGCTCAGAATCTGTTATTCCGTGATAAAGTACCTCCAATCTCAGGAATAGAGATATTGCGGGCTGTTCAGTCGGTAGTGTTTGAAAAGATTGAATTATCGAATGATTTTTCCAAATTTGATGGATTTTTTCGACCCAGCAAAAAACTTTTGAACGAAAAATGCAAGAGCTTGTAGTTCACGATGGTAATCTGGCGCTCTATGTTGTGCCTGACGAAAAGCTTTAAAGTACTACACGTGCACTTTGAGTTGTAAGCGACTGCGCTTTTTTCATCAAAACGCAGTTTTTTTACAATGTAACTTCTCATCCAAAATGAAGTTGTAATTGGACGTCTTCATGAGAGCACACTGAGCAGTGGATCGTTTTAACAAGAGAAATGTCAACATGATTTTATGAAAGGAGCTCTGAGCAAATTGAGCTGTACTCGAAAATTGCATTGCTCAAGCCAGACTTTTGTAATATGGTAAGTGAAGCAAGTTCATTGTCGTTACAGTGGCTTTTCGGAACTGGCTCAACTAGAATCCAAAAAAGGCAATTATCTTGATATGAACAGTGGCTAAGAACGGGACCCAGAGTCAAAGTTCGACATCGAATAAATCGTTGGTAAAATTACACCATTCTGCATCGGGCTAGCTTGCTATCCGGGCCAGCTCGCCTCCATATAGTCAGGCCCTAACTTCTTTTAAAAATGTAATTTTCAAAAGAAATCAGCATTGCATAGCAAATATCAGTATTGTATACGAATATTGATCCTTGCCAACTCAATTAACGTTCTATTCACTCCCATGAGAATCGCTGCACATTACTTATATGAACGTGTTTTCAAATTGGGTTAACGACACAACGTCTCTCGCTATTTAGATTTATCATTTTTGCGGTGTTTTGTTTTCCATTGCACTTCGAACGAATCATATTCTCTGATCATGTAGGTGGATAGGGATTAAATATTTTTGAACAACTTGTCTGCATTCTTTTTTTTGCTTGACATTTGTCGAGTGAGGATGTCTAGCTGTAGAAGTCAAGATTTTCGCTGTGTTGACAAAAGGTTTGAGGAAGTTCTTTGTAGTGACGTTAGGGCAAATGATACAGGCTCAATGTTTTAAGAAAAGATCGGCTTCAGGTGAAATTCTTTCACGATTTTCACCTTGGTTAAAGGGAAGAGAAGCTCTGCGTCAATCTCAAAAAAGGTGAATAATGATATATGATAGATCATTCGAAAGATATTAGTGTCGTGTCGGAGCGTGGATTCGAGGATGTAATACACCTAAATTACGATTATGAAGATGTCCTAATAAGGTTTACGTTGTAGTTAAAAGGAAGAATTTAAATCGTTTTAATGAAAGTAGGTATTTGTAAAGTAATTAAGATTGTAAAGCTTAAGGGGCTGATTACATGAGCCCGGGTAGCCGGGATTCAGCCAAGCGATAAATGATTTTGGCGAATGGAAACGATTCAATACTTACCAGATAAATCATTTCGAGCAATTTTACAATATTCTGATGTAATAACTACGCAAAACATTTAAAATTAAAACAACCAATTTGGCCTAATTTGAGAATTACAACAGGAATGACTTGCGGCATTTAACAAACAGTTCTAGTTTTTAACTTTGAAGTTTTTGCCTCCTATTAATCCCCCGAAATCATTTCACGCCTCACTGTATCGCGGTTAACCGGGATCGTGTAAACATCCCTTAATGGTGTAAGGTTGAAAACTGGGATCGTCAATTCCCTAATTCCACTAATAAATAAACACGAGCGAGGAATCTTAAGTTCTTTATTCTCGTGAGACTTGTGAAGACAAAAAAACAGAATTTTCTTTTGTTCATTATTTAGTTTGCGCTTAGTTTTGCTTATTCTTGTGCTTATGTTAAAGCTAAACTTCCTTGCTTCATTTCAGTATTGTCTTCGTTCAGTGCTTTATCGTCATTTTGTTGGTAAATTATTTTAATTTGCGAATTTAAGTATTTCAATGCATGAGTGTTGGCAAGTCGGGTCAGGCAAAGGACAACACGTCCTCATGTAACTTTGGCTTTGCATGAGCAGCGCCTAAAGACATAAAAATCATACTTATGGTAGGGCGTCCAAGCTTTCAAACACAACCATTTGTTCAGAAATTCATTTTTAAACGAAATAATTCAAAAAGTGAAAACCAATATGATGAACGGTTGAGAATCGCCGAAGATAAAGAGGAAAGATGGCAGCAAAGTGAGTGATTTCACTACAACTCTTTTGATAAAACATATAAACCAAACAAAAGCTATGATGTTTGACATATATGTACCAAATTGTTTCATCAAAATGCCATATTAAAGTAGAAAGAATATTTGTTGATGCTTTAATAACGGACATATTTCGTCATTAAAACGATGATATCTCTATTATTCTATATTTCTAGACAATAAAGTCTTCGTCAAAAGGAAGAGAAATGGATTATCATTCGACGCAAAACATCCTTCCTCAGGCACCCTTGATACCAAGTCCTGGGTTGCAAGCTACGTCATAGCCGCCATGTTGGGTGACTTTACAAAGCATTTTCCTTACTTACAATACAAATTTCATCCAACATGGCGAGCATTCCATTGTTCTCTTAGTACCAGGGGTTGGTTGCAACCTATCAACTCTTTTGGACTGACCAGACAACTACACCTCAAGCTCTATGGAATAATCTTTCATTTTATATTTCAAAGTCTATTCGTATATTCTGCTTTCAATGTCAGCAATAATTGGGAAATTTGGGATTAAAGGAATGTGTTGCCAGCATGTTAACAGAGTGGCACTTCTATACCATTGAGTAATGTCATGGAAGTAAGCACAAATCAGTTAACATGCTTGTTGACATGCTAATATGGAGGTGCTTCTTGTGAACGTTCAATTGTTTGGATCTTGCATGTAACGTTTAAGTGAAACTTAATTCACCATTGATTTATTCAACTTGAAAAGAGAAGTTGCAATAAGCTGGCAGAGTATTGCAAAATCTTTAAATTATATTTGGTATAATTCAATTTGAAGTGATCACAGTATTAGTCAGACAAGCTGTCGGCGTGAAACATTTTGTCGCTTTCTTTTACCTGCTAAGGCTATAACTAACACTGATATAACATTGAGGGATGTTATAACGGTGTTTTCATAGCAGTTGAAACATAGTGAACACAAACATTTTGTGATAAAATCATTTGAAATATCTAACAACAATTTTAAGTTAAAATCGAAGTAAGCCTTCCATGCTAATCGGTTTGCAGTTTACAGCTGTCTTCTGCAAATCATTGTAAAGTCCGTAATAGGACAAAAATTTTAATAGTTCGGTTCGTCTGCAAACAGTGGTTTTACGAAATACATGAACTTGAACAGTTTGTAACGACATTATTTGACCATTGTTCTTACAGCTATTCTAACAAGGCAGCCGAGTGCAAATTGAAACTGCGGTATGTGTTTGTTTGCTATGCTGTTTGATTGTTTGTTTTGTCGTACCGCTAACTTGCTGTTCAGTATTTTTCAGATGCAGTGGACGAGAAGATGAAAGAAATAAAAGTCAGGAAGGTTGTAAGTGTTGCTATCATTCGCCAGAATTAACAATTTTGTTGCTTGTGTCTCTTTTAGAACGACCTTGCCTAACCATGGTGAATTAACGTTTCTTAAGGTAAGTGTAACCAATTCATTTTACTCCTTTGATCCTTCGATTGGTGTTTGCAGACGAACAATTGAAGATTTTGATAATGCCAAAAGTATAAATATCTTGAGCGAAATCACATCAAAACACACTAACTAAAAAACTTGCACATAAATGAGTATTTTCAATATTCTAACTAAATTAGAGAGTTCCCTCGCTTTCTAATTTAGGAAAGAAATTAATGTATTCCAAAATAGACTTCTGCCACCTATTTTGGAATACTTTTGCACATAAATTTACGATGCGTACACTTGATAATCTTTGCATTTTTTTTGTAATAATAAAATCGTGCTTAAGTTGAGTTAGGACTTCATGAGAATAAGAACCACAAATTTGTAACATTCTTTAATTATATATCTTCTTAATATTGGTTGATTGTTGCAGTCTTGGGTGGTGGTATAGGGTATTAAATTTCATAGAAAAGGTTGTTTGATGCAGTACTGATTTTCATTATAGTCAGTTATTTTCGTTATGATTAACGTTGTCACTCTGTGTACTGTATATCAATAACCATCACCAAATCTATTTATAATAATCGATATTATTGTCCACTATGCAAGCAATGTCGCTTTTGATTGGTCAACTACATGCGAATAATTCTCGATGTCTGTTGGGTATGACATCATATCTACAAATAATAGTTCTATAATTATGGACGCCATTAATAAAAGCTAGTTTTGGAAAAAATCAAACAACAACGATGGCTGCCATAGTTTCTAAAAACGATGTAAGAGCTTTTGAGCAAAACGGATGCGGACAACAGTGATGAAGTAGTGAAGCTGGTGATCATGTATTATCCAGTGAATGAATAAACTAGCTGCCTTGTAAATTTGTTGCGACTGAAAAATCAACAATACAGCTGATACAAACGAATGTGCCGAACGTGTTTCTCACCGGACGCTATCAGCTTTCAAAACAATTTGCATATAACTGTTTACATTTTGAATAGTTGCGTGTAGATACGTATCACATGTTCAAAAAGCAAGACGTAAATTAAAATTAGTTATTGACACATTTGTTAGTTAATTAGTTTTTTCTTGTTTATCCTGACACTGTGAAACAGAGGTAAAAATCTAATTTCGACTTAGATCATTTAAACATGCTTGCATTTGTTCCGTTCTTTTTTACATGCAACACACAAGATTACATTCCACATCTAAAACACTGGATTTTAGTGATATCACAAAATTATGGTTGTTCATTCTGTAATTTATTCAAACTAGCGAGTTGAAGCTGTCTAGCCATTTTAGACGCATATAAATATTAATGACATATTATTAACAAGTGCTTCGAACTCAGGAAGTGTTAATTCTCCATCAACGATTGATGTTACGATCCTTGCTTACTAAAGGATGAATAACTCTCACCATGTTAAACCTATCCCACTGAATTATTCTGCTGCATTCATTCAATTTTCTATAAACAGTGTTGGTATCTTTAATAACTTCCTTTTACTTTATGCTCACGTCAAAGATCCTTACAAGATTCTGAACCGTTGTTACTTTATCGTCAACATTGGTGTCGTGGATTTTCTTGGATCGCTGCTGTTGTTTCTTTATACAACTCTTGTACTTGGACGTGTTTTCAACCCAGCAGACAAAGAGTTGTTGAGTCTAATTTCAAATGAAGTTGTATCGCTCTCTTTAACTGCGTCGTTGTTGTCATTTTTCAGCTTGGCAATTGAACGATTTTTATCCGTCGTCTATCCGCTATGGCACAAAGTTCACTTCTCAAACAAAGCCTGCAGGTACTGGCTTGCTGGAATGTGGCTGTTCCTTTTCACTTTTGAATCTGTGCAGTACGTTAAAGAGGACATTGAGTTTCGGATTGCTCGAGTTGGGCTTTATTTCATAGGGTTCTTCACCACCAACATGCTCTATCTTGCTGCTTATATATCAATAGTGAAACAACGTAAGGCCGCTAAGAAAAGCAGGGAATCAAGTCACACCAACCAAAGAGCAATACAGTTTCGCCTGAAAAATGAAAAATGTTTTTTGTCCACGGTAGCGATAGTTTGTGTTATTTTTACCGTTCTTTTTTCCCCAGTTTTTGCCTTGTATGTACTCATTTCTCTGGAGAAAGCAAAGCAAACGTTTAGTGGCATTAACATTATAATAGTGAGCTACAGTCCTTGGATGTTTGTTATGGGGTCTTTGAATTTTGCTATCAATGTACCGATGTACGTTTGGCGTCTACCTAAATACAGGAAAACTTTTAAGAAACTTTATTGCTGGAGCTATACATAGGTTCACCGAAGAAATTACTTCAGGATTTTGATGTGGAAATTTTAGTTAAAGTTGACCATACGTAAAATGATGTTGATTGTATAGAAGTGTGTTTTTAGCAACAGCACTCTCTCCCACTAAGAAAATTCTCTTCAATTGCATACGATGCTTATACATACATGCATGAAATTCAAAGTGATTCACTAGAGTAGACAAGTTGAATACCACAATAAAATGTTTAAAATAGTTACTACTCATCCAGTAAATATTACAGTAGAAAATTATAACTCGTTCGCATTACAAAGTCAATTTATAAAATGTTACGCCTTCCTATTCGTATTATACTTCGATAGTACAATTATTATATAGCGGCTTCATGTCTGTCCAAGCTAGCGTCTTCATGTCTGTCCAAGTTAATGCAAATAAACCGTGTAAGACAAAGTTTTGACCAAACCACACTCCTTAAAATCATGTCTGCCTTAGTTTTCAGCAAAATGTTTTATTGCTCGACCGTGTGGTCGAATACCACCAACAAAAATATAACAAAACTTCAACATTTGCAGAACTTTGCCTGTAAAATCCGTTACTGGCACCAGGAAATATGACCATGTTTCGCCACTCTTGCGCCAATTAAACTGGAAGCCTGTTCAACAGTGTCTAGACAATCGGAACTTAGTCTTGACATACAAGTGCGTAAAAAACCTTGCCCCCGAATATCTCTGCAAAAAGTTCCATAAGAGTCCTCACGATCGGGCCACCCGTAATAGAGACCTATTTCAAATTCCGAGGTTCAAAACATCAACGGGCCAACGCACATTTTCGTAAAGGGCAGTCAAATTGTGGAACATTTTAGGCAAAGATGTGAAAGATTCCAAGTCTCTTGATTCTTTTAAGAAAGCTTTAAAAGATCTTTTGTAGTTCCATCTCGAAATGTCACTTTTATCTTTAAAAATCCTTTTAATAATAATCCTTTTTCATACATTTATAAGACAAATATGTATATGTATTTAATTTTGTAAATAGTTACTGAAAAGCCCTATAGGGAGTACCTATTGTTTGTCATTAAAGTCATGATTAAAGACATGATTATATTTAATATAGTTAATAAGTACTTTGTACCACAAAATAATTTAATTTAGTGTTGCGTAATGCCTAAACTCCGTTATTATTGTTATAGCTACGCTGCTATTCAGTGCTGAAACAAAAATAAGTTGTAATAGTTTATTATGTATAGACCACGAAATATGAAATTTGCCACAAAACTATATCATAAAGCCTTACAATTATAATAAATTGTTCAAATTTTTTGCCCTCCTATTTTTCCTCAGCTTCGTTTCAGCAGATAACATTGACCTCGGTCTGAATAATGAATGAATGAATGAATGAAAATCTTTATTTTGACACGCTGGCCTTGTCAACTGGGGTTGATTTCCACAAGGGGCGTGCTTTTGTTCAAAAACAGTTAACAAAATTTACTAAGAAATAAATTATCTACAGAAGAGAAGTTTAAATATTTACAGAGTTTAGTTTATTCCATCAGTTACATGTTAAACTAAATCATAAAATGCAAGCAGCAATTTTCTTTTGAAAAAGTGACACGCTTTTGCTAATTCTGATTTCTGCTGGAATTGAATTCCAAACAGAAGCCCCATCATACGCAAAGCTTTTCTTCAAGGAGTTAGTACTAGGCATAGGAACATTTAGACAACTTGTAATATTGCGTAGATTGTAATCAGTGATGTCTTTTTTATAGGTAAACAATCTAGTAAGTGAATTTGGTCCAGCATTTTTTAATAATTTAAACATCAGCTTTGCTTTAGCTTTTTTCTAAGTATTTCAAGAGGCTCCCACTTCAATTCTTGTAATGCGTTACAATAATCGACATCATTGCCCATGCTTATGATAATTTTTGCAGCTCTATTTTGAAGTTTTTGTAGTCTTTTGGACTGAGTTTCCCCCAATATACACCAAACTTCACAGCAATATGTGAAGTAAGTACTACTTATCCAGTAAATATTACAGTAGAAAATTGTAACTCGTTCCATTACAAAGTCAATTTATAAAGTGTTACCCTTTCCTATTCGCATTACACTTCAATAGTATAGTTATTATATTTAATATAGTTAATAAATACTTTGTACCGCAAAGTAATATAATTAATTTGCTGTGTAATGTCTAAACTTCGTTATTATTGTTATAGCTACGCTGCTATTCACTGCCGAAGCAAAGATAAGTTGTAATATTATATTATGTATAGACCACGAAATATGAAATTTGCCACAAAACTATATCATAAAGCCTTACAAATATAGTAAATTGTTCAATTTTTTTTGTTCTCCTGTTTTTCCTCAGCTTCGTTTCAGCAGATAACATATTGACCTCGGTATGAATAATCCTTGACATTATGCTCAACCTCTTCCAACATTGGCCCGGCTATCCTCTTTTACGCACTGCGTATCTATTTTTTATCATTAATTCGTTCTTGAAAAACGTAAGAAAACGTCGTGTATTATAAGGTATTGAAAAAGCTAGCTACCTGCCTTGTAGATTTGTTAAGATTGAAAAATCAACAATGCAGCTGTTACAGTTGAGTATGGCGAACGTGTTTCTGACAGGACGCCACCAGCCTTCAAAACAATTTTGATAACTGTGTGACATTTTGAATAGTTGCGTGTGCATACGTTCAAAGAGCAAGACGTAAATTATAATTAGTTGTTCACACATTTGTCAATTAATCTGTTTGTTTCTTGTTTAACCTGACAAAGAGGTAAAAATCCAATTTCTACTTAGATTTTTGAACATGCTTGCATTAGTTCATTTCTTGTCTACATGCAACACACAATATGACATCCCACATTTAAAACGCTGGATGTGGATTTTAGTGTTATCACAAAATTATGGTCGTTCATTCAGTAATTTCTTCAAACTAGCGGTTGCTAAAAGCCACTTTAGCCTTATTTAGACACATATATGTATAATTGATATTTAATTATTAACAAGTACTCCGAACTCACAAAGTGTTAATTCTCTATCAACGATTGCTGTTGTTAGGCTTCTTGCTTACTAAAAGATGAATAACTCTCACCATGTCAAACCTTTCGTAGTGAATTTTCCTTCTGCATTCATTCAATTTTCTATAAACATTGTTGGTATCTTTAATAACTTCCTGTTACTTTATGCTCACGCCAAAGATCCTTACAAGATCCTAAAACGTTGTCACTTCATTATCAACATCGGTGTCGTGGATTTTCTTGGATCATTGCTCTTGCTTCTTAATACAACTCTAGTGCTTGAACGTGTTTTCAACCCAGGAGACACTGAGTTGTTAAGTCGCATTTCATATGGAGTCATATCGCTTTTTATAACTGCGTCGATGTTGACATTTTTTAGCTTGGCAATTGAACGATTTTTATCCGTCGTCTATCCGCTATGGCACAATGTTCACGTCTCAAACAAAGTCTGTAGGTACTGGCTTACTGGAATGTGGCTGTTCGTTTTCACTTCTGAGTTACTGCGCCTCTTAAAGGATAGTATCGAATTTCAATTTCTTCAACTGGGGCTTTATTTCGTGGGGTACTGCACCACCATCATGCTATATTATGCAACATATATATCAATTGTGAAACAACGCAAGGCCCTTGAGAAAAGCAGCGAGTCAAGTCATATCAACAAACGAGCAATGCAGATTCGCCTGAAAAATGAAAAAGGTTTTTTGTTAACGGTAGCGATAGTTTGTGTTACTTTTACTGTGCTTATTTCCCCCCTATTTTGCTATGCTTTTCTCATTTATCTGAAGAAAGTACAGATAACATCAAGCAGTTTCGATCAATGGTCAACAGTTGTAACGTCTTTGAACTTCGCCATTAATGTACCGATATACATTTGGCGTCTACCTAAATATAGAAAAACTTTTAAGAAACTTTATTGCCGTGTCTAGACATAGGTTTGTTGACAAATTACTTTAGGATTTTGTTGTGGAAACTCCAGTTATATTTAACTAGAGTTTTTACTTTTTACCACATTTTAATTTAGCACAGCTGCAGTTGTTACGTGACGTGTACACCCCATCAATATTGTTATAGACCTAACACATGCTACTTTTTAACTGCAGCTCTGCAGAGGTAAAAAATTATATAATTACTTGTAACAATATTATATATATGTAAACCACGAAGTAAGCAGTTTTCTAAAAAATGTAGCTATCATAAAACATTTAATTAAACAAAGAAAGTACATCCCTCAATTTTTTTGTTCAGTAATGTTCTTCATCGAACATATTAACATATATGTGGTTTATATCTTCTTGCAGGCATCCCACCACTTGAACGTTATGGTTTAATTTAATAAAATGGCACGTAAGTTAATGCAAGTGGTCTATACAAAAGTAACGCGCTATAGTTACACATTTTAAAATAATTTGAACGAGTTTCAATTACGTCAGTGCAACATGTGACTAGTTGTTTATAGAGTACACGTAAAGAGTAACACTTATTAAATATTAAAACTTTATTGACAGCTCTGCGAACAAACGAGAAAAATCATTGCAGTGGTGTTTGTTTGCAAGTAAATTTTATGATATTTCTCTGAACGGCGTGATGTCTTGTCGTGGTAAATGAGAACTGAGTAGTTCTTAAAAGAAAAGGAGATGATGTTTGGTGTGATGTCATTCTTCCTCGTCCTCATTATAATTTTATAAATTGAAGTAAATTTTTAGTTTTTGCCAAAGCTGACGTGGCCGCCGACGAGAAGTCTGCCGAAATGCAACGATTCATTTATTTTATAGTTATCTTTATTTTGGTTTTCAAAGTTTATGATTAACTCCTTACTGCAAAACGTAAGCAAACGTCATGTATTACGCAATAAATGAAAAGACTAGCTGCTTTGTAAATTTGTTGCGACTGAAAAATCAACAATAGTAAATTGCTCAAATTTTTTGTCCATTTATTTTTACCTCAGCTTCGTTTCAGCAGATAACATTGACCTCGGTCTGAATAATCTTTGATATTATACTCAACTTCTTCCAACAATTGTTTAATATTAGCCAGGCTCAGTAGCGGATCTAGGGTACCTCAAAATTAATTACTGCAGCGGAATTTGAATATATTTACATTTCTAAGCACCTAAGAGACAGGTTCATTGGTAAAATTATATTCTTTAGAAACTCAAAACCAATACTGTTTTTCTGAAAGTACTTTGAATTTAGAATTGAGCAGTTATAATAATTTTTTGAGGAACGCTGGATTCCGCTACTGGCGCAGGCTATCCTATTGTACACAACGAGTATCTATTTTTATCATTAATTCGTTATTGCCAACGTAAGCAAACGTCTGGCGGTCATGTATTATTCAGTACGAGAAAAAACTAGGTGCTTTGTAAATTTGTTGAGATTGAAAAATCAACCATAGAGCTGTTACAAACAGGTGTTTTAAAATAACAGTTTAGCCAGCTCATTGCCACTGCCCTAATGGCAGGCCAATCTGATCCCGAATTTGGCAAAAGTTTTTTTGAGCGGACGCAACCAGCCTTCAAAATAATTTCGATAACTGTGTGACATTTTGAATAGTTGCGTGTAGATACGTTCAAAAAACAAGAAATAACTTATAATAGTTGTTCACACATGTGTAAATTAATTCGTTTTTTTCTTGTTTAACCTGACACAGAGGTAAAAATCCAATTTCGACTTAGATCATTTAAACATGCTTGCATTTGTTCGTTTCTTTTCTACATGCAACACACAACATGACATCTCACATCTAAAACACTGGATTTTAGTGTTATCACAAAATTACGGTTGTTCATTCCGCAATTTATTCAGACCAGCGAGTTGAGGCTGTTTAGACGCATTTAAATATTAATGACATATTATTAACAAGTACTCCGAACTCACAAAGTGTTAATTCTCTATCAAAGATTGCTGATGTTAGGGGATCCTTGCTTACTAAATGATGAATAACTCTCATCATGTTAAACCTTTTGCACTGAATTTTTCTACTGCATTCTTTCAATTTCCTATAAACATTGTTGGTATCCTTAATAACTTCCTGTTACTTTATGCTCACGTCAAAGATCCTTACAAGATTCTAAAACGTTGTCACTTAATCGTCAACATCGGTCTCGTAGATTTTCTTGGATCGTTGCTGTTGTTTCTTTATACAACTCTTGTGCTTGAACGAGTTTTCAACCCAGCAGACAAAGAGTTGTTGAGTCGCATTTCAAATGGCGTCCTATCGCTCTTTGTATCTGCGTCGTTGTTGACATTTTTCAGCTTGGCAATTGAACGATTTTTATCCGTCGTTTATCCGCTATGGCACAAAGTTCACGTCTCAAACAAAGTCTGTAGGTACTGCCTTGCCGGAATGTGGCTATTCGCTTTCACTTCTCAGTTATTGCGGCTCCTAAAGGAGAGTATCAAATTTGAACTTTTTCCAACATGCTATATTATGCAACATATATATCAATAGTGAAACAACGCAAGGCCCTTGAGAAAAGCAGCGAGTCAAGTCATATCAACAAACGAGCAATGCAGATTCGCCTGAAAAATGAAAAAAAATTTTTGTCAGCGGTAGCAGCAGTTTGTGCTCTTTTTACCGTGCTATTTTCCCCTTTCTTTTGCTATGCTTTTATCACTCATCTGGAAAAAGCGGATACCACATCAAGCAGATTCGATCAATTGGCGTTGGTTATAATGTCTTTGAACTTCACCATTAATGTACCGATATACATTTGGCGTCTACCTAAATATAGAAAAACTTTTAAGAAACTTTATTGCCGTGTCTAGACATAGGTTTGTTAAGAAATTACTTTAAGATTTTGTTGTGGAAACTCCAGTCATATTTAACTAGAGTTTTTACTTTTTACCACATTGTAATTTAGCACAGCTGCAGTTGTTACGTGACGTGTACACCCCATCAATATTGTTATAGACATAATACATGCTACTTTTTAACTGCAGCTCTGCAGAGGTAAAAAATATGTAATTACTTATAACAATATAATATATACAGACCACGAAGTAAGCAGTTTTCTAAAAAATGCAGCTATCATAAAACATTGAACAATCGAAGTACATCACTCAAATTTTGTGTTCACTACTGTTCTTTATCATTTATACATTTGGTTTATAGCTTCTGGTATTCACCCCACAACCTGAACGTTATATGATTTAATTCAATCATAAGATAACGCAAGCGGTATACTAAAGTAATGCGTTATTGTTACATTTTAAAAATAGTTTCACTTTGAGCTAGAATTACCTCTTTGCAAGATGTGACTAGTTGCTTATAGAGTTCACGTAAAGAATGATACTTATTAAATATTAATACTTTAGTAATAATATTTAATATTAATACAAGTAAATTTTATGATATTTCTCTTAACGGCGTGATGTCTTGTCGTAGTAAATGAGAACTGAGTAGTTCTTAAAAGAAAGGAGATGATGTTTGGTGTGATGTCATTCTTCCTCGTCTTCATTATAATTTTATAAATTGAAGTGAATTTTTAGTTTTCGTCAAAGCTGACGTGGCCACCGACGAGAAGTCTGCCGAAATGCAACGATTCATTTATTTTATAGTTATCTTTATTTTGGTTTTAAAACTTCTATCATGAACTACAATCGCCATCCACCGTGACAAATACGCTGTTTAGAGCAACATTTAAGTTTGCATAAACAACTGTAGCATTCCTGATCGCACTGGACCGTGTTGTTAATTTTTTTGTATTCACTGGTTGGAAAAATTTATGTAATACTTTCTTTAAACAATTTCTGCATTTCTTTCTCATGCTTTATAACAACGTTCTACTCCATCGATCTTCTCTTCTGATTGTTAACCGCTGACTCATACCTGCTCATTTCCATATATAAAATAAATCCTAATCAATCCTAATAAATCCTAATCCTAACAGTAATTTGAGCTCGGAAATGTTGATGAATTCGTGAAAAAATCTCAACAAACACGAACAGCAGTTAGCGAACCCGAAAGAGATTCTTTGTTGAGTAAGTAGGATAGTTTGTCACAAAGTACTTGAAATTTCTTTGACATGTTTTCAATTATTGAAAAGCTATCTGTTTATTCAAATAATTTGTTATTCACAATTACTTGCAATTTTGCATCGTTTGTCGTGATTATTACAGTTACAGACGAGATAAAGCTATTGTTTTCTTTATATTATTCTATATATTATTTTCTATGTATTATTGTTTTCAGCAAACACATAAAGAATGGCTGGTTTTCTGTACAACGAATAATTTTGTTCATTTCAGTGTTTTAATTAGAGGAAAAAGATGACCTGGCTTATCACTGCCGGTGCTGCCATTGCTGTTGCTGGGGTAGCGTTTGTCAATTCCGGCTTCTTTAATCAACAGATTGAGAAAGCCAGTTTGTCATATTTGTCTGGAATACAGTTGAAAGCATTGGATGGATCAGGGGGAATGGTGAAGTCTTCCGATTTATGGCAAAAAAGAGGTGCTGTCATAATGGTTGTACGCCGACCAGGATGTTCATTGTGTAGAGAGGTGAATTTGAAAGATGATCTGTGGCTTATTGGACTTACCCCAATGGCAGAGAATTTATCATCTTGTGGTGCATTTATCATCCCTCCAAACTATTTTAGTCTATATTTATGAAAAGGAATTTCTAGCATTCACAGTGTATGTTATATGTTGTATTATTTCTGATGGTACTACTATTTCCTCCACCTGAAAACTCATTTGGGACAATTCGCCTTATGGTTGTTATGATTTGTTCTTATAATATTGTTGTGATAAAATTGTAGTTATAAAAACATATGTAATTATCTTGTTTCATCCTGTTATTTTGTCCATAGTTTTAACTTTTTTTATATCTTTTATTTTAGTTTCATAGAGTGAGAGTTAGAAAAAAAGGTCACACATTTACCTTAAGCTTTTGATGTTTTTCATAGGAGGCCGGAAAGCTATCCTCTCTTAAGCCCAAACTGGATAAGAAAGGTACTCCTTTGATTGCCGTGGTTCATCAAACTATTGGTGTTGAAGAATTCAAAGAGTTTTTTCAAGGGAAAATATATTTAGATGAAAAGGTTGGTCCATGCGGAAACTAACTAATTCATGTTGATTATTGTTTTGTAGCCTCCTATAGGTTGTGCTCCCTCTCCTAAGAGGATGTTACCCTCCCCCCCTCAGTGTTATGTGATGTTTCTCCCTCTTATTAATGGGGATAGTTGCATTTATTTTTTAGAGAAAGTTTTATGGGCCATTTGAAAGATGGGAAAATATCATTGTTGGTATGTAAACAAAGGAAAATGTTTTGCTTGAATTTTGAAAGTGTCAGACTGTCAGCTATCCTCAGCTCTTGTTAGGTTGTGCAAGACTTTCCAACTATCTGGCATAATATACTTTTAGAGGCTCTTCAACTGGGCTTTTCATTTTGAAAGCCCATAAAAAAATGTTTCCAAACGACTTCAGAAGTTCAGCTATTTTGTAGTGGGGCTGAATTATGAAATAGAATTCTGGAAAATACCTAAATTTTGATACTGTCTAATTTGTTTGGTTGAAATCTTCTCTCCTCTTTCTTTTATCAATTATTGTAGCATTCTTAGTTATTTGAATGCTTACTTATATTTGTTATTACGTGTTTTAGAACTTTAGTTCAAAATTTGTAAGTTGTAAGTTAATTAATTAATCCGCCTCTCATCGCTGTCAGCGTGATGTTTTTAAGAGCAACTTTAATCATAATAAAGTTGCTCTCTCGTCACCCTTTTGATGGCATGAAGCAATTCTAACACTCCCAATGGGCACTTGGCTGTTATATTTAATTTTATGTACCGTATTGTATCAGTTTGCTGCGAATTCATCTTTAAGGTCTTTTGCGTGTTCAAACTTGGACTAACGCGCTTCGTGCATATAATGGTGGCTACAAAGGGAACATGGAAGGCGAAGGTCGTTTGATGGGTGGTCTCTTTGTTCTTGGTTCAGCCAACCAGGGTATACTACTCGAATACCGCGAAAAGGCCTGGGGTGACCACGCAGATTTAAAGGATGTGGTCAAGGCAGTTGAGAAGATTCAAACTCTTGGCGATTCTGAATTATAAATCATCAATTTGGATTGATAGCATGGATGGTAATTTTGTTTTGGTTTGTCAGTAATGAAGGTTCATGATCAATTTTTCACCGAGAATGTCTCATGTACTTGATGATGTCGTTTTGACTTTAGCTGATTGATTTAATGCGAAACAAAAAGAAAATTGCAATTTTGTATTTAGTATTCATTTCAATACAAGAAAACTGTACGAGAAGGATGAGCTATATTTTACAGCCAGCAATAGTTTAATCGTTGCACTTGCTGTCATTGAAGAATTTTTAACGCAGATTTTTTAACTTGAGGCTTTCTAGCTGATTGGAACACCTGCTTTCATGGCAGTTTTTTGCAAGCCAAAAACCGCCAAGTCAAGTGTGGAAAATGTCGATTGGTTATTTTACGGCAAAAAAAATTGGCTCTCAAAAAGACATATGTAGCTTTGTACAAGGAGAATTGTTGATCATTTTCTTCTATAATCAACTCAAAAGCTATCACTTTTGAAAACTAAACTCCCCTCTTTGAGCTTCATAAAGATGATTAACTTGCTAAAAAGCCCAAACTTCATTTTCAATCTTCGAATATGTGTATCAAAAAGCACCGGTTTGGGATGGTCTTTGGTGCTTTTCCTAGCTCAACTGAATCTGTTCATAAGAATTTTCAAACATTGCATGAATGACAATCATTCCAAGTGAGCCAAATATTGTTTTATTGAAGCGTGAGTAAAATGACTTTAACCTTATCTGCTCTTCTCGACGATCTGTTCTTTTTCGGTCGTTTATTTTTTTTTAATTTGTAAAATCCAGCTATCAAACGCTACGCCCGTGAGAACAAGGTGCAATATTAGTTTACTCTAGTCAAATTTATTCTCAATGATTTTGCTGCTGAGCGCTGCAACAGCTCTTGTCATAGCCGTATGCTGTTGAATAGGGGATTTTGCTGTTCAATTTGTGTAGGTTTTTCCATCACAGTGACATTGTATACATCTTTTTGCTGTCTTTCAATAACTGCATTATGTTAGTTGAAGTTGCATATTCTCTGTGACTCTGTTATTCAATGGTAAGTTGTGAATGTCTTTCTCAAATATATGGTTGTGGCTTGCTTGATTCAATGCAGTAAACCTGTAAACGTCGATCAAGAGCGCTCGTTCAAGTACTGCAAAACACCGTAAATTAGATAAATCCAGCTGGGCCGTTTTTCACTCATGATTTTCAATCACGTCTACTTTATTAAAAGTATTGTCAATTTATAAAATTGATTGAGCAAACTTGAAATAAACTTTGAAAACTAACGATGATGGCAAAAATAGTTGCATAACAGATGAGTTGAAGTCGGGATTTCTTCTTATTCATGTGCTTGTGCAGTTGTTTTGTTTGTCCTCAATAATATAACTTTTTAACTAAGACCTTAAATCTAAAGCTTAATGACGCTAACACAAAACCTACGAACTAGGAACGACAGAAGAAATTTGCATATTTTACGTCGCGGTCCCGTCGACTGCGAACATTCGACTCCTTTTGACAGATGGAAACAAAACAAGGCAATGATCGCATTGCTGTGGATTATATGTTCATTTGTGTCCAAAAAAATGTCAAAGAATGTTAGCATTGTTGAGTATTTTTATGAGCCAGATAATGGAGATAAAAAAGGCCATAGATGTGGCTATTGCAATGGCAGCAACACCAGTATATCTCAAGGTATGCTTTGAGTTGATGAGCTTGTTTAAAAACAAATTGTTAATCCAGATTTTGTTTCACTTTGACGTGTTTCTGTCATCAAAACACAATACATGCCGTTGTTTATGAGGTTTTTGCAATTTTCATTGAGTAAGCGGACAGTCGAATCGGCTCCAATGTACTTATTTGTCAAGTTCGCCAAACAAGATATGGAATTTGGCACTTGCCCCCTGCAATTGACATACTTTTTATCAAACAAGACGTCTATCAGGCGTTCTCTCGGGCTACTCGAGAACAATGTTTGGTTTTATTTGCGTATTATAATAGTTGCCATATAACTCAACTAAATTCGTGGCAATGTTAATCTCACATGTGGCAATAAATATAATGTTTAAGTAAATCGTGTTTCATTATACCTTTCATTAGTGACGCTCACGAACCATGAAATATTTTGATTAGGGCAAGGACTTCATGTTAGTCGCGCATGATTTAGGTAATCCTGCAGCAATACAGGAAAATTCAAATTTTAAACTTGGGCTACTTCAATAGCCTGGGTAATCAGGGTGGCTGGTTGTTAATCAAATGACATATTGTAATACTTTGGTAGGACGTATCACATCATTGATCAGTACAATAGTGAACATGAGTGCGGGAAAAAAATTTCACCCCCCCTGCCCATGTGAGTCTGTCTTGATTAGATTTACTATGGCAATGCTAATTTTCAGGGATGTGGGGTCATCAGATCACCTGTCAAGACTATCAAGATCTCATTGATAGAGGATGGCGCAGGTGACAATACTCACAGCTATGCCATATAGCTATGAGACTTAGCTATTTAGCTAGAATGACTTGTTAGAAACTTAGCCATTTAGCTAGAATGACTTGTTAGAAACTTAGCCATTTAGCTAGAATGACTTGTTAGAAACTTAGCCATTTAGCTAGAATGACTTGTTAGAAACTTAGCCATTTAGCTAGAATGACTTGTTAGAAACTTAGCCATTTAGCTAGAATGACTTTTTAGAAACTTATCCATTTAGCTAGAATGACTTGCTAGAAACTTAGCCATTTAGCTAGAATGACTTGTTAGAAACTTATATATCTAAGTTCTGTGTTATAATTGAAATGTTTCTCCATTTGATAGAAGTGGCGAGTATCTGTACAAACCAGACATGAAGAGAACTTGCTGTCCATTGTATCCGATAAGGTTGGTTTGAATACTATCAACTGGTCTTTCCCAAACCGAATTGTATCCATGGCCCCCTCCTTCCAAAGAAATTTACATCAATTTGATTTTCTTTCAAATTTTCGTGGAAGGCAAGTGGAGAGATGCGCTCTTCTTGCAAATAGATTTAATTGATAAAGCAATATCCTTCACTAATAAAAACCTGAAGTTCTCTGATTTTTACTGACTTTAAAAGTGTCTTTCAATCACAACTCACGATGATTATTTGTCGTTTTGCATTAACACGCATTTCACAGGTGCGGTGTCATGGAGTTCAAACCATCAAAATCGCAAAAAAAGGTTTTGAAAAACGTGAGGAAATTCCTCTTGGGGAAATCATCAGGTTTTTATGAAGAATATGCAGCACGGTGGAATTTTTTTAGAATAGACCACTGATATTGTAATAAAGTATTCCTTTTCGTTTTCTTTAGAAGCTGAAACTCAGTCAAGTCACAATGATAAAGAGCCAAGAGTCAAACAGGAGGCTTCCTGCGAAAAGAAAAATGATGCAACTTTCGCAAATGAAGGTGGATTAAAATCTTTAAGTGACACGCAAAGTATCATTATAAAATAGAAACAATAAAACGCGTTAAGATAATTATCACTAACAGATAACAGAGACATGGACACGTCTCCGTTATCTACCATAAAATATGAATGCATAAATCTGGCTTCGTATCTTTTTTATCAATGAAACGGCTTATGAAATATTGAACTTTCTGTAGTTTTGGTAGACTGAGCTTACCTCCATATTGGTGTGTTTTTAGAGGGACACTCCGTCGGAGCTGATCCCAATAAACCACGATGCCGTAAAGCTAAGGAAATACGACTTCAAAGAAAACGACGGAAGTTGGCTGCGAAAGGACTGGATGTAAGTATCTTGCCCTTGTTATTTAAAAGCACCCAAAAATGGCTGCATTTATAGCGAGAGTTGAATTTAAGAAAGACATAGCTATTTGACATTTGGTTGCAGTCAGCCAAAGGCATGTTTTATGACTTGTTTGGACATGTTATATGAGTAGTTGGACGTGTTATATGAGTAGTTGGACGTGATGTATGAGTAGTTGGACGTGTTATATGAGTAGTTGGACGTGTTATATGAGTAGTTGGACGTGTTTTATGAGTAGTTGGACGTGTTATATGAGTAAATAGGACGTTTTTATAACAGGGATTTACACATGTTTGTTGAGATAGTCAATGCATTTTAGATGCCTGAAGCAGCAAAGAAACAGGACGAAGGCAAATCACTGGAGGATTTAATAGCTGAACATTTACCGCAAAAAGAGTCCAAGCATCGATTGGAGGCAAGTCAGATTGTAATCCCTCCTTTGGATTTGCTTGTATTTTCTTGCATTAACTTTGTGGCAATAACATCATCAGGGCAAAGCTACCTCTTGTCGAAATAGTACATACTCAAAACATTCAAGTTGAAATGTTTTAGTCGAAAAGTTTTCTCGTTAGTAGTTTACTAGGTACGAAAATCTCCTGGTTAAAACATTTCCCTATAATAGTCTTTCGTGGTCAAACATGTCTTGAGGATTTAACATGAAAAACACGTTAATATTTCCGCTTTCTAAGCCACCCTAACCATAATCTTAGTTTTTCGACGACGTATTGGTTCGAGGATGGGTGTATGCATTATAAATAAACGTAGGTGTTGTATTTAAAGCTACTTAAATACTTAAAGAGGGAGAGAAGCTTGCTACATATAAGATACTATTTCAGTTATCTTTTGATAACATAATCGATTTGATACATAGAGTTTTTTTAAAATGAAACTCATGCTTAAGATATTTTTTCGTTGAAACCTTTTTGATGCTCGGCCAGCCATCTTGCGGAGGGAATTTTTGACGCAGTTCACATTTTTCTAACTCCATTTTCAAAGACCAGTGATGTGCATGTTTTTGGCGAAAGTCTTATGATAATTATCTTGCTCGCTTTTAATGAGTATAATGCGGACAGCCCTAATTTTTACGTGGTAAAATTACGAAGTATTCGCTCGCGATTATTCGATCACCGCTGCACTTGCAGGATCGCAGACTCTTTCAATAATTTCTTTGCATAGTGCGTTTTGGTAAGATGCGATCTCCAATTGCCAGAGTTTAAGAAAACTTATCGATCTTCGTTCGAATTATTCTGTAAATATCAAAGAAGAGTGCACAACGACAAAGATGACAAATTGACAGAGAGAAGGGTAATGTTGACCTTATTTTCCTCGCGAGGAAATCAGTTCAAGATCACAGTTGGAAATAATCGAGGTTCTATATATTCCGAAAAGTAATCTAATGAAAGCATAATAGACTGTAGTAAAACAGGTGATCAGTTAACCGAAGAGCTTGGAAACGAGATTGTTTACCCAATTTTACATTTTCATGGAAGCTTATTTTCGTGATTTGTCTTTCCTTTTTTTCGTGTCACCAGATCAACAATTATTATCTTCCCTCTAAATCTTATCGTTTCACCATCAATTCACGTTTCGTATTTACGTTTTTACCCTTTGTAAATGAGGATTATTACATACGCTCTTTGCGATGATTACCAGCGGTTGAAAAGTGTTGATAATATGCAAAAGAAAATCAAATGTATCACAGACACAGGCATGAATTGTACTGTATTTCAGTTTCTGAACATTCTTAAGTCGTCGGATAGTTTTTCTTCATCCAATTTCAAAACGTCCTACTACGTACGCGTTTGTTTCAATTGCTTTTTGCTATGGTACACAAAAATACAATGACTTGCTGCTGTATAAAAAGTGATGACTTCAAGTTGACGCCGTGCACATACACAATGTCTTACCTTTGCACAAGGTACACCAACACAATAACTTGAAAGAATATGCAAATCATTAACTACAAATGGTCATTTGCTGTCTTAGGTAAAACTTGTTCGGGTAGACATGACCGACCGAGTATTTCGATCCACTCTACGTGAGTCACATGACATCTTTATCAAGTATCAGATGAACATTCATAAAGACAAACCATGTGAATGTAACTTTAAACAGGTAGAACTATGAAAATGCATATTTTATTATTTTCCATATGATTTTGAACTGATTTCCTCCACACTATGTAATGAACAGTAAGAGATAATTTTCATGTTTTTACTATCTTGATTACATGTCTTTTTTTGTTTTTCAGTTCAGACGTTTTCTCTTGGATTCACCTCTGGTGGTGAGTTCGACTATTCTTCATTGACACGCTTAATCTGTATGTTTTACTCGATGTAAACATAGTATAAACACTGTTTTCGTTCGTTGTTGCTCATTCATCACTACCTACACTGACACATGTTATCTTAGTTTACATTTTAGGTAGTACAAACACTGTTCTCGTTCTTTGTTGTTCATTCATCACTACCTACACTGACACATGTCATATTAGTTTATATTTTAGGTAGTACAAACACTGTTCTCGTTCTTTGTTGTTCATTCATCACTACCTACACTGACACATGTCATATTAGTTTAGATTTCAGGTAGTGTAAAAACTGATTTCGTTCTTTGTTGTTTGTTCCATTTCTAGTTTGAAAAACACTCGTCTACACCATCGACCGGTTGGGGTTCTTTTCACGAGCAGTTCTTTTTGGACGGCAAGTTGATCGCCGTTGGTGTTTTGGATATATTACCTCATTGCATTTCTTCTGTGTATTTTTATTACGACACTGACTATTCATATCTTTCACTTGGAAAATACTCTGCTTTGAGGTTCGTTTCCTCCTCGGGTTATCTCATATCACTAATATACTATTTAGAATGTCAGTTTCGTTTTGGTAGTGTTTGGTCCAAGCATTTCGAACAATATTACGTAGGAAAGAGTAGAATGCCGTTTTTCGTTGAAAAAGGGATGAATAGCGTTTTGTTGTTTTCTTTTCAGAGAAATTTCCTTTGCGAGGGAGTTGAATCAGTCAAGTTCGGCATTGAGATTCTACTACTTGGGATTTTATGTTCATTCTTGTGCCAAAATGAACTACAAGGTTTGTGAACATTTCGGATTCAAGCAAACATGAAGTCAAAAGCGAAAAAAAACTCAACCTGTTTCGGTCGCGACGTTTTGTAAACTTACATGCTGTAGCGTAGTCAGCTTGGAAATTTGGTCGTTGGTCATGCTATGTAAATTTTAGGTTATTATTTACTTCTCTACAGCGGGCGAACACCTAAATATTTACATAGGTTTCCACTGGCAACAAGAATTTCGTAGTAGCACAAGGGTCGTTATATATTATCTTGCATCCATCCAAACTTCCTATTCACTTCGCACTGTAAGCCGAAAGTAAGCCGAAACATAATTGCTCAATTAAAAAAACTTGTCGTCTACTTAAAATGTTTGACAACCAGAAATCAGTGACAATCAATCAAGGAAATCAAACAAACCTAGCAAGGTTAGGTAGAGCTTCACCAAGCGAAACCACTTCCGTTTCCGGTATGCCGTATGTGATCAAAGTACACCGCGTAGCTTCCATGGAGCTAACGTATGTACTTTAGGTTTTCAGTGACTTAACTGCGCATGTTCCGCAAGATTAACAAATTCCCTTCTCTGGGAAACTGTTCATTTTTAATCATATGAAGGAAATGGTGGAATGACTCAGAGAAGAGCCTCGTATAGCAATCTACTAGCTATATAGACCCATCTCAACTCTACTTTCAACAGTTTTATCACTGCTAGACCAGAATGATTCCGATTGATCGTTTGTCTTTAGGGTCAATACTTCCCGTCATATTTGGCATGTCCTGAAACGTTCTCTTGGATCCCTTTGGAGAAATGTCTTCCGAAATTGGATGCTGCGAAATACAGTCGTCTAGACGAGACTGATAAAGGTTTGGTGATATTTTTAGCAGTTCTTTGGATTTTTTAATGAAACGACGTGAACTAGGAACGATGGTGGCGACCAGTTTTCAAGCGGCTATTTCTTTTTTTTGGGGGGGGAGGGGAGGGGAGGGGAGCGGCACTAAGTTTCGAGTTGTTATTTTCAGCATTGGTAACTCCAATGTTTAACTCTCAATCCACGCTTTTTTTCAATGCGTTTCAGTAGAGCTGTTTAAGGTTGTGATAATTGACACAAATGTACATAATCGTTTTATTTGGATAAAGGTGTTAATGTTTTTATGATTCTATAAGTTCTATATAAAGCGCGGCTACCTCCGTGGGGGTGGTTACCTTCAGGGGGGTATTTACCCAATCAATGACATCAGGGGCATCATAAGAATATGAATCATCTGCTGATATGCAAATTTATGTAGCTCGGCCGAGTTTCCTTAGTTGCGAAAAGTTTTGTTGTAAAGTCCTGCCCAAGCATTACTTGAAAATCTCCGGAACTCGAGAAAGATTCGAAAATTTTCGGAAATATAACCGCTTTATCGACATTATGACAAATACCAGGATTGAAATATAGGCATTCGTACAGGCCATTGTTTTCATTTCATGTAAGAATTATTTCACTTGCTTGTCAAGAGCACATTAGGCAGAATAAACCTCTTTCTCTAGGATTATAAACATGTATTCTCTCAACTTGCAGAAGACCCTGTTGTCAGTAAAGACACCGTCCAAGTTTTATTTAAATATAGAGGTTTTAAAAAACTTCTTGATTATCAGGTGATCGAATTTTCTTTTTAGAAAATCTGTATGCTTTTCAATGACCGTTTATCAATTTTCCTTTTTTTCCTCAGACGCTTAAGGCGCGGTTTCAATCTAAAGACGATGGAGACGAGGTCCAGCAGTATGCTCAACTTGTTGGGTCAGTCGTTGCTCAAAGAATGGCTTTAATTAGGAAATGAATTGAATGCTCATGTGCTTACGAAATATTTATTTATTTTTTTTGGTAGCAAAAATTCAGTAAAGCATTGATCGTGCGCATATCGTCATCAGCTAGGACGATGTAAAACTAGTGAACTTTGTACTTACTGACAATCAGTGGCGTAGCCAGCCATAGCCAGAAGTTTGTCCTATGTAAATTTCGGGGGCCGGTTGCACGAAGCACGGATAGCGTTATCCATTGGATAGCAAATTTTTTAAACGGTTAAAAGACTTCTTAAAAAGAAAAAGAAAAGGTGTGAAATGAGCAATCACTGAAATAAACTATTACTTCTAAGATTACGAAATTTCTTTGTCCCAACGAAAATAAAAACACTTTTTCTACAAGTTTAAAAATTTACTATCCAACGGATTACGCTATCCAACCTTCATGCAACTGCCCCCAGATCATTAGCATTATTCCTTTTCATAAAAATATTTTATATTTACCGTAAGTGAACACCGAATTATTCATATAGCACGATCAAACTGGCAGGCAGGCTAAGCTACTTAGCGAGCGAGTCTCGTCTTTTATTCTATTTTAAGTGCTAAGCAATTTAAACTCAAAGATAGCTAATATTTCTCGTCATGTTTGAATAAAAAGTTTATCTTTGCGCTGTTGGCCGTTTTCTTTACGTTTTGTCATGCCTATCTCTTAGTTTGCTTCCGTATTTTTTGAGATAACTGCTATCCCTGTATGGATCAACTCTGAAAGCTTTTTTCAACGGCACGTCTCGTTCGAGCTTTTATATAGATTTGTGGTTGTAAACACGTGGAGATTGGACACAATTTGTCGTGGTTGGTGTTACGAAAAGGTGAAACTTTAGAGGTTTGTTTGTTATTGTGTCTTGACTGAACTGGATTGCATGTAAGTGGCATATACGCTGTTCGTAGCGTAGTTGATTCGTAGAGTGGTAGGTGAGGTAAATTAGGAGTATGATTTTGATTGATGTTCTATCAAATTGAGGATAAAATGCAAATCGTGAAAGTTCATAGTCTGTATGTGTATATGTAGTTTTCTGCTTTCTCTTATTTTTTCTGGAGTTTTTCAAGTAAGTGGCCTTTAGATTGATAATTTTCTCCATCATGAAAGATAAAATGCTCGCGTTGTCGCATTTTTTTGAAAATTCATGAATCTGTTGTAGAGATTACCACACATTAGCATTTGAAACGCTACTTGTATGTCGAATAATTTTTTGATGTACATTTTTATGTTCTTACCGATAATGTTTTTAGCTAAGAGTTAAAGTTAAGTATAAACCACCATATGCCTTTAAAAAAGCGCAATCTATCTATTCTGATACTATTCTTTACATTTAGATTTAACGAGAGTAGAATTTGTCTGGAGTCTTTTTCCCCTATCTTCTATGATCATTCTTATGTGACGGTTACCATGCAAGGTGGTCGATGTCTTCAAAGAACACCGTTTAAGGTATGAACGGCTTTACTCTTTAAAATATGCTTTCACGATCTGTTTTTTTATGTTTACGACAATTACACTGCAAAAGAACATCTGTAATTCCTTCTGCAATAATCCTTGATAATGTTTTAAGCATGACAAACTATGAATGTGAAATCCGTACGATTTTTTTCTCGTGTAGTCGAATGACCATTCGCTTTTTTTGGCTTAAAGAAATGTAATATATATTATAATACATGCGACACAAGAGGATGGGGGCATGGAAAGACTGCGAAAGCATCTGTACGCACACAGATTACATTGAGCATTTATTTAGGATAAAAATATCACTAAAAATAGAAAAATAGTCACTAGAAATTAAAGATTATCATCTAATATGAAAATATTATTGACACATGAACATATGATGTATTGTCAATAATGAAACATATACCTCCCGTCCGTGTTCGATTTTTGATAACGAAGACAAACTCTGACATAAGATTTTCGATAGCGACAGTGGCACTATGACTTAACTAGAATACTATAACAGACAGAATGTCATCTCCATATTGATTTTTGTCTAAGCGTTATATGCGTTGCTGTTTGGGCATTCAGAGTCTCAGACAGTGCAAAAGGGCAGCTGCATCCCTGGGTAGATTTTTGTTGAAATCTCTAGAATCCATTTTGAATATATGCAGAGGTGCAGTTACCTCTGTTTTTTAAACTGGCTGAGTGAGAAATCAATATACAATGTGCTCCCCCCCTGCAAAAAAGTCATGCACTGGAGATTGCCTTTTCTATTGTTAAAACTGTTTAGTATGTAGCTAGTGAATTAAGTAAAGATTTTAGAATATTATGCTTTCATTTTGGAAAAGAAACTATTTCGTGTTGGCTGTTCTCAGTCTGCCAACATCTTGCTTCAAATGCAAACAACACTGAATCAATTTAAATTAAGTTTGTTTTGAAAATAGTGTTATTTTCTTTGAAGTAAGGTTTTTTGCCGATCCATCGACATTAGCTCGTTTAATCAAACAAATGATATTCAAATTGTCGCTTTTTATGCAAGAGATAATGAGAAGCAATGACGGTGTTCTAGGGAGATGACCACAATGGATTGTGGGATCTTTGGACTTGAGGTTTTTATCGGTTAAAATGTCAACTCCTTCATTATTGTAAGTACAACATGAAGTTTAAAATGATAAGGTTTTTAATCATTTGAATAGTAAGGAGTAGCGAATTCAGCATTAGGCAGTATAAATTACCTTAGGGCTTAGAACGCCATGGGTGTCTGAGTGTCCGGACGCAAGCAACTCTTGGAGTCTTGGTGTCCCTTCTAGGAAGGAAACCAAACAATTTAGCATCTTGCAGGAACAATATATTAAATGCCATGTTTTATAGATGTACCAAATTTTCAATATGATGAACAGGCTTTTCATTTTGATATGATTTCTGTATGATGAAAAAAACATCATTTAAAATAACTAAGAGCAAGCAGCTTTATTGCTATTTTTGTATTCGTGAGCTGTCACATAGTGCACGAGCATTGAACACTCGCTAATTTTCATCCTAAGCTCCTGAAAATTGGTATCATAGATTTTATTCTTTGGAATTTTGTTACCAATGGCATTTTTAGCTATGAAAGTGGTTTGAATTTAATAGTGAGCTGTCCAAATTTATTTTTCCTTCCAATCCTGGATTTGCTATTGTAAATTGTAATCTAGCCTTCGAGCGCACTGCCTTTTAATGTCTCGTTTTCACCAAGCGTTTTTTATTAGTTGCTCGTATCTTCTTGCGGAAATTGACTCTTTCATAAAGTTCGATTGTTCTCAATCGCACATTTCTAATGATTGTTGCTCTTTTAATTAGTTTTAACGATTATTAGTTTTAACGATTATTAGTTTCAACGTAGAGGTTATAATTGCATTAGCCATTCTGTCTGCATGTAATTGCCAGCAAATTCAGCTATTTTTTTCCGATTTCTGTCATTCGCTTACGTCTATTGGCAATATCCTAACGCTGTCTTGCTGCAGACGACAGAAAATAGTTTTCCTTTTTGAAAATTCTTATTCATGATCACTTAACATAGCTTTCTATCAGTTGCAATCAATAAACAGCTGGGACAACACACCTGTTTCGTGCGACGAAAACTTTCCATTTATAATATACACGCATCCGTATATTCCGATACAGTTGGCGTACAGTTGCTTTCAGAAGCTCCCTTCGTCTTTGAGTATTACGAAATTGCCAAATGACGATAAAACAGCGTTTCAAATTTTGTTTGCCTTCTGTTTTTTAGTTTGGTATTCAAGAGAGAAGGTCGTTGGAGTTTGTCGTTCAAATTTGTTAAGATTACAATAGTCTTCGTTTATCCCTGTCATCGTCATTGTATCGACTCGGGTAGTATCCAAGGATTGTTTGCTGTAACTGGCTTATGTTCATGCAGTTAGGTAGGTATGACTGATGTTGTTTTCTTCATTGCAGAATATGTTACACTTGCACAAATACAGTTTCTACAAGTACGTTACACCACTTCTTAATTGCTTTTGCACTTCATTGGATACATTCAGTATACACATGCCCTTTGAAACTACACAATTGAACTTCTCAAGTGTGGTCGTGTGATAAACTCCTATTGATTGCTTCGCTGAAGTATACGCGGAAAAAGATCTTGCAAATTCCACATTAACTTTTAACATCAACTAAAACATTCTCTCCTTACGTTGAAGGGGAAATGTAGTGTATATTGAATGACATAGTTAGGGCTTTCAAATCATTTCCTTCAAACAATAGACGACGATATTTGTTGTTGGTTTGAAAGCTTCTACTTCAAACAATAGAAAAGGATATTTGTTGGTACATACTTATAAATCATCTTCGTAAAACGTTCTCCAGCAGCTGCAAAGTTAGTTGGCAAGACTTACTACAAGCTGAACTAAAAATTTTTTTGCAATAATTCCTTTCTCAGATAACCATGTCTCCATTGTCGCTCGTACCTTATACCCTATTCTTCTTGCTATTTGCCAACGGAGACTCACCAGATATCGTGCTGGGCGGATCTTCTCCGAGCGTTGCTTTCCAGCATCGAAAGTCTCCGATGGTGGTGGTGGTAAAACTCCGTGCGGAGAACTCAACCCTACGAGAGCGGTGCACAAACTTGCGATGAAATTTGCCATATCCGAGATCAACAAAAGAAACGATATTCTTCCGGGGATAGTACTTGCCACCATATTTAAAGAGACCTGCTGTGATCAGGATTATGCTGTAAATGAAACTTTGAATTTTGATTTCGTCAAAGACGCTTTTCGAAAAGAACCGATGAATGCGGGTCACGTGACCTGCAGTGTTGTAGTAATGAGACGCAGATTGACAAACCAGTGGCGGCGATTATTATTGCCGCAAATAGTCATATTGTGAAGGCGATCGTGAATTTGATCGGTTTATTTAAGGTAAGAGAAATGATTGTTCGTAAAATCATATTTTCATTCTTAGTGTAGCATAAATAATCCCGAGCTGACTGACGTTATCTCACGAAAAGTAAAGCTGCTCACATTTTCTGTTATCTTAGTTTATATTTTAGGTAGCGTAAAGACTGTTCTCGTTCTCTGTTGTTCATTCGTCACTACCTACACCGACACACGTTATCATAGTTTATATTTTAGGTAGTATAAAGACTGTTTTCGTTCTCGGTTGTTCATTCATCACTACCTACACTGACACATGTAATCTTAGTTTATATTTTAGGTTGTGTAGAGATTGTCTTAGTTGTATTTCAAATATGATAAGGAAATAACAATATTTTATAACCATTTCGCTCTCTATCACCTTTATTTTTAAGGTTCCAGTGATCAGCTTTACTGCTACGAGTCCTTCTTTGAGTAATATGGACTATTTTCTACGCACTGTGCCTCCGGATTCCGTCGTCGTTGAAGTTATGGTTGATCTCATACAAAAATTGCGATGGAACATAGTAATGGTTCTTTATGTAGACAATGAGTTTGGTCATTATGCCGCTGAAGGCTTTAGGAGGGCAATCAGGTTGACAATGCCAAAGATTTGTATAGTTCATGATGATAAATTTAAGCCAAACTCTGATAAAGCTGAGATTATGCGAGTTGTTAAAGGTATGATAGACAACACGTACTGAATGGTAACTGTTTGCCCTAAATTTACGATGCAGAACAGTTCTTACACTGCCTAAAATATATACAAAGATAACGTGCGAAAGTTTAGGTACTGATGAATGAACAACAGAAAATGAGAACAGTCTTTACACTACCTAAAGTACAAACTAAGATAACGTGTGACGACTAAGGTAGAGATGAATGAAAAATAGAGAACAAGAATAGCCTTTTCACTACCTAGAATTTAGACTAAGATAACGTGTGATAGTGTAGGTAGTGATGAATGAACAACAGAGAAGAACAGTCTTTTCACCATCTGAAATATAAACTAGGATAGCATGTTTCAGTGTAGATAGTGATGAATGAATAAGAAAGAACGAGAACAGTCTTTACATTACCTAGAATATAAACTAAGATAACATGTGTCAGTGTAGGTAGTGATGAATGAGCAACAGAGAACTAAAACGGTCATTACATTACCTAAAATATAAACTAAGATAACATGTGTCAGTTTAGGTAGTGATGAATGAGCAACAGAGAACCAAAACAGTCATTACATTACTTAAAATATAAACTAAGATAACATGTGTCACTGTAGGTTGCGATGAATGAACAACAGACAACGACAACAATATTTTCATTACCTAAAATATAAACTAAGATAACATGGTTCGGTATTGGTTAATGCTAATGCATACCATTAGTAAAGAATACTTTCTATTTCACCAAGACTTTGCTCAGTTTTTATTTATCTTTTTTTCAGATATTACAAACGTTACCAAGTCAAGAATTATCGTATTTTTTGGTACAAAAGAGGATTTTGCATTTTTCCATAAGCGAAGCGGTTCGTTTAACGCGAATGACTACGTCTGGATTTCGTCCGAGTTGTGGTACAGTTCGGAACTAACATCCATTTTACATAAAGTGGAAAACATCCTAGCAATTGTACCAAAGCAAAGTAAGTTGATGACTGCGATTGAATTAACGCATTTGGTCTGTGGTTCGACTGGTTCCGACTGTCTGGTGGAAGTGTTATTATCACGTAGCCAGCCCAACTTTTTACTCTCGATGTGCAAATATTTTTGTGTTCATTGACCGCGAGAAAAATGTATTTCTAAATAAACGAATGATGGTGATCCTTCAGAATTTGCATGGCATGAGTAACTAGTCTGACACGAACACGTGCTACTTCACGAACCCCTTCTCTTGCTGCCATGTTTATAGTAAACCGGCCGTTTAACGCACAGTAAAATCTGACACGAACACGTGCTACTTCACGAACCCCTCTCTTGCTGCCGTGTTTTATAGTAAACCGGCCGTTTAACGCACAGTTTTCAAAATTCGTATGCATGTTATAAACACGAGAAGCTGATGGAAAGCGTACGGCACCTCAAGTGCACGGATTTCTTTGTAATTTACTGTAAAATATTCGTAGAGACACTTTTCCACAAACATTCTATTTTTACAGGCTTTCTTTCGGATCACTTTCTCGAATACTGTGCACGGCACATGCACGTGAACATCACGTCTGCATGTCTGAAAGAGAACGTGGAAAGATCAGTTCACGTTATTCCACTGATATTGAACGCCGTTTTTGCTGCTGCTGCGGGTATTCATCATAGCCTGGGTTGCGAACGCGTTACATCATGTCGCAATAGGCTTGGCAATACCTCTCTAAGGTAAGCTATATACACTCTTAACTCTTATTATTCTCTCCATTTTTTTCTAGATTTTTTTGAATTTCTACGAATTGTTGGAACCTGTGTTCATTGAAAAGTTCTTCCAATTTAACGCGAAAATTGTTTTTGCATTTGGAAGAACTTTGAAATGTAAAACACGAAAGAAGTTCAATTTTACGCTTTTTACAATTGTGTTTTTATCACAACAATTTGTTTTATTGCTAACTTGGTGTAATTTATCAAAGTTTGACCTAATTTATTAACAAATTATTCGATTTATGATTCATTAGAATCTACTTTATTTAATAACATACATAACAACGGTAACTCCAAAAATCGTAAGCATTTTGATTAAGCATTTCTGCTTTATTTAGTTATCATCAGGAATGATTATACTACATGCGTGCGCAGTATATAGATTCGATGTAATTTGATCAAGTTAACAGAAAACAGATAGTTCACTGGAAGCTTTAGTGCCATGATTAAGTTCCGGTTTTAGCTTACGGATGGCGAGTGCTTCTTAGAACAAAAGATTTTGCCAATCCTTGCCCTGTCTATGATGTGACAGTTGTTCAGCAGAAAGAGAGTTAGGTCAAATTGTTCGGTATTTGGTTCGTCCATGTTAAGTTGTAAGAAATCAGTGAGATGGATAAATTCTCACCTGTTCACCAAAAGTTCACAGCTTTTGATGTGTTTATAGATTTTTGATTTGTTGTCTGTAGTAGCATGTTCGTGTAGTCTTGTGCAGAGGCATCTGTCTGTCTTACCAATGACTAATTGGAATTCAAATTTTTAGGAATTGAAGCCGAACTTCATCGTTAATTTGTTTTTCAGTTCCTTGTTAAGAAATTTGAAAAATTTGAATGAGACCAACCATCTTACCAACCAGATCATATCATTTGATGAGAACCGCAACCCCCCCGAATTTCGTTTTCCGTTTTCAAGCTCAATCACACCATCGCTGTACAACGAGGCCAAACAGACCATGACGTCATTGGCAACTGGTTCTGTTCTCGGACTACGTGTAAGGGACAATTGTCTGGTAATGTCAGCAGTTTTATTAACTACCATGCCTTCGATTCTACTTGTGGTATCAACTGCCACAAAGGCTCGTATAAATTAGTGAAAGAAGATTATCCTGACTGCTGCTGGACGTGCAAGAAATGCACCGGGAACATGTATACGAACAGTTCCGATCAATTAAGCTGTTTGAAATGTGCAGAGGATCGATGGCCCAATGATAACCACTCGTCTTGTGATCCAATCAAGCATGAATATTTGAGCGTCTTTTTCACCCCAGGTGTTCTTCTTCTTGTGTGGAACATCTTGGGCATCATAGGGATAGTGATCATTAGTGGTGTATTCGTGAAGCACAGCTCCTCTCACATTGTGAAAGCTTCAAGTAGGACATTGTCATTGCTGTTGCTGCTAGGAATATTTATGGAATTTGTGATAGTCTTAACGTCACTTCGGGAACCACAGAAAGCTTGGTGTACCACGATGTTCGTACTTACTCACGCCACAAGATGTCTTGTTGCTGGAACGTTATTAATGAAGACAAATAGAATTCATCGAATCTTTAGGAAGACCGCCATGATAGGTGAGGTTGAATATTTGAGACATTTAGTGGTTGTTGTTACAAAAATTTGTCGTTGGTATCAAAAATTTTTTCATTAAACTGGAGTCCATTTAAACTCCAGTGTCTTCATCAGGAGTGATCTTTTGTTAAAACTTGTGTCCTTATATACTCCAGTCTAGTGTCTTCCTTATGATTGATCTGATGTTGAAACCAGTGTCCTTATATACTCCAGTCTAGTGTCTTCATTAGCAGTGATCTGATGTTGGAACTTGTGTCTTTATATACACTAGTCTAGTGTCTTCATCAGGAGTGATCTAACGTTGATTGAATGTTATATGCTCTAGTCTAGAGTCTTACTCATTAGTGATCTGATGTTGAAACTTAGTCTTTATATACTCTTATTTCGATTAGGTCTTATATATTCTTGTCTGATGACTTCATCAGGAGTTATATCGAACTGATCTTGAAAGTTGAATTCTTGTATGCTCCCATTCTAGAAGTCTTGTGCCCTCATCAAGAGTTATTTGATGTCCAAATATTCATGCAGCAGTTCATAGTATTGGTCGTGCTATCGAATTGTATTTGTTTTGTTCTCTTGTAGAGCCTCCGCGGTGTCTTGGAAATAACTGTCAACTACTCATCATCGTGATTATAGTATTTATCTCAATTATCATCTCCACAACGGCGCTTTTTGTCAATCCCGAACTTGGAAATGAGCTAATACTTTACGTTAAAAAAGAAAAAAAGAAAACGGCGTTCTTACTTTGCAATTTTATCGGAAGGTACGCATGGAGGTTCACCATTTTATTACCGTAAAAGGGAACTAGTAAGATACATACAAGGGTGTAGGAGACTGGAGACCCACGGCTTTTCCTAATTTTTAATATTGTGAGGCCACGTATGAAAATTCAACCCCATCACTGCCTTCACACGCCTCTTCACCTTTTTTTTCCTCATTTAATATTGCTCTGGACGGCGGTTGCTAAGTGAGTAAAATTATCTACTTTCCTCATCTTTAGTTGCTGCTACCTCAGTGTTTGATTTTGGTCTCAAATACCTATATTCCGTCTTTTCCACTTATCTACCTTCCTCTACTTTCTAACGCATCCTGTCTTATTCTTTCTTACTCAATGCAGTTCGCTTTAGTATTCTCTGTACAGTTGTACTTCGCAATCAACGACCTCATAACAAATACTGAAATCCTAGTGCTCTTTCTTCGGGTGTAGCCACGGTGCTGCTTATAATTGCCAACCTCTGCCCTAAGTCTAGCTTTCTTTTTTTCTTTCCCATTATTCAATTGTATGATTAATCAACTTTATTCTTCTGCAGTTGCTTACAAGTTTGCACGTCTCTCTTATATACTTAAAGACTTGTGTCACTGCACTTCTCTATACCTTAGGAATCTTATCACTCTATAGGTTCCTTTTTAACTCCTAAGTCAAAGACTCAAAAGACAGTTCTACCTGTCACTTCCACGCTTCCGTAGGTATATCATTGCGTTGTTTCTTCATGTGCCTCTGTTTACTCTCCTCAGCCCCCTCGGCATCCAACGAGATCATGTTCGCTGCACTAGTTTTGTCACCTGAAAGCACATCTTGACAACCTGAAGTTTGTCTTAACTTTTCCTTACCTGCCTTACGTGGAAAAGGTAATCGCCACAGCCATTTCTATCCTTTTGCAAAACCTTGTACCGTCTGTTGTTCTATGTTCCTATCATGAATACCTACCTTCGACTTCCCATTACTTTTTCGTCACCATTGAAGTCATAACCATTGCAGTCTGCACCATTGAAGTGATAACCAATCACTTCCCTTACTTCTATGGATACTCTATATCACTTCATCTCGCTCACAGGTAGAACGTCAATTAGAAAGAAGTTCTCCTTTTCAAATGACGTCTTACTAACTTCAAAGGCATCACTAGTCTGTTATTTTCTTCATTTCTTGAACATTCTTGACAAGATAACTGCTACTCAATTTCATGTCCATTTAACACCAAAATAATACAATTTGAATTCTGCTTGCATTGTATCTACGTAGCCTTTCTTCGTAGCCCTCTACTTTTCCAGCTGGTCTATTGAATGCAGAAGATGTCGACCTTTTGTCTTTGCATCATGTCCACCAGCTCTCTAGCTTGTCTTTTCATAGTACTAACATTCAAGTGGCTTTCCTCTCCTTATTCAGACCTGCGGACACTTCTTACTTCTCTCTTTCGACCTACAGGTCAGTATTTCAATTTCCATTACTGCCCTGCAGACTCAGCGCTATCCACGTTTACATACTAGTAATACTGTAATACTTAGATTTTTCAAACCTTTTGTATATTTTTACCACATTTGTTGCAGTAAATAGTAGTATATGTATGATATATGTATATAATATGATATAATATAATAAATAAAATTAAATGATAGTATATGTATATTTAAATGTATGAACTTTACTTGTTTGAGAAATATCTGAACCTCTTGGTAAGTTTTTTGTGCACATAGTTTGCGGAAAGCTTTTATCTGCTAGGCAGTATCAACCACATGACCATTTTTCTTACGACCTGTAACATTTCACTAATTTATAATTTCAGAACTTTCCAAAACACTAAACTTCATATTCTCCTGTGGAGCTACGAATATGGCTTGAGCTTTATATGCACATATCAGGCCTACCTGGTACGCAAGGTCCCAGAGAATTACAACGAGGCGTGGTACATCACCATCACCATGGTAACTATTTCAACGAACATTTTAATATATTTTATAAGTGTGATCGGTGCGCAAGACAAAAACAAAGCATATGTGTATTTCACTGTTAAAAGCCTCACAGCAACCGTTGCCTTAGGATGTATGTTCATTCCAAAGGTCTACATCATCATATTTAAGCCGGAAAAAAATGTCCCGCACAACGTAGCCTCCATACAACTGGGTACATTTGTGGATTCTAAGTCCAGTGTTGTAAAATCAACAGAGAGAACTTCAAATGTCCCGCACAAGCCTCCATACAACTGGGTACATTTGTGGATTCTAAGTCCAGTGTTGTAAAATCAACAGAGAGAACTTCAAATGTCCCGCACAACGTAGCCTCCATACAACTGGGTACACTTGTGGATTCTAAGTCCAGTGTTGTAAAATCAACAGAGAGAACTTCAAATGTCCAGCACAACGTAGCCTCCATACAACTGGGTACATTTGTGGATTCTAAGTCCAGTGTTGTAAAATCAACAGAAAGAACTTCAAATGAATAGTCAAATTTGATGGCGACAAATTTGGCGGCGACAAGATGGAAATAGTTTGTCAAGCTCCACGAAAAGAGTTGCTGTGGACAGGAATTAGAATGATTTCGGCAATCATATCCGTTTTCATGGTCATTTACATGAAGTAAAGGATTTTGACAGTTTGAATGTCTCTATAGATCATGTTGTAGTTAATAGTTTTACTGACGTAGCCAGTAGTATGTAGTATGAGATGTAAATTATCGTGCAGAGGGTTTGCTTCAAAGGAGTTATCCCATATTTAGAGCATGTGGTGTTTTGTCTCATAGAATAGCAAGTTTGTCATTTTAAAGGGAACGACTATCTATTCTATTCCAATTTTCGAATTGTTACATGTTTGACAGTGGTAATGTATTTCTTAAGTCTTTGTGTGTACATAGCAGTGGGGCTTAAGTTGGTTAACACAAGCATGAAATCTTCAAAGGAAGACTTGGACATTTAAATATGAGCATTGGGAAATTGCTTTATATAAGAAAATTAGGAAATTTTCCATGATATGGCAAAATTAACCATAATTAAACCACGGAATGTTAACAAGCAGAAAGTGATCTACAGTATAATGGTTTTGTATAAGCAATATGTGTTACATTTACCACTCATCAAGTGCACGATCAAGGGGATTTCCCTCCTCTATACTTTAAAAATGTTTAGAACATTCTATCGAAAATTTGTCCCAGGGAATGACTGTTTAATGATGCTACTCTTGGCCTGGAATGGGTCTTATAGTGTTATTCTGTGATAAAAGGATTCTAGTCATTGCATGGCTATTACCAAATGAGTAAAGTTTAATATTTTGTTAGCTTTCACATCATCTTATGAGTCAGATCACAAACTACAAAACCTTGCAATTTTATAATACTTTATTAAAAAATAATTATCTCACACAAGCTCACTTTTTCGAATAGGAAAATTTTTAAAGCTTTAGCAAACTTTAACGTTGTATTTATGAGGAAAATTTACCAAGGCAGCAGGAAAATTGCATTTACGAAGTACAGTACAACTTTTATGACAGAATGTATGTGCAGTTAGTCAATGATGAAACGCTGTTTCCCAAATGTCATGCCTGCCTGCGAAGCACATTTATTTGTGCCCATCTGAAGTGGAATGAAATTCAAGCCTTCTTTCAATTGCTCCTTGGAGAATATGCGTGGACTGTATTTAGACTCTTTTGGTCCAAGTACAGGCCAATCAGGATGAAGATCCGCGGCCTGAATGAAGCAAAATTATGGTGATGACTTCACAGATGATTTTTGGCATTTTACTAAATGGCACTAGAAAACACAACGTTATACCTTTCTTGATACAGCATAGATTCCATTGATAACCTACAATTGTAAATGAAACAAAAACATGTTAGTATTAGCATTGTAAAAGTTCCATGGAATAAGATAAAAATACAAGACATTTTCCATTACATTATGTTCACACATACCTGCCCCGGATTAGTTTTCTCATATAGGTCCACAACTTGAAATAGATCCAGTTTTTTGCAATTTAACTTGTCTATTCCGGCCAAAATAAACTTCTCGATATTTTCTCTCTGAATTAAGAACAAAATCATGCATGCCGTGTAATAATGCTCATATATTGTCATTTGCAAACGGTTATCTACAAGATCAAACCTTTCTGAACGCATCTTTCTCTTTCAGGATTTCATTAAATTTTGGAATTGCTCCTTCATAGATGGTATTCATCAACCTTAAAAAGAAAAAATTCATCTGCTGTAAATGCTTTCACCACATCACAGATGCTACTAAACTTACATGCACAAATAGCGACCATCAGACAAAGCCGCACACATTCCATCTCTACCCAATGGATTGTTATAACGCCATTCATTTAATTGCTCTGCTGTTTCAATATCATCAGGGGGGTTGCACAGCAGAGTTCCTGTTACATCCTCCATCCATAAACGTGCGTTTTGTTCAGCCTGGTCATCATATTTTGAGTCCATCTAAAGAAATACGACAGTTTTTGTCGATGCGTGCCATCTGATTCACAAATATTCATTACATTATGCGCTAGCCATAATACAGACATTGCTGCCATATTTTTATAAAAGTTGATGGGCTGTAAACTGATATTTCAGATCATGTGGTAGCAATACATCAGAAGAATGTCCAGTCGGAAAATGAAACAAATTGGCCTGTTTGCCTTTTCGCACGATTACGCGATTGAAAAGCTTTCAAAAGAAACATGTAATTTTAAATCAACAATAATAATTACTGCTTTTCAAACCATAACGTCGCTAATGCGAATTCCCAAGGTTACGACAGATGTTAAACGGTAATACGTGTTTACTAATAGGCAGAAAAATTCGAGCAAACACCCTGCAAAAAAAGTACCTTCATTTTGATTTCACGACTAAATCCATAGCCCATTGGTCTGTTGAATTCTCTCGACATGATTGAAACGAATTCTTACGCGATAGTTCAAACGTCAAAGATCACCGAAGTCAGACAATGCTATGTTGAATGTTGTCATGTGTGCCGAAAGATATATATATGTATATATAGAAAATCTTGAACTACCCCTCCTGAGTTCTCAATATTGGAAAGTTCTTTTGGTTGCTCGACTCCTGTTTCTGTTGAGGAAGAAACTAATTCCGGGGGGGTAGCTAAAGGATTCATGTTGTCTACTCATTCATAAACACTGTTTTGTGAACAGTTTAATTACGGATGACCGATTATTCGCTTTTCGATATATTGGACCTCATCGGATAATTCATGTCGAGTACAAAAGGGTTGAGCTGTGGCGTGCAGGAAATAGAAAACAGAACGACAAATCTGGATATTATCGACCTGTTCAACCAAAAATGGCGGACGAATTTAATAGCAGGTTTCTTGTTTGGCAGTTCGGTTAAAGTGCAGCAGACTGATTTGCATGGGTTTAAAGCCCATGTGTAACTCGTTTGTGATTTGTCGGTTGCATCGGAAAAGAATCTGCGATATAAAGGCGACATTCCATTGAAAACAGGTTTACTTGCTAAGCTCTGATTTATTTTTTGTGAGACTGTCTTATAATAAAATCGGATAATGTTTGAATTCCTTAGAGTAAAGACATTAAAGAAAAATGCTTTGCTTCTAGAAGATTTCTATCCCTTTACAATTGGAGGAAGAAGGTAAAATGGCTCGCTTAAATCGAGGATCTCAAGTCTTATGACAGCATACATTTTACTTTAAGTTGCCTTGTCTTATGAATGCTTATTCAAGGATGGAAAGGACTTCGAAACAGCAGCAGGAGGGGAGGGGGGGCAAGGGGCATGCCTTCCCTTTTACTCATTGACAAGCTTTCGTCATGAGTATGTTCTTGTGCCTCTCTCTACTTTTATACAGGCTCCGCTATCACCGTCATTCGTAGTCGCTACATTTTAATCCTTCACACATACCTAACCAAAGGTTAAAGGATTGCTTGTAAGCCAATTTTTGCCTTGGCTGCGCATTCAGAGTTTTATCTGCTATTTCACATGGGGACTTGTCATTTTATTAAGAGGCTTGTCTAGATTTATCGCTGTGGCGTGATCGCATATCAACGATATTATTGGCAGGGACAAGGCTGTCACGCTTATCGTTGTATATGATCTAATAGTCTATTAGCATGTTTTTGCACTATAGAATTTGCATACTTCATTTATATCAATGGATAGAAATCTACAGTGTTAATTAAAAACAATTAAATAGGATTTTTGTGACGTGGGTTGGTGGTAGGAATACACCAAGGACCGTATATATACTGACCAATTGTGGCCAACACGTGTTTAAGTTTGCATTGCAAACAGATGATCGACTCTTCTGCCAGATATGAGGTACTGCTCTTGAGTGATTAGCTCTTATCGTAAAACTTCATATCGAAATGAATACGTCTTATGAAAAAATTGGCGAAGAATTTTTTCCGCTCGATCTCCCTCCCTCCCCTCCCCTCCCCTCCCAAACTTATCGACTAAGAGTTGGTATAAGTTTTCCATCGTATGAAAAGCTTTTGTAAATTTTCCTTATGTTGAAATGGAAACCATATGGCAATGCTGACGGCCATTCTACTGAAATTCGTGACAGTTGATGCTTAAAACCCCAAGCAAAATTATGCATTTTTTTATAATCCACTTTGAACCCCGTTGACAACACTTATCACAACGTAAAATATCTGTTCGTCGGTGCTGCTCATTGCGCGCAAATATCGATTTACTTTTCCACTTCTGTCGCTCCCATCGCAGGGCTTTAAACTACCATCGTGTTTTTAAATCGTTTCAACGTGTTCAAATGTCAGCATTAAATCAATGCCATTCAGCAAAAGAGAGTGTTGAGTTGTGGTCTTCACGATTGGATTGCCGCAGTTCGACATGTGAAATATTTGTTGCAAAAAGATATAAAATATACGATAAAACTAACAGTCTATGTTGATGCAACATTCATCAAATCGTACAACAAGCAAAATCTCTTTAAAATTAGCATTGCTACACCCTGTGCTTGAACATGTTTGAAAAAACTCAATTGGCATCCCTTGATCGTTACGTAAACAGCAAAGTTTGCTTGAAATATTGCTTTAAAGACTTTATGTTTCTTATCTGAAAACTGGAAAGTTTATTTACTAACTTATGTCATAAAAACGCATATTGATTTACCCTTTTCTTCACTTCGGCTGTCATGCCAAAGCCCGTTGGTCTGTTTATTTTCTCCGATGCCATCTCCAGGTATAGTCTTGTACACCAAACACTATGTCAAAAACTTCAATGTGAGTTGCAGAAGTCTCCAAGCGCTCGAGCTGTCTCACCGACGCTAGACGTAAGACTATATAGTAATTGCCGAGGCTCTACCCTCCGCTATTGAGCCGGTTTACACAATTCCGCGACGGCGATTGGTCAATTTTTTTGACCTCTTGGTGCCCCCAGACAGTGAAATATTTACTTTAACTCGTGTTACAAATTGTTCAATTGCTTGAAATTCTTCAAAACAATTTTATGGTATTTACCCACCTTCTTCCGTGCATCTGTTCGTCAAGTCGACTCGACATGATCGATATTCCTCTACACAAATGTTCTCTTTGGACATATTTTTGCGGTGGAATGAATTTCGTCCAAATTACAATCTATGAACTTGCAACGTTGTAACATATACACTCGTTTAGCTCGTATCTTTGCAGGCCAAGGGTCAGACGCGCCTCAATTATTATTAGTTAGTTTTCTTATCTTTTACTAAGCGTAAGATAAAGGATGCTCTTCTGCGGTAAATTATAATCTGTCGAAGCGATTCTAAAAGGCAGCTGTATTTGTAGAACTTAGTATATTATATGCATTATTACAATATTTTACTTCTATTTATAGACACATAGCTTTAACGTTGGGGGTATCATTTCCCACTCGATGATGTGAAATTTACTTTTCGGAATTAAAGCCACATTCTTCATTTTCGCATGGAGAAGTTAACTGTAGTAAACTATTCATATTGTGGGTTATGAAATTCGCGTGGAGTCCTTTCAAAATTTGTCGAATCACGACGAATTGTGCATTAAAACATATTTATCAAACGTCTCTCTCATCTGAGAATCATTTTAATCGAGTAATATCTTCGTAATTGCTCAATTTTGGGTATGTCAATCGACCATATTAGGAAACAAACAACTACTTATTGTGAATTGTGTCAGGCAACGCCTCAGTTTTTAAAACATCCGTTTTGCCATTCCAGGTCTTCGCCCTTCATACCGATTTCAGTTGAAAATCCCGAAGGAGCTCTGTGTTTTGGCCTTATTTCCAATTATGGTAAGACTCGTTTTCGATTGAATATTTTTGCATCCTAGCCATTTTTGTTTTTACCGTTCGCGCGTTCTTAAAAGTTGCTAGATCCAATACGTTGGACTCATGCGCAGAAGTATGTTCCACAAATTATTTGCACAGCTGACCATGCTCCACTTGACTGAGATTTTTTGGATATGGAGACTTCCATGCAGCACGGTTGAAAATGTTTAAAATCATGAATGTTATCCTAGCAGATAGTTTCGAATATTTACCAAATTTCGTGCTTGTCAATGAGTATTCGTGATGACTGAAAAAGTACGGAAAAAAAACAAACGACTATGTTTTTTTTTTGCTTTCACTCTGTGACATCTGGAATTGTCGGATTGCCGTATCGGACAATCACTAAGCGTTGTTAGACCTGGCCTGCGCACAGTTTAGTTACCTTTCAAGTTGCTTTGCTGTTGACATGATTTGGAAGGTTTCGTGTGTTTCTCTCAGTGCTCTAATAGTAAAACTCGTATGTATCTGATGCACAGACTCTATCTCATTCGACATGCACGGACAGAACATTTAGATGATTTATCGTTTCTTATGTATAAGGACCCGGTAGGGCTTTTTTTACCACATTGTTCTCGTTATACATTGAAGCCGACAAGTGAAATACACCATTTGCTATTGCCGTTATTTTTGCATGAAGTGGGAATTATTTTTTAGCATTCTATGTCCAGTGGAATGTTTTTAGCGTGACCGACCACACGTTTATCTGTGCATCGAAATGACATATCACAATAAAGATATTTCAGCTGATAAACATCTTCATGCCGGTGTAAAGGCTGATTTTCGAATCGTCAGAGTGACTTCGTTCCTCCACTTGTTTTGTGGGTAAGAAACGACTGAGATGATAGTGAGAGTCAGCCTTTTTAATGACGATCCTTTCAAAAATACATTATGTTCAATGAAAAATTTTACTGTCGAATTTATGCATTAGGTATAAACAGACAAGCATGTTGCGTCAATTGAAACTTCTTTGAGATAACTATATGAATGATTTTCACGCAAGCTTTCCGGTTTGTTATGGTTTACGACTTTGGTAACAATCGGATATTTGTCATCAATAGTTTCGTTTTTTTCTCGGAATGTTGATTGGAGATAAGAATCCAAAAATTCAACAACCCCGATGTTCTCAATTTCTCATCGCTTCCTCACTACTTTTGGCAAGCACGTTCGTCGACACTCGTGTTTGACACAAGGTAGGCACAAAACGTGAATGTCCTTGAATGTCCTTGAATGTCCTTGAATTGAAAATGAACAATTGAAGACATTGAAAGTCCTTGAATTTATTAAAACGATCTTGAAAGTCCTCGAATTCTAATTTTTGGTCAAGCTGCATGATGTGACAATTTCCTTTTTCAGAAGTCAAATATCTCTTTGAAAGTCCTTGAAAAGTGCTTGAACTTCATTGCTCTTGCATTGTACGAACAGCGTGACGACAAAAAATTTTTGCAATTTTTTTAAAAAAATAGACATGGCTATTTTCGGTGTAGCTATTTTAGTTATTTCTGTAGCAAGTGGGGAGACATGCTCTCGCAATCGTTAGAGCATGTTTTAATTTACCTATTTTCAAGGGGTATTTTGTCGTTGTTGTCCAGTTATGGATGAAATTCCTTACATTCTTGTAGAAATTATTCCATTAACGCAGGATGTGGAAACAGAAACGAGTTTAAAAATATTTCAAATCACCACTCGTTTGTTAATCATTTCTCGCGAACGTGCTGCGCTCCAAAAATACTCGCGAACGCGCTGCGCTCCAAAAATACTCGCTCTCATTGCTGGCATTGTACAAATACTTCATGTCTGTATTTGCGAGAAGCTACTCCCAGACAAGACAGTGGTGTATATATGGTCAGGCAATCAAGCGCTGTTATATACCGTTTTGTTATCTAACAGAAAAAGAAGCTGTTTACATATTTTTCGCAGTTTTTTTTTGGCTTCAAAAATGTGCAACTACAGACCGTGGTGTAGATAGTACAAAGAGTGGCAGTTAAATATACCGATAATTAAATTAATTAGGTTTGTACATATCTATGCGCACACGTCATGTTCGTTTGCAGTGTCAGTCTTGTGATATAAATACGCCTGTCATGCATGTATATTGAGTAACACCGAATTCACCCCATTTTTATCAAAAAATTCGCATCGCACAATGGAAGAATGACTTACATTAGCAGTTAACATGTTTACTTATGGAAAGTTAAAAACTTTCAATGAAACATAATGTCGGAGGCAAATATCATTGGGAAATCTCATCTAAACTGAAAAAGATTCTCTGCCTTCGTTGAAATATAAGCTCATCTAATTTATCAGTGTTGGTAGTGATGAACGAACAACAGAGAACAAGAACAGTCTTTACACTATCTAAAATATAAACTAAGATAACGCGTGTCAGTGTATGTAGTGATGAACGAACAACAGAGAACAAGAACAGTCTTTACACTATCTAAAATATAAACTAAGATAACGTGTGTCAGTGTATGTAGTGATGAACGAACAACAGAGAACAAGAACAGTCTTTACACTACCTAAAATATAAACTAAGATAACGTGTGTCAGTGTATGTAGTGATGAACGAACAACAGAGAACAAGAACAGTCTTTACACTATCTAAAATATAAACTAAGATAACGTTTATCAGTGTAGGTAGTGATGAATGAACAACAGAGAATGAGAACTGTCTTTACACTACCAAAAATATAAACTAAGATAACGTGTGTCTGTGAAGGTGGTGATGAATGAACAACAGAGAACAAGAATAGTCTTTACACTTTCTTAAATATAAACTAAGATAACGTGTGTCAGTGTAGGTAGTGATAAATGAACAACAGAAAACGAGAACAGTCTTTGGTCTTTTACACTATCTAAAATATAAACTAAGATAACATGTGTCATTGCAGGTGGTGATGAATGAACAACAATGAACGAGAACATTCTTCGGTAAACATCTTTTATCGAAGAAATGTGGTTAATATATTTTATTTAAGAAATATTTTTTCTTCTGTAAACATCTTTTATTTTTATGTAAAATAACAATGATGCGAAACAGACAAATTTGAAACAAATATTTTATATATTTCCTCTTAGGGCCTGTTCACATGAGCCCGGTAACCGAGATTCAGCGAGGCGTGAAATGATTTTGAGTCATTGAAAGGAGCAAAAACTTCAAGCGCAACACTTGCAACCTTTTGTTATAAGTGTCATAAGTCAATTTAGTTGTAATTATCAAATCAGGCTAAATTATTTATTTTCATTTTATAGGTTTTGTGAATTTGCAAAGCAAGAGCAAAGAGAAATTGCTCAAATGAGTTTTTCTTGTGAAATGTTTAATCTTTTCCATTGGCCAAAAATGATTTAACGTTTCGCTGAATCCCGGCTACTGGGCTCATGTGAACAACCCTTAAAATGTATTTATGATTGATTAGCAAATTCTCGTGCAATGATTGATTGATTTGATTGGTTGAGCTCAGTTCTGTTTTGCACAAGCTAATGAAAACACAGCCTTAGGGGCTGATTACATGGAGCATTTTCAACCCTGGGTTGAACTGAACCCTTTTAAGTGAGTTGAAATTTATTGCGATTATATGGAAATCTTGTCCCCGGGGATGGAAATTACCGGGTAAACGCGCGAAATTTAAATATATAAAACATGGCTGCCGAAAATCACAAAAACATAACATTTCAAGTTATTCAATGTGGAATCTTAATAGCGCTGATAATACAGTGCTGTGGTATGGCGGACCAAACTGGGTCGGGTCATCAGCATATATTTTCGCCATTTCCACGCGTATTGCTTCGTATAATCGGACTTTATCAGCATAGAAATCCAAGTTTTGAAACTCCATTTGTCTTTTATAGTTGGCCAAACAGCGTATCAAGTTCTCCATTTTGTCATCCTTGTTCCAACGAAATCTTCTTTCGCGATAAGTGCTTGTATTTACAAGTTCTTCCTTATTTTCCAGATCCTCGTGTATCGTGTCCTCCATTTTGCTAAGGACAACAATCAGACTACGCATGCTCAAATATCTCGGCCCTGGGTTGAAAACAATTACATGGCGCAACTTTCAACCCAGTGCTGAGTTCAACACTGGGTTGAAATGTCAACTCGATTTGCAGAAACAGGGTTGAAATTTCAGCCCCGGGGTTGAACTCAGCACTGGGTTGAAAATTTGCCATATAATCGCACGTTTGGTATAACAAATGTTTCGTATTAAGACTGGGCTGAAATTTCAACTCACTTAAAAGGGTTCAGTTCAACCCAGGGTTGAAAATGCTCCATGTAATCAGCCCCTTAGTTAGACCAATCAGCGCACGCCTTTTTTATGCTTGCATTTGACATCGAATTGCATTGTGCTTGTTGGGGTCCCAGTTGGGAAACGATACTTCTTCTGTAATTTTATCAAGCGCAAATCTAACAACAGCGTAGATGCCATTTATTAACTGTAAGAAAATATTCACCGTAATGTGAATGTTTTACCCTTCATTTCAAAGGAAATTTGTTTAAAGACGTTATAAGACTGGCTATCTGCGCAGCTTATGTTTGAAAATCTTAGGAAATATTGATGGTGTTGGAATATGAATTAACCATGGTGTTAGGGCGTGCACAGGGGATGAAACATATGTGAGCAAAATTTAAATAGCATATAAATCTTAGTCTGGCACTTTTACATTTTGTTTTGATTGTTCGTGAAAAGACTGCCATCAGTTGCATTGTGGAGTTTCAATTTACAGTTTCTTTCCAAGCAAAGACATTCCTTGAATTTATATTTTAGTCAGTGCAAACACTGTGTTTCCTGTGTTTCCACTACCTACAGACACTAACATACGATACCACAGTTTATATTTAAAATACTGTTGACTTGTTCTCGTTCTCTGTTGTTCATTAATCACTACCTACACTAACACACGTTGTCTTAGTTTATATTTCAGATAGTGTAAAAACTGTTCTCGTTTTCTGTTGTTCATTTGCCACTCCCAGTTCGACAAGACGTCAGTCTTTGCTATATCTTATATTTTCATGTATTTTGCTCTTAGATTATGCATCTTTCTTCTTGGTAAGGCTGCAATGCCCGATGATTAAGCACGATGCGACATAATATAGGATGGACTGGTATGTAGTACTTACTAGCAGAGTAGCAGTAATTACTAGTATGCCGCTGTTGCTGATCTAAAGTGTCTACTGTCTTTGTTCTGACGTCCCGCTGTGACGTCAAGTGATGTCTTGCCGGTTCCTTGTAACGGTGCCATCCAGTAACTGTTATCCTGGCGAGAATTTCTCGTCCATACGTAGTTTTAAATAGATTTGATTCGTCTCCGGCGGCGGACTAGTATCCCGAAGGTGGGAGTTCAAATCTCGTCCGAGTCGCATGTTTTTCATGTGCATATAAAAACCGTGTTAGGATTTATATTATTGCAACAGCTTGAATAGCAAGGTTTGATTGGCTTTTAGCTCTTCTCAACCTGCTGTGGCTGGTTGAAAATTGCTTCTTTATCGGCATATTTTAAAGAAATTTCACTACATTTTCAGTAACCACGCCCAAATCACGACCATACTGCGCCTAATTTGTAGGAAAATTTGATGCTCAGACCCCCTACCTACAAACATAGACTTCGCTACGCAACTGGCTTTGATCGTGAAAGGTCTTGAACAATAACTTCTTGTTGAATACCACCCTGTTGTCTCCATGTAATCTACATTTGACTATGTGAAGTGAACCGTGAAATTAAATCGACAAATTTGGTATCCTGCCATTAAAAGTGCTGTTTCCATTTTGCTTTTGTCTGCTCAGAGTCTGCTGCTAGCTATTAGAGCGAATTTTTAGAATTTTTGAAATTCGAAGAAGCAAGAAAATAATTTAGTGGTCAACTGCCGAATGCTTTGGCTTGGCAATAACCGGGACAGGTGCAAAACTTTAGAAAATACAGCATAAAACAAATTTCGAATGTAGAAATCTTGTTTTCTTGGCTTTCAAGATGAGAAAGAAGAGTTTTCGAACGCAGTTGATTTACTGTTCTGTTTCACCAGCTAACCTACTCTACTTCAAAACAATCTATCCTCCCTCCCCTCTTCCCCTGCTAATGTGAAATATGCATAAAAAGATGAACCAGAAAATGATATAGGACGATAAGTCCGTTGGTTTAGTTAAAATTATGGGCTTTTCTGTTAAACACATTGTTCTAAGTGGTACATAATCTACATAATGCGTAATCTAAATAACTGTAAAATTTGAAAGAATGTTGTTTCTAGTGTAGTATAATACTGTGCATCGACAAAATTAAAAAGAACAAAAGTACTTTTAGGAATTGAGTAACTGCGCCCAGATGTCCATGCCGTTTTTGGCATGAACAATAATGCGGAAGTTCTCGGTTTTCCTTAATGGTCTAATTTCCTGTTTTTCATTGAAAGAAAGACAAACGAGGGCACAGTATAGGGAAAAACAATCATTTGTTTTCGCAGTCTTCGTTTTGTTAGAAAAACTCGTGCTGTAAAAAGAATTTATGTTGATTTCATATCTGTTGAGCACTAGCACTCTGATGTAACATACAAACATGGCCGCGCTTTGACTTCACATGAAAACACCAGAGAAAAACACACCATAATGGTCGCAATCTCTTGAATATTTTAGTGTGACGCTTATATAATTGAGCATGCGATTGTCATGGTGTCAGCCAGTCAATTGCGTTTTCTGACCAATAGGAAAAGCGTGATGGCTAACTGTAGCCAGTAGTCGAATTAAATTTACTGCTGCAGTTGCAAAGCGAAGTTGTGGTTCTGTTTGTTTCGTATGCTATGACGTTGGTGCATGAAAATTGCCACGTTGCCACCAATGGTTTCCACCCATTTTGTACCGTGCATCCTGTTCGCGCCGTTCTTTGATCTTGTCATCTTGTCGAGCTGAATTATATAAGCTAGCAAAATGCCGCATCTGTGATTTCAGGTAACCAATCAAAAACGGCCATTACGAACCCCTTATTCGATGGTCACCATTACCAAGCGTAAGTTGATTATTATTAATATAGTGTCACCCAATACTTCCACATGAATTACGGTCAAAGTCAATGCACACAAGTGTGAAATTATCTCTTTTCAGTTTTAGTGTTGTATTGACTACGCTCTACCGAAACAATGTCTCGAGCAGTACCGTCTGGTATGGCTTTCGAAATCAAACGAAAGGTATGAAAAGTTTTTTCCGCATATTGAACATTATGCTTGTAGTTTTTAATACCCTAAATAGTATATAATGTTTAGCAGACTTAGTTCTCTCAATTGTATGTACACCTTAAGAAATCAGTCTTGGGTACGTACATGCGGACGATAATATATTTTTTGAATTGGTATATTATTGATAGTATATTTTGACATGGGAAAGCGCATCGAAGCAATCATTATGTACGACTAGGTCACCATATTCTATTAATTGTGTTGTCAAACCAACAAAAATTCATGTTCGGTAAACTATCAAGCTCGCATTTATTTCTTATTTTAGCTTTCCTATAGTTATATGTTTTGTCCGTTAGTGGAATTTTGATTTTAACTTGCTCGAGTTCTCGGTAGTTAGAAAAATGCCTGATGGCTAGAAGATTCAACAGGTTTCACCAAAGCCGTTCTGACTGTGTAAACAAAACAATATTTCGTCAAGGTTATTGTCGGAATCCGTGTACGCGTACGACCGACGTTGTTTGTAAGCTCGAGAGGGGATTCTTGCTTCAAATTTAACATATTTTACACGAAAAATCTTTCTCACAACTACATTGAAAGCTGGCGCACATTCAATTTTTCTTGTGGCTTTGCTTTTGACCTCATCGTTTATTAATTTATGTGCTGATGGATTGGTTGGTTAACGGGAAGTTTATTCAATAGAGTCAGCGATTGTGCAAGGTGTTTAAAAAAGGGCCAGTACTTAATAATATCATTAAATATCTGCTTTGATGTACAATACAAAAGATGTTTGGTCTCTTGACTAAGCTTTTGTTCGTGACTATTAGCAGCGATTTAAATTCTCAGAGGCCAAAAATCTCACGAACAATATTCTTTTAGAATATAATGTATTTGCTTTATATACCCTTTCTAATCCTCAAATTTTTCCAGGTGAGGTTTGTCAAATTATCATGAAGTGGAGTTTTTCACGTACGGTCCCATTGTCACCTAAGAATACTTTTTTAGAAAATTATTGTTGTCAGTGGAGAATTATTGTTGGTTTCTATTGTTCGCTTGCTATGAAAACACAATAGATTTCTAGACAAAAGAATAATGGTAAAGTTCTGAAATTTGCAAAGCAGGACGACGCTATTGACTGATATAGATCTTGAAAACTGTTTTTGTTTCACTTATGTACGTTCTGATTCATTTTGCTTCTTTCATAAAGCGATTTGAACCTTGGAGTGACGTTACACGTTTGTAGTTGTAGATCGTCCAGACTTGATGTCGACGACGTTTGATAAGCGTTAGTCATCGTCAGAGATGACAAGATATTTTTCGTATTGTTTGCTATATAGCCTGAAGAATAGACGATTACATTTCTATATACAAGGCTCACATTTGTGCTGACATATTTTCTTGGGTTGCAAGCTACGTCGTAGTCGCCTTGTTGGATGATTTTTTGCAAATTTCATCCAACATGGCCAGCACTCCATTGTTCTCTTACTCTCAGGGGGATGGCTGCCACCCACCAATAGGAAGATGAAATTTTATTTTTTCCTCCCACACATTGACTCAGCAATACATATGACCTTCAATACAATGTCTTAGATTATTGAAATATTTGCAGTTTCGCAAGCTTATTATATTACAAGGAAAAAAGTCGCATCATGCAGGCGATGGAAAATAAACAGAGCATCTCTTTTCAATGCAAGAACACTCACCTAACATCTAGAGCAGCTTTGTTATTGAAATCACACAAAGTTTTATCACTAAAGTATCTTTTTTGCTTTCGTATATCTTCTAAATAGCTTTATTCTATACATGTGTAAAGACTTCCTCTTCATTTTTTATGTACATATCTGGGGTTAGTAGCGAAACGGCACCGGAGCTATCATGGAGTATGATTTAATTTTAGTCGTCTTCATTTACCTGTGTCTTATACCAGACACTGCAGCCTTTACAAACGTCCCGTTTACAATGTACGGTCTTTTTGGCACTCTCATATTCTTTTCCTTAGAGGAGAGGAAAACAGACGTTTTTTTGCAAATTGCAGTTATTAACTTTACATGTCAACTATACAAGGTTACAAGGTAAACAAAACACAACTGCGACCATCAACAGAATCGATACACCCGATAAAATCTCACGTTCATTGTAATTAGACTTTTCATAGATATCTGATTGCAAGATCTTTTGAAAGTAGATAAAAATCAATAGTTAAAGTATGTGAAGTATTAAGCACTAGCTGTAAGGAGAGAGGGGGAAGGAGAAGCGCAACAAATCACCTTTCAAATCACCAGAATTCTCAAGTCTTCTTTCATGTACCTCTCCTCCGGCACTGTACGTTTGCAAACATCTAGTCATGCACAATCTCCGATGCTTGTGTTCATTTAGTTGGAGGAAAGTTACGATTACGACGGGGAACTGAATGCGAGATTATGGATAGAGGACGTTACTGGAATATTGATGGACGACCCACCTTCGGAAATAGAGTCTCTTGAACAATTGAACGAATGGAGAATCAACCAAAGAGAATTGGGATCGAAAAAGTTCGCACGAGTCCTCAGAGATGGAATCTTCCTTTGCAGGTCAGACACTGTGATGATGTCATTTCCAATTATAAATCATAGAGGGAGGAAAGTCGGGGGGATTGCGCTATTCTAATCCTAAGAAACTTTTACATTAGAGCAAGGTTTGATATTCTAAAAAACTGCATTCAACACAGTCTGCTCGTGTGTGATTCGATCGTAAACATAGAAGTGCGAAATTTCCTAATGTTTGATCGTAATATTATTGATAATATTTCTAATATTGATCGTAATAATATTTGATCGTAAACATAGAAGTGCGAAATTTTCTAATGTGATTGTGTTCCATATCTTCGAGCGAACAGTTATGCGTTAATTATCTTAATTATTACATGTTTACTTCATCTTAATTATGATAATTATGATAAGTATTTCAATTTTGCCATGTTTACCCAATTTAATATACAGTGTACAATGGGCATTCTCGAAAAACAACGATAAGCGCGCATTTATTTTGGTAGTAACAACGAGGTGTTTCTGTAAACAGCCCCTAACTTTTCAAGCAACAAAGTGTTTTGATAAGGATTAGAGCCTTATTTCTTTCAGAATTTTTGATAAAATCCTATGTAATAAAGGAATTTCAATAGTAATATTATGCAAAATTAAACAACCACCCTTTTTTCGAACAAATTTTATCCTCACTCTATAAACGTAAGACCCAACCAGCGCTCCGTTTTGCTTCCTATCAGTCTAATAATGTCGGTGAGTTAAATAATAGCTTTGTACTTCAGTTAGAAGCTATATTTTATGATTATTGAATTGAAGTTACTACTGTGCTGATTGTATTTTTGTCCAACTTCAGATTAGTGAACACTTTAGAACCGGGAACAATAAAAAAAGTCCATGAAGAAAATCTAAATCGTTTTAAAATGGTAATCCTTTTTAATGGATTTATATTATGTACAATCTCTGATGATGGCTTTGGAATAAAGTCGAAACACGGTGCCATCCAGTAACTGCTATCGTGGCGAGAATCTCTCGTCCATACGTAGTTTTAAAGAGATTTGACTCGTCTCCAATCCCTGTGGGCTTGGTAGCTCAACAGGTAGAGCGACGGACTAGTATCCCGAAGGAGCGAGTTCAAATCTCGTAACATGTTTTTTCATGTGCATATAAAAACCGTGTTAGGATTTATATTATGTTAAAATGGTAAAGTATGGAAATATCTTTCAGGTCAGGGGGGGGGAAATTCACTCACATTTTGTTTCATTTTCAGACAGAGAACATCTACAACTTTTTAGTAGCTGCACAGAAATGGGGTTGCAATGCACAAGATCTTTTTCAAACTGTTGATTTGTACGAAGAAAGAAATATGAACCAGGTAGACGCAGTTGATTTGTTTCTTTCGCCTTATATGTAGTGTGTAATTGTGTTCTAGCCAAATTAACTGAGAAAACGTATTAAGAGACGCGCAGCAGTGTCGGTAGTGACAAATGATTAACAGGAAAAGAGAACAGTCTTTACAATACCTAGACTTTGAAATAAGATGACGTTTGTCAATGCAGGTAGTGGTGAAAGAACAATAGAGAACAAGAGCAGTCTTTACACTACCTAAAATATAAACTGAGATAACATGTGTCAGTGTAGGTAGTGATGAATGAACAACAGAGAACGAGAGCAGTCTTTACACTACCTAAAATATAAACTAAGATAACGTGTGTCAGTGTAGGTAGTGATGAATGAACAACAGAGAACGAAAGCAGTCTTTACACTACCTAAAATATAAACTAAGATAACATGTGTCAGTGTAGGTAGTGATGAATGAACAACAGAGAACAAGAACAGTCTTTACACTACCTAAAATATAAACTAAGATAACATGTGTCAGTGTAGGTAGTGATGAATGAACAACAGAAAACGAGAGCAGTCTTTACACTACCTAAAATATAAACTAAGATAACATGTGTCACTGTAGGTAGTGATGAATGAACAACAGAGAACAAGAACAGTCTTTACATTACGTAAAATATAAACTAAGACAACTTATGTAAATGTAGGTATTAGCTTATGAATGAATAACAGAGAACGAGAACTCATTTAAGCTACCTAAAATATAAACTAAGACAACGTGTGTCGTATAACTGTACCTTAAGATAAGTGTATGTAGTGATGAATGAACAGCAAAGAAGAAAAACAGTGCTTAATTTTTATGGATGTCAGTCTAAGTAGCCGTATTTTTTACATTTAGGTACTAAATGGAATTTATGCAGTTGCTAGAAAGGTAAATATCATTTTTGAAAACACGACGCCGGCTTCATTTATCTCAAAGTCAATTTTCACTTGTCTGTCTTGTTAGGCGCAAATGAGAAGTATCGACGACCAATTTCCAACGTTGGGTCCCAAAGAGGCCAAATACAATCCGCGTAATTTTACCAGAGAGCAACTAGAAATGGGAAAATACGTTTGCGGACTACGATTCTAGTTGGAATAGTTAGACTATATGAAACCTAGCGTGTATATTTTGTGCGTTGCAACAAGAGCACAGTAGTATTTAATAGATATAAAGCTAACATGTTTTGCCAAGTAAGAAATTAGATGATTATACGTTTTGGCTCTAATTGATATACGATAAAAATAGTTATGTTTATGAAGTAGCACGACTTTATCAGAGGAAAACAATACTTCAAATGAGGTATGCCTGCAGCTGTAAACTACCTATTTGAAACCAGCTATAAATTATGACGCTTCGCTACATCCCCACACATTGAAAGTGATGGTTGGTGACACGGCAATATTTCCCACCTTTTTCTCTTTCACAAACTGTGATGTTTAGTACCGTTAATGTAGAAATGCAGCGATATTAAAATGTAGTGTATTTTGGCGAAGAAAAGTGAAAAGGTCAGTGTACGTGTATTCTCATCACGTTTTCGCGTGATGTTTTCATCGTAAAGTTCTTTTTTAAGATGATATTTTCATTGCTGATGCACTCACAACAAAGCAATGTATCATATTTATTTTACATTAATGAGTTAAAAACAAACACATTTAAATGATGTTTCAAATTAGCTTGGGATTACAGAAGTGAAGCTTTACGCATGAAAAAGGTTTGTATCTACCTTAACGATCAGGGCTCATTATTAGTCTTACAAAGTACAAAGAAGGAAAATATGCCATAGACAAGATCAATCTATGGAGCCAATAGGTGCATGAGGCTCATATGCACCTACCATTGGCGTTGAAAAAGTTTTATATTTGTTAAGGGGAAGACTTCCAAAATGATCTACCTAGTTATTTTAAACTTAATTTCTTTTAGTTACTATAGTATTTTTTGTCTACTGTACTAATGAAGACCATAGTCTGAAAATTATTTGCGTGGACCTTTTCAGATCTGATGGCCAAATGCTCTTTCTAGGACTATCGATGTACTGTCAGTCCTTAATCATGTCGTGTTATGCCAGAAGCAACAAGACAGATATGAAGACGACACGTAAGATACTTCCATACTTTCACTTTTCTATTTCCCTTAACGCCTGCATCGTCATTCTTATGTTTTCTCGATTGCTCTTAATAGGACTTACTGATGCACGTCTTTACGCATATAAAAGGACATTTCTCAACGTTAGCTCAATGAATTTGAATTGACCAATGCCCAAACAGGGAATGATTCGTTCGAGCGTGAAATATTTTGCTAAAGATTCTGACTTTTATCACAAGTGAATTGACTGCTAACTCTCACCCCTCCTAACTAGATTATTGGCCTGCTAAAGACTCTTTAGTCGTCTTGATGCTCTGAATAACCTCACTTTGCACATGTGTAGTATTACAGATTTACCATATCTAGGTTAAATGTCTTGTGTTCCAGTTAGCTAATGCTCCTAAATATAGATTACAAAAATTTCCTAATTTATGCATTACACTATTCTATAAAGTTCTATGGTTAATATGACGAACCATTACGATATTCATTATGAATGTTCTAGGTAGTTCTATAGTATATATTGTAAGTAACGAGTATGAAAATTCATCATAGTCGTACTACACATTTATACTTTTGAAAAGAGCTTTTGAAAATCGGGACCAACATACAACAACACTTAAAACGCACGTTCGTTTTCACAGCTGGTTGCGAAGCGCCTTCAATTCCTAATGCACTTGCCTCCGATATCTGGGGCATGGACGTTGCCAATATATTGTAAACATGGATACAGTGTAATCGGTCCGTGTTGCTTAGTATGTCGGGGAAGCTTTGGTGGAACCCTTGAGTTTTCTCCCTATGGACTCGATGCACCAAAGTGTATTAAAGGTGACGTCTTTTTCTTTCATTTCAAAGAAATTGGTGTCAGAGATAGAACATCGTCTTGATTTCCATTTCTTCCAGGTAAATCATCTACTAACTTCTAATGTAACTATTCAAGTTCGGTGTGCCCATTGGTTTGGGATAACGTTAAGGATCTTGGGCTTCATCCGATAGCCATCTCTCGTATATTCTGCGGTTAGACAGGTAAATCTTTTACTGGAAACATGGAAGCACTTGGCTTTGGAGCATCTTTGTTTTCATCTGAGACTGGTGGATAACAATGTATGTACAAGGATGGTATCAAGGACATTCCTTGTTACATTGTCAAAGGCCAACGAATGGTTCATGTTAAGAAAGGTAAGAACCATATGTGGTCATACTTAGGCTATTTAACGGTGTGTCATTGTTAACGGTGCTATCATTAGTTATAATTTTTATTTTGTGAAAAGAGTATTTCTCTGTTTTTCTTCTCTACCCTCCTTGGATGGCTACGAGGCTTTAAGGAGCTCAGTGGATCCTTGCTTTGAGAGACTGAGCCATCATTTCCCTCACTACTTTTTCCCGTATAATCTTACCTATTTGGACCCTGGCTAATACGATACGTGATTATCTAAACAAATGTGGTCAACGCCATCGACAGAATCTTTTGAAACGCACCCGAATCATATTCCTTAAGTCATCGCTCAGAAATTACGACATTGTGATTGGCGGTAGGCCCATTGTAAAAGGTATTTTAGATGCACCTCCCATTCCTCCATGAAGAACGTGTCAAGCACGTGGATGCTGCTATGATATTAACTTATTTGAATATACATAAAGATTTACCGTAGTTGGTTTAATACATGTGAAAATTTCCGAGGAACTCGTCAAGTGCTCTGTGAGGTGTGACAAAAGCACAATTTATCAAAGTTTTCCTTTAATTTGTCAAACTTCGTTGAAAGCTTTGCTAGTTTGTTGCAAATTTAAAAATTTGCGATGAATTCAAAAAAAGATGCATCAAACAACATTTCAAAAAACGATTTTTATGAGTAACCAATGAAAGGATTTCTTTGCATTACCCGCTTTTGATTTTTTGTGTTATTTTCGAGACATGCTACGAAATGACATTGCTCTCAATGAATCAACTGTAGAGAAGGCGATACACAGCCAATTATTTTCACAGTATGAAAGACACGGTACGACAGTGCTTAAACATTGCTCCATAAGGTCATCGTATGTTAAATGTGACGCAGACAATAGCAAAGATAATTACCGAATCAAACGACCGCATTTGTCTTGACAATTTTTCGTCAGTTACTTGTTAATCCAATCATACTACTTCAAATACATCAATCCAATCACACCCTTCAAAATACTACATAACGCAACCACAACCCTTCAAACCACTCCATAATCCAACCACACCCCTCCAAAATACTACATAACGGAACCACAACCCTTCAAACCACTCCATAATCCAACCACACCCTTTCAAATACTTCATAACGCAACCACAACCCTTCAAACCATTCCATAATCCAACCACACCCCTCCAAAATACTACATAACGGAACCACAACCCTTCAAACCACTCCATAATCCAACCACACCCTTTCAAAATACTTCATAACGCAACCACAACCCTTCAAACCACTCCATAATCAAACCACATCTCTTCAAAATACTTCATAATCCAATCAGGCGAAAAAATCATTAGGCTAAAGTTAATTCGTACTGTACTTATGAAGCTGACACGAAATCGCGAAGTTTGCACTTTATTGCCTTTGACATAAAGTCACGACGATTTCAATATACATACAGCTTAAATTCCGCTGTTGGTAGAAATATTTACAGAAGTTTGATCGCCATCAAGTGTTTCGTCCCCATCTTCATCGGCAGCCATATCAAAGAGCTTAATTCGTGCCCGAGACTTTGACAACACACACGCTACCTGACGCGACCCGCTCACCGCGACTCTTACAGCTTTTATGCGTTCAAGGCTCCTGCATTTTACAATGGCATCGGATCCGTCAACATGATGTTCTGTAATCAAATCGGAATTGACTTCCAGTGAAGCGGGAAGCCTTTTCATGATGTCATCTTTGAGATTTGAGACTTTAAACTGCGACAGAACGTAAGAATTTATATCTTCCACTCCCTCCTGATGCAAAAGCACAGTCAAGGTTTCGGAATCGTAAAACTCGAAGTCGACCACAATTATCCTGTTCTCATCATTCATCATCCCTTCGAATCCAACAAAAACCCCTTTAAGTGCAGGAATACTTGAGTCGGCAGATGCTGGTGTTATTTTTATTATATATATTCTTTCCGGAGTGGTTTTACCATCGGCTACAGCAATGTAATGGGTTTCTTTGGATATCTGGGAAACCGTGGGAAACTGCGTGTAACATGGGAACAATTTCAAACGAATATTACATGCCAAGAGTGTTCGTCACAATGAATTAACTTCTCGAAGGTTTTTTTAAGATAGGCCGTGAGCTCCTCGTGAAGGGTAACTAAAGATTTTTCAGGCGAAGCACAAAGAATACAAGAGATCTGGGAAAACTCGGGATTGGACTCTAGAAACTTTAACCAAGAATTGTTCGATGTGCTCACTTGGAACTCGAGCGGTTTCTTCTTCAAGTATTGTCCAACTTTCTCCATGGTGAAACGGGGTTTACCGCTGTCCTGTTGCCCCAGCTGGTGATTCAAAAACTCTGCAATAAGAGCGATGTCGTCTTGATTGAACTGTTTCACAAACGGCGGGATTTCTTCGTCCGTAAGCTGTAGAATCACAAGATAAAGCCATTTGAAGAAGTGTATGAAGCTCTGGAGGGACGTCTCGATAACGCTCAGAAGTTCCTGAATCTTTAGCATGAAGCATCCCAGGACTTTTATGCAATCTTCGACCAGCGGTTCCTTCAAACCCAGGATTCCAAAGCGTTCGTACCATTTTGCCATGCCCGTCAAGTCGTTAAGATGATACAGCATTGCATTGCAACCTGCTTGAAGATTTCTTACAGCGAGACTTTGTATATTGGAATATGACGCTTCGACGAGTTTACCAAGCTTTTTCAGTCCTAAATATCAAATATATAACATAAATATCACGGTTTGTTCATTCGCATCGTATCGTAGCTACTTCACTAAATCAACCCATCAAGGTGTTGAAAATGTATCGTAATAAATTATTTGTTGAAAACACGAAACAAAACCGACCTTTCTCGGTCAAATCATTTACCAGCAAAACTTGCATTTCCGCACTAACTGTCCCACAGGTAAATAAAGTCAGAAATTCCTCGGAAACGCTAGTATCCGGACTAAGGCTGTTCGCGTACTTCTCCAAGTAGGAATCCACCTGCAATAAGGTATCTTCCCAAGCCTCAGACATCGCGTTGAAGGTGCTATCAAGATAAGACATCAGGCTTGAGATCTTTCCATACTTCAGCGCTAGCACTTCAAGCTCCTCGAATCTCGATCGATAGAGACTTGCATCAAATGTTGCTATAGAAATAACTTCATTGTCGGAGTCCGCACATTGTTTCTCTTTCATGACGACAGATAGAAATCTTAATTCAGCATCTAGCGAGACGCTCAAGATTTGACAGCGTAGCGCTGCCTCGTGCGAGTTCATAATAGTGATTTGGTCGATTGGTAGGATGCCATGAACGAGAACAGTTACTACTCCCTTATTATCAGCGACAATCAAAAAGGTCAACGTTCCCTCAAGATCGTCCAGTCGTTTAGGATCCCAGCGCCCTTCTTCCGGCTTCTCGTCAGTCGACTCTCCTGAAGATACGGGAGGAAGACGTGGAAGGAATTTGTCGCCTTTCTCCGTGAAGATTCTTGCTGGAGCAGTATGAGAGTTGCTTTCTGTGGTCGCCTTTGCAACCCAATCGAGGAATTCCGGCTTGGAACCCAACACGTACTCATGAAGACATTCGCTGTTTTCAACGTTTACCAAATTCAATTTACCGTTATCCAAGCCCAGTGCAAGCACTTTACCATCGGGTCGCCATGCAAGGGTCAATACTTTGTATTCGGTTGAGCACAAAGTCCAAACGCGTTGCCACGAAAGCCTGTTCAACCACACGGAGCCATCAACTGTTATTATCCCAATGAGGTCCGTCTTTGGTGACCATTTCATTGTGGCAATTTCGTTTGGACAGCCCAAATCTTCCAGTTTACGAAATGATTTCTCTTCCAGAAGGGCGGCCATATTTAATTCTTACGTTACACTTAGTGTAAGACGAATGTAAACAATCAACAACTTGTCTGGTTTTATCGAGTAAAAAGTAAAAAACATTTCACATTTGTTGTTTCAAAACAAACCGTATATATTAACTCAGCAGTAGCTAAGTTAAAATCGTTTTTAAATAGACAAAGTGAACAAAACTTAAAATTTTGATTTTCAATGGTGAGCAGATTCCTTAGCTAGTGCCCAATCTCTCCACGCGTCCCACGTGGGAATGGTAATTTTAAATTTTAAACAGAAGTACACTTTATTAGACATAATACTTTTTATCGTACATGCGATACATTAGTTCATAGTTTACATTTAAAATGAGTAATTTTGACTATCCATCGTCTGGAGAGAGGCTGAGCAGTGCTCAACGCGACCAACTTTTAGATCAAGTAAAACAGCAAGTTGCTCTAGCAAGCGCTCAAGAATTAATTCAGGTAAAGTTCCCAACATTTGTCGTTTCGTCTTGTAATTTGTAGTTCTGTGTTTGTAGGTGATATTTTGAGAAAGAATTCATTGGTATAAATTTTATCTTATGTAGAAAATGTCGGAGAAGTGCTTCAAAAAATGCATTTACAAACCAGGAACATCACTAGATAACTCTGAACAGGTAGATCCACAATTTTTCATTCTTAGCCGAGCAATGATTTTTTGTCCTTTAGATGTTTGTTTTTGGCCCAGTACTATGCATAAAATTTATTTATAAATGTATATAAAATCCATTAAAGTAAGGCAGAGAATATTTTCTCTTGACTGTATAGTAGCCATATTGGTATTCCCAGTTGAAAGTTATTTTAGTGTGGTTTTATTGTCTCGACTGGAACTCTAAATGCCCATTTCTTCAATGCTTATGGTAATTGATTTAGTATGAGCAAAAATGCTCTAGTTTTTTACCTCAATAAAAATAAATGGCTGTATTTGAGTTTGTTATTCCTTTTGCATGAACTCTTGACTCTCCTAAAACTCATTCAGAAGACATTTAAATGATTTTCTAAACCAATAGGTGCCCGGAGGTTGTGTTACTTCGGGCTGTTTAAATAAAAGTAATGATGGCATCTTTTTTTATGTGAATTTTGCACAAGTTTTTGGAAGAAATGCACTTTCTATGAAATGAGTTTAGTTTTATGTAGCTCTTGGGCTTTACTATGTTGCGTTTTGTGATAAAACATTGCATGACTGGACTTTTTAGAAAGAGAAAGTTTTCCTATTGCCAGAAAAATTATTTATGTCTAACAACATTATGTGTTCAACTAACATTCTTTTTTTGAAACATTGGCTTATCAAGTCTATGTAAATTGGCTTATCTAGTCTATCCTTTTAATGAAAAGATTTAGCCTTTCTCAGCATTGATGAAAAGGTTATCTACCTCCCCTTCTTTTGTGAAAAACATTAAGCATTGCTTGCTGCAAGTCTGTGCTCATACAATCATCACCTACCTTTTCTTCTATCAATAAAATCATCACCTTGTGCCAATTAACCCATTTAAGGGATTTACAATTTGATTGATTTTCAGAAATGTCTTGCTATGTGTATGGATCGATATATGGACACGTGGAATTTAATGTCCAGGACATACAGCGGTCGTCTACAACGAGAGCATGGTGCAAGTTCTGGCTTTCAATAATCCATATTTTTATTGCTTTTCCTTTGACGAAAAATTGACTATATTACACTAGATAAGTTAAGAATTGAACTCTTGTGTCTATCCTCAATGATAATACGTACAATACTCCATAGAACTGAACGGGGAGTCCCCCTCCTCGAGGGTACATGAAGGGATAACTGGGTGTATGACTTTTTTTAACATTAACAAGGTCTGGTAAGGTTTTTTGATTTCTTACCCGGGACTCATCGCTTTCACTTGAGAAAAGTGGCACGTTTGCATTGAAGCAGTGACGAGGCGGGCTCGCTCATTTAGTTCTGCCATGTAATTTTCCCACTTCTCGCTTACTGCGTTGACAATATCATTACAATGTGAAAAAATCGTTATTATTAATGAAATTTATATATATCCGTTCTAAATCATGCAGTCTGGCTACGTCATTGCATTCAAGACGAAATAACTTAAGAAAAAAGTGGCAACAACTGCTTGCAACTGCACATGCTCAGTAGCTACAAAGGAAAATAATCGCCGGCATCAATCGTGAAACACTCGGCGACTTTTGTGATGATTTTTGATTTCAAGAATCGCTTGCTGTAAATGTGCCAAAATGTCAATCTTATACCTATTATGAACATTTGGTCATTTTTGCGTCATGATAATAATAATAATAATGCGTCATAACAATAAACATTAAAGTGACTTTATTTTGTACGATCGTGTGCTGCGTTAATGCCTTTCGAACATCTTTGTCTCAAATTGTGATTGTGTGATGAGGTATTGTGCGTGTGTGTTTTTGCGAGAGAAAGTGATTTCTGCATCTTAGGTTTTCTGCTTTCAAATTGCGGACGTGTTTCATTGTAGGTGCACGATACGATGTCGTCATGGAAACTGACGATGCACGGAAAAGACACGACCAAAGGTATTCAGAATAGCAAGCGTAAACATTTAGTCTCGCCTTGGAGATTTTAAATACGTGTTATTTCTTTATGGATAGATCGTTTTTATAGTTATTGAGTATATATTTTATTCCGAGCGATGATGGGTTCTGTTCGCTGGCCTCAGCTGGCTGTAGCTAATTGCGTTCAGACTTTTCATTCTCAAGGAATCCTTAGACTACCTTGATATTTTTTGTGAATACTTCATGATGAAAAACAACAAGTTTTTATAGTCTCCTCTTTAGACACAGGCTTCCTGCGTGTAGTACACAACTATACTACATTATCCATTAAGAACCTGTCTAACGGGATTTGTACCTTGTTGCTCGGTTTATGTCTTGAACATATCGCAGAGAAGGCTTTCGATTGCTACGCTTCCTATTGTCTGTCTAAAGAAAAGGTTTTCTATTGTCTTTGTGTTTATCATCCTGAGCGATGGTAGGTTTAGTAGCAGTTTTCCAAAACGCACTTGTTGACCAGGATAATGACGATGGACATAATCGTTCAACATAATCTGCGCCTGATCTTGATATATCTCGATCCTCTGAGGATCTCTTAAACCTCGAAGATCTGTTGGGATGAAGTGGTAAAAGTTGAGTTTAATTAGAGTGTTATCTAATTGCTTTACTTAGTAGCTACTATACTTGGTATCCCCTTGTATCCCATTTAGTAGCTAAATGTACAATTCGTTATTGTTCTTCAAACCTCTCCTCACCTGATTTAAAGAGAACGACAGCTTTTAAGCAGGCGAGTTCAGCTTCGCATACTTGCAAGGCGCGAAATCTTCCTGTGATCTCCTGAAGTAACCTGATATCACTCATTGTCATCACGATCCTCTCCGCAGGCGTGTTGTCCACGTGCATGCCGGCTGATGCGAGAAGAGGGGCGACCTCTATGGACAGATTAGTTTGTATAGCACCAAGTATAAACAGTTCTCGCCAACTTTCCTCCAAAAGAATTACTTGATCTCGAAATGGTAGGTTCACAAATGATGGGATGTTGCGAGCCCATCGAACCGCCATGAAGAGAAGTCGGGCGGCTGCCTCGCAGGTGTTATCTTGAGGGCTACAGAACATGGGAAAGCAGTCTTGCCCAGTGTAAGTAGGACTTGGGTATCCGGATCTATAACCGAATTCCCGATACGGCTCTGCAATGATGAGGCTGTTAAGGAACTCGTTGCCAGGCACATTCATAAACTCGTGCTCTTGTAAAGTTTTGGACATGCGCAATGAGTTGGGTTGACGCTCCTGTTGCACGGCTGAAAAGTAGAAATTATGTGCAATTAGTTTTTGGACCGTACGCAGGTTCTGTTCTATATATTTAGAGGATGCTGTTCATAATAATGTATAGCTATAGTGAAATGTATGAAAATAGGTGAGTGTGAATGAAGAACAATGTCGCTGTCGTTGTTTTGTGCCTCTTGGAGTTGTCAAAACAATATGCATTTTTGTCGCTTTATAGACTAGCGACTGTACACTCTCATCATGGTCTTGGCGCGTGCGCTAAAAAATGCGATTCCGATCACACAAGGAAAATCATTTCATGTATTTGATCTATGGTGACCGAAGTTTCATTTCAAATGCATGCGATCAACAACTAGTTTCGTTTTGCTTTGAGGCAACCTTAAATTACAGTTCGTTTACCGTGACCGCATTACTGTCATTCTGCGGTGTTGATAATACTAATAAACGAGAGGATTTTTGCATTATATACACCACACAATTATACTCGGGCAATTTTCCAATTTAACCGAGAGTGTGTTGAATACATTGCTTTTAATGAGAATGAAATTATATATACTTCACGACTTATGTTAATATATTAAGCGTTATTAGCTATTTAAACCTTTATGTCTCTGATGACGACGACGAAGGACGAGTTTTGAACATGTTTCATGGCTTCCTTCGAAACTCATATTAAAAACATTATTCTTTAATCAGCAAACTTAACATGCAGCCTTGCCTTGAAAACATTGTGCACAATATCTTTATATCATTAAAAAACAATTAGCCGTTTACTTTCTTTGGAAAATTGCCCCGTTTATCATTTAATTTCGGAACAATGCGATCGGGGCAGCTGTACGCGAGTGTTGCACAATGATTATAATTTAAAGTTCCGCAAACCCCTAATTTGTTTAGCCAAATCAGACTATAATATCGCTTTAATTATAGACTTTATTGTATCGACTTTCACGCACAGCGAAGTCCAAACGAATCAATCGATTTTTCTTAACAATTTCCTCGCGGCAAGAAAGGTTTTCATTTCGTTTTCAAAACAACATCTCACTATCGAGTTTGCGAACACCTGCCTTTGCTCAAACTCATTTTATTCAATGATTGTGTATGATTGCATGTGTCAATAAAACGCCTTGAATAAGTGTCTGTTGGTTTATTGAATGACCCAAGAGTATCAGTATTATTCTTGTGTGAGTTATCAACTGCAATTGTTTGTATAAATCTCGTACCATCAAATTGGATCAATTATGTTTTCAGTCATAATATACACGTACTGTTTGAAAATGGCTTTCGTGCCTTGTGCGCTTTCATTTTTTATTTTGTGTTTTTTCTTTCGATAAAAGTTGCATAAAGAAACACCGTCCGTTCGCAAAACTTCTTACACTGTTACTATAAGCATAACGTGTGTCGTTGTATGTAGTGGAAAATATAAAACACTTTTATTTGCTGCACCTGTCTTAGCAGTTAATGTTGAATGAATAACAGAACAAGAACAGTCTTACACTATAAACTAGAATATAAACTATAATGATATGTGTCAGTGTCGGTTGTGATTAATTACCAACAGAGAACGAGAACTGTCTTTACTATACCTAAAATATAAACTAAGATAAGGTGTGTCAGTGTAGGTAGTGATGAATGAACAACAGACGTCGAAAAGAGTCTTTACACTATACCTAATATATAAATTAAGGTAGTGTGTGTGTCAGTGTATACGTAGATGAATTGACGAAAGAGAACAGTCTTCACTTTTCCTAAATCATAAATAAAGATGAAATCTGTCCATTATATAAGCTATAAATGCATCATTGTAAGGTTGTATAAAAGACAGACATGGGTATTTTGCGTGCATTTGACCTGCTGTTTTAAGTGCCGGTCTGGCATTTCACTGTTGGATGTATATTTAGAAGCTCTGGTGGCAATCAAATGCAGTCTGTAGTCCTTTTAAGTTTCAGCAGGTTGTCTGTACTCATTAGCGCTGTACTTCAAAGTCATGAACTTGCTGCTTTTTTACAAAAACGCTGTACACAATAAACCGCTCTCTCTGTGTTTATATTCCGCCTCTCACAAGCGTCTGCATCTCTCTATACATTGCATAAATCTGCTGTAAACTATCGTCTTCCCTCCCAATCTGTTACACATGTATCTTCATTAAAACTATTGTCTTCCGTCCCTCTCTGTTTCACACATATATCTCAGTAAACTATCGTTATATATACACATACCAAACTTGTTCATCTTAACTTCGAGGCATTTCTTGTATCGGCATGCTTGACATTGATTCCTTCGTTTCTTGTCAACGATGCAGTTCCCGTTCCCCTTGCACGAGTACACCGCGTCTCTGCGTACACTTCGCATGAAGAAACCGCTACATCCATCGCAGGTATACACACCATAATGTCGGCCCGATGAAACGTCTCCGCACACCTTACACAAGATCTCTGATTTACGATCGACGTTGTGTTCATCGACGAGAGAAGAGCTCGAATTTGTCAACACTTTTTTCTCCTCTTTAAATGCGTTTAGAAAAACAAGCAAGGAATTGTTTGATATTTTCCCTACATTCATTAGATTTCTGTAAATCTGTACATCTGATATCTTCCCTATATTCATTAGATTTCTGAATTTTCAACGAATTTTTGCAATTATAGTCTCTTTGAATGTTTGTGGGAAAGTATGTTTAGTGCCTTTCATGTACCTGTTCAACTATTGTTTTGGTTTGTGTACATTTTCGATGTCTGTATAAGTCTATTTTCGGAGTTAACTGAAGTTTTAAAACCACTAGTGAAAAGGTCTTGCTAGGTATCGGTTTGATGATTTAAATCCATTTATAATAAAAGCCGTTTAAAACTACTTTTCCGATGATTAAACTTCAATGTCTATTAGCTTTTGCAAATTCAACGCGCACAAACATTCAATTTTGCTATCTTTTGATTTGCAGGTCCTCGCCAACACTTCAGCGTCGATGTATGTGTCAGACTGATTTTCTCTCTACGGGTAAATTTTGTGCATCCTCGTTTGGTCTCGGATTAAGCAGACGAAGTTTTGCTTCAAAGTATGTAGTATTTTTTCTTTCTCAATATGGTATCAAATGCTTGGAATTTTGTTTCTCAGTGTGCAGCTAATCATAGTAGGCAATTTTTTACTGTATATATGAGCGAAAAAGAGATTCGGACTTGTTCGCGTTTTTGGTTTCACTTGATGAAGTGTTGTTTCATTTCATTTCACTTTTATTCTTTGTTTGAAATATAACTCGTAAAGGCGACATATACATGATGTAAGTAATCAAGAGATTGAATGCACAGATAAATAAAGGATTATTGTTAGAGCTCTCTACTTTTATAAATGCCTCGTATAATATAGAAACACATAGGTTTTTGTATCAATTTCACAGTTGTTCTTCCTATTCCTCCAAATTGGCTGCTTAAAATTGATGCTAATCATGCATAAATGTTGTATAGAATTGTCATCATATTAAAATAATCAAGGTTAAGATAGATATGGGGCGATTTGATGTTTTATTTTTAGCAAACGTTCATTAAAAAGCGATGCTTCTCAAAATTCTCCCTGACAGAGCTATTTAGAAAGATTGACACTCGCAAAAAGTTCAAAACTTCAAACGATACTGCTCCTTAACGTGTCGAGTCATGGCGTTCATGTGTTTGCAACTGCATCTTAATACCAAAAACACTTACATATAAGATCATCGTTGGATTATTGGGGATAATCTAGCTCACTTTACACTACCTTGTAAGTTATATTTTACCTCAACACACACATGCACACACATATATATTTGTAAATACATACCCATGCAGGTTCGTGTCTGTTTAAGATTTTCTTTGATATCGTGATATGACTGAGTTGGGTATTTTTGCACCGTTGTGAACTAGAGTTCCTTGACCTCAGAACCGAAAACTGAAGCGTCTGGCTGAAACACGTTGCATTTTAAAGCGGCGACTGGCGCAGATGGCGTTTGATCACGTGATGAGCTAGACACCCGTAATATTCTCTCAACTTGCGTCGTGGCGCGGTCGAACTTTAATACTGCCCCAATGACAATTTGACTTGATTGCTGTAGTTTTGAAAAGCGTTCGGGGTTTCGTGTAGTGTGGCAGTAAAATTCTGCTTGCATATGTATATGAATTTTCTTTAGAACAGACTATGTATGTTGATGTTTTGAAATAAGCAGTACCTGTATACGCTTTCGTTTGAGAATAACTTTTTGCATACCTTGGCTCTAAGTCAAATTTATCGCCTGTCAGTCAGTGTAGGCGTTGCAAGTAGACATGATATTGTAGGCACAAATACCAGAAACATTCACCGTTTGATAACCTGTTAAAAACAAGAAAAGCAGTAGAGAAAGCGAGAACACTATACATGTCTGAATATGTTCATCATTTTTTAATGCGACGCTCTTGCCAAGAGTAAGAGAAATCAGTCCGAAATGGAAACTTCAAGTTAGCAAAAATTATATGAATTTCACTTCGTAGTCTATTGCTGAAATCGCGTTAAGTGGATTAAATAACAATGTTGAAACAAATATCGGGGGTTTGATTGCAGCGATGATGATCGGTCTTTGTTTCATATTCGTCACAATATTTTACATATGTAAGAGATGTGTTATGCGAATGCTTATTTATTGCGCTGTTTGCGTCGGTAATTATGATAAAGTTCGCCGAATCAGACGGTTTCTTATGGAACTTTTCGCATCTTTAATGACATTTCAAGAATCTTTAAAAAATTCAGCCATAAAAACATGGCAAATCTTGATTCGATCTTATGCAAGCATATCATTTAACAAACTTTTCAGTAAAGGAACGAATCTAGTAAACATTTATGTACATTTCTTACGTAAGAGTTATGCTAAAAATTGAAAATTTTTAGATCAACGTTCTTTGTATCAGGCTGCACTTCGTGTTGGATATATTTTATGACCGTTTATCTCGTCAAAATGCTTACATAATCAATGGAAGTTAAACTTATATAGACAATTATTTGGTTATTTTTCATCTTCTTTATGGCACTTTCGCTAAAATCCATCTGTCGCATAATGACCTCTGAGAGATTGTATCAATTGCCCTTCATAAATCGAGCGATAGATACTTCGAGTTTAACGTCATTTCGAGGCGTACAAGGTGATAATTATTAAAGTATTGACGATAAACAACACGTGCCTGTAATTTTCATTCGAGACCTCGTAATTGTATCGAAGCGTGGCTGTGCTTTGTCTCTCTTTGAGCGTTTTAAACTAATTTCAAGTGCCGTGTGTGGCACCAACTGGAAGCAAGAAAAAACGCAATTTCCTGATGATACAATGTACACACTGAAAGCCTTTGTTGATATCAACGTATTAAACTCGCGGTGGATACGGACTTGTGCATGAGTGCTATTCTTACGTACATCTCGTGTTGCGTCAACCATTAAAAATTGCATGTGAAATCTCATTCTATCGTAGTCAATATTTGCAAGTATATGATTTCATAGGCTAGGTTGGTCAAATGGCGTGAACGCAATATACTTTGTATCATCTATTGATTGAGATACGTAACCAGATTAGTAGTGTTTAAAGTACCCTTATCTTAGTTTATCCACAGCAAAACGATATATATTATTGCGACCAAATATAGCGCTTTATCGATTTGAGAACTTTATGCAAACAATGTACTTTTTTGCGTACGAATCTCGAGGATCATATATTTTAGATTGGCAATTCCAATGTTAGCAGTCTAAAATTTTCAATGTTCCTTGATTCGTAATTTTCAGTTAAACAATTCAAAAACAATGTTTTGTTGAATTATTTGAAAGTATATAAAGCCATCTTTCAAATCAGAAGCAACCATTGTTATTTGTGTGAGGGTTAACAAGAAATTGCTATATATTTTATTTCTGTTATATGTACGAATATGCAGTCAGTAACGAAATCAGAAATCTTTCTAGAGAGATATAATGGAGAGCGCATGCGTAATATGAAGTCCAAGTATCTTTCGACCGATAATTTTGTCCTCCGTTTTTTTGTAGTTAAAACCGATTCAGCTGTTATGAATTCCGGCGATATTTTTGCATTTCTCCTTTTGTCGAAGTCTTCATTTGAATCCCTTCATTCAATTTCTAGCTTGAGAAACACTTGAAATAATCACATTGTTACTCAGTGCAACGCGGGCTTGCGTTTGCCTCATCTCGTGTCCCTTCAATGACGGCGCGACAGCCAATCACATTTCAGGTTGAAAATTTTGCTTTCCTCGAGTTGCCATATTTTCTCTCGTTAGCCCCCTTGGTGTTCGGTTTTTTCTACCTTTCAAGTAGGGAATTATTAGGAGGGAAGGCTAAAAGAGGCCTTGGTGCTCAATCAATTTTCGCGCATAACTGCCAGCGCATTCTAATTCATTCGACACATGCGTCAATGTTATTTCTATTTATTAAAATACCCCATTCATTAAGTGCCTAAGTTCATTATGGAAGAAAACAAAAACTTCTACAGATGACTATTATTTTGTCTGAAAATTCGGTTCAACACAATATAGGTGACTGCTTTGATTTTCACATTACTACTGATTGTGTTTTCATCGTGAGATTGACTTTCCGGTGATTTTTAAATTTACTGAGAGCGGCGGATGAATGAGAAGGTTGAGGTTTTCTTTTTTCACCTTTCAAGTGGGAGATTATTTAATGGGAGTGTGTATTGAAGTGGAGGATTCGCTTCGTTGTTGAAGCTTCAATATGTCTTTTAGTATGGGGTAATTTAGCCATGACCTTGATGTTTCACGGAGGCCAATCTTCGCAAATGTTTTACGGAGGCTAATCTTCGCAAATGTTTCACGGAGGCCAATCTTCACAAATGTTTCACGTTATTTTAGTTTTCGTCTAATTTTGGTCTATGACCGCCATTCTTAAAATCATGACTTTATCCCAAGGCCTTCCCATGATGCAAAAGTTTAGGTATCATGTACAAAATCACTTGCGTGATCAGCTCTCTTACATTTCTAAAGAAACGAATTGAGGCAATGACATAATGTTATGAAATTTAGAAGGAGCAAAACCGAACCCTGCGGGCTGGCCACGCTATTGTGCGAAATGTATTTTTATTTCCCGTACGATCAAACGGTTCTCGGACGTTTTTTATCACAGCGTGCGTAAGAATCGAGGCTTTTGAAAACACGGCAATCGGAAGGAACTTCGAGGTTGTCCAACAACAACCATTATTAGTAGCGTAACCTGTCCTCAGGTTTTTTGTCTAGAACATCATTCTTCATTTCTTTGAAAATCTATTGTTTTTGTATTGAGTGAGTACAGAAAACCTAGTATAGGAGAGCTGAATTAGTGGACTGGCTACGCGAGTGACGATGACTTTTTGACAATAACGTTGCTTATTGCCCTGGGAGGGAGCAGATAAACACGCACAATCGCCTTGAAATCATACCCCCACGATTGAACACGTGACCATACAATGAAGGCAACGTCACAGGTGAGTGTCATTACAATTGGTTTCGGAAATGCTAATGACCGTGTTTGTCTCGTCTATGTTAAAACCCTTCAAAGAAGTTTCTTGAACGTGTTTTGTATAACAATGAGCACGAAAATTGATGGAACGAAAATGTAACAATCCAAAGCCATTAACGAACCGAAAGCAAGAGAAAGCTAGAGATGTTTAGTCGACTCCAAAAGTTTTTCGGTTGTGAAAAATACCTCAACGAAATTTATTTAATTCGACATCGGCAAGCGTAACTAATATTCGAAAATGCCAGTCGAAACTGGTCGTTAAAACATTTTAATCATAAGATCTGCGTTGTAACCCCATTGAAATCGGAAACCAGCAATATCTCCTGATGTCCCGTACAATATTTGGAACAAATTCATGGAAAGGCTAGAACGATTTTCTGTTCGTCTACTTAAGATCACTGCAGGAGAACTCAACTGTTGAAGAAACTGGGAAGTTGTGCTTTGACACGTCAACTTCATTCGATGATGTATAAATAACGTACAAATGAAACGAATTCGTGAACGAAATTAATTCCCATCCGACACATTGATAAGCCCATGTAATATAGACGAAAAATGAATCTTAACTTCATGCCATGTGCACCTATTGTGGTATATTTCTGATTGTTCCTGTAATTGTCCTCAAACTATTTCACAATTTGTAATAGCCTGATTAATGATTTACAATAAATTTACTATTTGTGTAAAAGGGTCCAAGGAATACGTTTGGGTCGTTTTGTTCTTAATTGAAAGTTCTCTTGGTTTGAATACCGCAATTTTCGTATATCGTAGCATAGTGTAAAAACCATTACGGAGCGGTCAATGAGGATACTTACATGAAGTAATAGTATCTTAACCAGGCGTGAATTTGGGATGATCCAGGAACGCCATGAGACAAACAATTTATCGAAGCCCAGCAAAGTGCTTTTAAAAAAGCCATTTAATGGGCTTTGATATTTATATTTAAAGTTCGCTTTCCGCCCGGTATATCCCTGATCACAATTCTGAACAATTTATCGTGTGAAATTCATCTTCCCACACGTAGAGTTAATCCTCAAATAATTGTTTCTTTTTTTGTTCATAGTTTGTTGCCATGGTGATAAGCTGATGGCGTATGAAAATGAGCAAGACTAAAGAATGATACCCCCACCTTATTGATGTCAAGGTAAGCACATTTTAGACAATCGTCGTATGCTTGTGGTGTACTTTTCCCAACTAGTTTTTGTGCAAACCTCCATATAGGGTAGCCAGTCTTCAAGTTAGTCGTGCTATATGAAAGTCAGATAGTTAGCATTATTATTTCGACAACGAATGAACACCAAACTCTATTTGCATGACACGCGAGCAAACTTGCGGGACGGATTCGCCGCGTTCAAACACAATGGTGTTCGTTTCTCTTGCGTGACATGCTTTAGCACGCGTGGGGGATCTGAATGACCGCGTTTTGGCAAAGAGTACACTGAAACAATTGATCAGGGAAATGTAGAATTTTCACCAGTCACCAAATATGGTTCTTCGTTCTTAATGAACGCGGCCTTGTGTGGATTAAAATATTCAATGGCATGGATTGTATTTTCTCGATTGTATTTTCATAAATTAGGTATGACGACTCCGCTTTAGTTTTGCAAACGAGTTGGTAAGTGAATGAAAGTTTCATTGTGCAATATTGTTGGCATATATTTATTGCTCTAAGTTGTATGAGTTGTGCGCGGTTTTTTGTTTGGTCATTATGTTGTCAGTTGTCTTCCGGTGCTTTTCACGCGTCCTTGCGTTGTAGAATTTGCCAAAAAAAGTCTTGCGCAGACATGATAAAAAAATGTATAAATTCCGCTCATATTTTTTGGACCTCTCCCCGCTATCGCGACTTCTACTGGCGGTTAGAATTTTTTTCGCGAATTTTTTGTGTTGGTGTGGCTATATTGTGCAAGTATTTCATTTCAACCTGTTGTTGAGTAGATCAATTTGATGGCGCATCCGGGGATGAATAACCAAAATAAAACATGGCCGCCAAATATTCAAAACACATCTATCCGCTACAATGTTATTGGCTGTGAATTTCTAAAGAACAAACCAGTCGCAGACTTAAATCACAGACTCTATATTTTTATGTTTCCTCTTAAATTGAGATTTTGGAGTCTAAATGTGGAGTCAGAGATCTAAATCTCTCCTGATAAGCATATACTTAAGCTCTCATCAAGCAAAAAATGCAACGTCCGGCTTATTAGTGCTCTCTTACCGAAGATACACAATTACAACACGTACTTTACACCCCAATAAGGTGTTATAAGTGTGGGCAGGTAAAGACTCTTTACTTCAAATCTGCACTACGACTCCGCTTCGCTCTCCGCGCTTTCCACTACGCCGATATTACTAAGATCGCAATAAACTCCCAATCACTAGAGCAATTTTAAAAAACTTTAAACTTAAAAAACTCACAACTTTAAAGTTGTGAGCTTTTCGCTGTTTTTGTCAAAATACTCACATCCCTGAACAATGGATAGAAATAATCAAACATAATTTTCTCGTGTTATGGTAGTGGCATGTTTTGAAAAATGAAAACAATTTTCGATTAGCACAGCGGTTAAACGTTATGTCTTTGTTGTTCAAAAATTGAGAAGCTGGTCGTCGAAAGATACACGCATTGGGTAGGTTCTACCGTCTTGTGTGACGTTTCCAAGGCTATGACCTTCTCAAATGCTCTGCACAAAGCTTGGTAGTTATGGAATTCAAATAAAATTCTTGTGCCCATTTCGTTTTTAGTGCTTATCACAAGAAGCGTGGTCTTCCCTCTAGCTGAGTTAAGTGCAACGGAAGGATAAAGATGTTAAGTTTTTCATTTCATATAGTTTCAATCCGGTTACCCAGGATAACTCGCTTCCCAAAAGTAGCCCCTAATTCATATCTTTGTATAATTTGTTTATATTTTATGCGGTTTAACGGGTGTTCTCGTTCTGTTGTTCATTAATCATTACTTTCACTGACACACGTTATCTTAGTTTATATTTAAGAAAGTGTAAAGACTGTTCTTGTTCTCTGTTGTTCATTCATCACTACCTTCACAGACACACGTTATCTTAGTTTATATTTTTGGTATAGTAAAGACAGTTCTCGTTCTCTGTTGTTCATTCATCACTACCTACACTGACAAACGTTAGTTTATATTTTAGGTAGTATAAAGACTGTTCTCGTTCTCTGTTGTTCATTCATCACCAATTACACTGACACACGTTATCTTAGTTTATATTTCAGATGGTGTACAGACTGTTCTCGTTCTCTGTTGTTCATTCATCACTAATTACACTGACACACGTTATCTCAGTTTATATTTTATGCAGTGTAAAGACTGTTCTCGTTCTCTGTTGTTTGTGTTTACTTCACATAGAATGCAATTATTTTGGTATTCTGTTTTCTTTAACGCTAGCCAACCTCGCCCGTGATAGCTATTTCCGCCTGACGTGCGTACTATGCAGGTCAAACCATTAACAAAAACAGATAACGTCACGTCCATTACATAATGTTTTCACATAAGTTTCAACTTTTCCAAATTCTTTTTGAACTTTTCAAAACTCGACCCATTTTCGGTCAATCAACTGCTTTGTGCATTATGAGGTTTTGCATCTTATCAACGCGCGTTGTGTGCAAATTCTAGAGAAACATAAATATTTTATTATACGCCCACATGTGTTCATCACGCCGTCGGCAGTTGCATAGACTTTTGAGTGGCATGTAACAAAATGTAAAAAAGCGTGATTTAAATTGGCTTATTTTTAGGATATGATTCCGTGGCCAAACAGACATCCTGAAGTGGTGGATTTATTTGCCAGGGATATACGTTCATGTTGCATCACTGATCCAGTTACTCATTCCGTGTCACGTTACATCGTTCAAAAACCAGCTCTTCATCCTGTCTTGTGCGCAATTTAGTCATCGCTGCTGGAGAGAAGTAGCGAACAGTAGAACGTGTTCGTTTACTATTATTTGCGTTGAACAGAGACTGAGGTAATCGGCAGCATGGCATCTGAGAAGGTAAGAACGATGAACGCCGTACATCAATAGTGAATGTTTTAAAATATTGCTTATTTTCATTGAAATCAACTGACACTTAGTAACGTTTGGAAAGTTCGTTAGTTAAAAAAGGACCGCTACCAATCACGAGTTGTATTCAAAAGACGGGACGTCTGTATGGGGAGGAACAGCGCCCATACCCTACGCTAGGTTTATTTTGTCTAACGAATCGTTGTGTACATTTTTCATTTTCCCGTGAAGTCAACATTCGCTGTTTCATGCTGTTGTTTAACCGAGCAATTTGTATCGACAATTCCTCGCGTAGTAAAGCTACACGCGCTCTATTATTTATCATTACGGCATTTCATTGTGAACTTTTCCTTTGTCTAATTTTCTGCTCAATACTTTCAACTATATATAAAAGTTCTAGCGTTGTATGTAGCACCATCTTGAGCTATGTCTATACTGGTTTTATTACCCATTAACGAGTGTTTGGCCCCAATACGAGTGCTCGCTCTCGTGGGAGTTTATGCTGTTCACTGTTTGACTGATGAAATGTTACACGTGAACGGCTTTCGTATGTGTTCATCGTTGTCGGTTGTGTATCGACGTTGAACGATGAAGGTAGCCGTAGGTTTTCTAACCTTATCTTTCATTCTTTAAGTGCCATCCTTTATAAGTGCTCGTTAATGGCTTCCAGAGATCGTGCAGTCAACAGATGACTAATTTATTAATTATCATAATATGCGCGTCGACTTGAGTTCTGCGCTTATTTGAAAGGAAGCGTGATTGTTTTCCTCTCTAAGTTATAATAAATTGCAATAGCGTGTAACTTGGCGCCAGACAATGAAGCTTGTCGACAGCCAGTTATCGATCTCAGCGACTGTGCGTGAGATTTTCTCTCATCAGCATATCGTGCGCAAGCCTTGTCCATCCATTCGTGGATCATTCCAGAACGCAATATCCCACTGAGAATTTTGTATTTTTAGCAACGCACGAACGCGAGTTATGCAAATTGTTTGCGACGTTGTGAAATGAATTTTGTATGCGCTCAACGCCAACCGTATCGACAAAGTCCCCATGCAACGAGCGTCGAGTGATATCGTGTTAGAGCTTTCGACTGGCGCGTCAATTTCTCCAACTGAGCGCTTTTATTGGCCATTGTTTTTCAATTCAAATCTTATTTACTATAATAGCCTTGGGTGGTAGATGCAAACACCAATGATTGCATCAACTTATTGTCGGCTTGTATATGCGTTAGCCATTTTGAAGTCGGCCAAAACGGCATTTATATTTGAGTTTTTCGGGCTGTCACCAAAGCTCGTGTGGTAAAACTTATCATGGCGTATTGTGCTACTTACTGTATTTGAGCTTCTAAAAACTCCTGATTAACAATTCCTCGCTTTCAAAGATGGCGGTGCGATTATATTTCCATATTTTTTTTTCAGTTGACCCGTGTTCATTTGGGTACACTGACTACATTCTTGTTTTCTGTTTTGGTGTAACCATTCATTTTTCTCATAACAGACAAAAGTCATTGATCCGTTTGAAACTTTCATGTGCGCAACGCATTTCAACATACGTTGATGAAAAAATTTGTACTGATTATCGTAAGTAGCTATTTAATGGGTTTGGCACAGGAAAAATTTGATATTTGAAGCGCTCTTTTTTGGCAATATTCTTAATTAACGATCTGTTTAAAGTTCGTGGATTTATGTTGTGTAAGTTTCACTCAGTTTTCGCTGCGCGCAAATTTATGTAGAAATCCAGTTTTCCTTAATTTCAATCTCTATCAAAAAGTCGTATATTTAGTTTGAATATGTTTTTCCTCAGTATTACAGCTCGCTCCCGCAATAAAATACTTAAATTTTTACGTAAAATGCGTTTCGACTGACTGCGAGTGATTCTAAACCGCAATTCCAACGATCCTGAACTGTTCGCGTTGACAGCGCCATGTCTTCATGTAAGTGTCAAGGGATGGATAAATTGTCAAAATCCTGTAATTAAGCTCAGACGATCTAGAGATGCTTTAGACGCTTTGCCTCGCGTGTTGTAAACAGATGTTGAACAGTTTTGCGCGGTTGGCGGTTTGACAAATTTTTTTCTATTATACTTAGCGGCATGAACAATCTAGTTTTTTTAACATTCTTATAAAAGTTTGCTCTGTTTCGCAAAATTCCACTTAACCACTTGGATTGGAGCTGTTTGATTAGGTCGCCCAATCGCTGTTTACATTCATCGAAGCGTTATTTATTCTTCAACACCTTTCATAGCTGCGATGAACGATCTCATTTCCCTTTTTATAACTTCCGGTTGCTTAGTATTAATTGTTTTGTAAACATAGAGAAACGGTCGATGAGATGTTCTATTTGGCTGCTGATTCTATGAAGCGAGTTGTCTTGTTTAGTCGGGTCGAAAATTGAACAAAATGAAGGGATGATGACGAATGAGCTTTCATCATACGCTCTTTTCACCGCGGCTAGCAAGGACAACTCGTCTTATTAAATCATCTTCTTAATTGAATAAGTTTATGGTGAAGGAAAGATCGCCCAGATATTGACATACGAATGCCAAATATGAGATGCGCGCATTCCTGTTTAAGAAAAACATCTGTCTGAAATCGTTTTATGTTTCCATGGTTTATCCTTCATTGATTTTATTCATTTTAAATTTGAAAATTGAGGAGGCTCTGTTTACATTCCTTAAGATCAGTACGCTCACATGTTTTTCATTTGCAATGTCATGGCTCGTAAAGTATTTAGGACAACGAATGTGCATAAAGGTGTTTTTTGTGGTAGTTATGAAACTGACTTTGTCCCTTAGGTAGAGACAATCATGTTAGTTAATTTGATCTAGCGTTAGGTTTGTTAGACGGACAAGTTATGTGACGTAATGTTTACGTTTGTGGTATTTTGCTGTGAACTGGGACGTAAGGGAGTTTTATGTTACAAATGTATACATGTAATGCCTGGATTACCAATTTTCAAAATTGTATATGTCTATGTTTAATGATGTATCTTTATGTGCCATGGTGTATTTTTATGTGTAATAATACATCCTTACGTTCATGGTATATCTTTATGTTCAATGGTGTATCTTTATGTTCAATGGTGTATCTTCATGGTCAATTGTATATCTTTATGTTCAATGGCATATCTTTATGGTCAATTGTATATCTTTATGTTCAATGGTGTATCTTTATGTTCAATGGCATATCTTTATGTTCAATGGTGTATCTTTATGTTCAATGGTGTATCTTTATGGTCAATTGTATATCTTTATGTTCAATGGCATATCTTTAAGTTAATAGTATATCTTTATGTTAAATTGGTATATTTCTATGTTCAATAGTATATCTTTAAGTTCAATGGTATATTTCTATATTCAATGGTATATCTTGATTTTGAATGGCGTGTCTTTTTGTTCAATGCTATTCCTTATAAGCTTACGGCATAAAATAGGAGAACCCAAAGTATTTTTAGATATTCTCCGAACGTCTTGTTAGTGATATCACGATATTTGCTCTCGATATTTACCAAAAAGCCCTTTTATCAATTACCTTGTTATTGGCAAACTTCCAATAAACTACAATCCATTTCAACTGTGATTTCAATTCAACCCCAACAGTTATATTATTTTCATTAATGTGATGCATCAACAACATCCCAGCAAGACGCAAAGCGTTTACCGTTTCTGCTTAGCATTGCTAATAGGATTTTGACATTTCGGTCCCAGTTCTTCTAGTGCTTCCGTACTATGAACACAAACTGTCTAGTTTATAAGTTAATGTGCTTATTTTGTTTGATCTTGACCCTCCCTCATCCAGCTCAAAATTTCCTTCTTCAATATGTGTTCCAGGATATCTCTGTTATGCAAAAAGAAATTTACTTTTCTCTCAAATGGAAACCACGCAATTTGATATTCTTGTATGACAAGCTTTTCATTCCATGAATATGTAGAAATTTTGTGTAGAGTGATTTGCATAAAAGTACGAAATTTGCGGGCTGGCTATGCCACTGCTTTCATCATTTATTATTTATAAACTTTAAATATACTTTGGACTTTCCGCAATAAGAATCGTTACGAATCCTGTGATTTATTTTCTGAGGTGCATGGTGACGTATTTGGACAACATATAAGTGCATTATCTCAGGAAAATTATAAAATGATCTTTTAAAAACACGGTTGCTAACTAGTCAATGCTCAAAGAAACCGTGTTTACATAACTCTTTGGAAAGTTTGGGAGAGTAGCTCGAATTTGCTTGAAAACATTCGCACTTTGTGCTCGCGCTTGCCACGCATTTCTCGTTCCCCCCAACTTTCCGCATGTTTCTATAAATCTATAGAAACTCGGAAAATGTTTTCTATTTCTTAACTGTATCACACGTTTTTATAGAGCCCATTTTTGTCTTGGACTAAGTTATATGTTTCAAAGAATTTTCTCGTGCAACTTGATTTCCCAACGTTATTGGAACCTAAATATAGTCAGATTTCTTTCATCACGAGCGTGGTTAGAAGACCTCCTCTTAGATGACGCTCCTTTTAACAATGATATGATCCGTTTTTAATTTTTGTAATCTTGCCAAGGAATGTAGCTGAGGTTTGTTCCTCGTTAACCTCACGTGGCTACAAAAGTTTTTATGCGTTGTAGTACATTCCAGCCGGGACAAAGCCGATAGCAATAAAGATAAAGACGATAAAATGACCTACATCCTGCTCCTCTTTTTCTAGAATGATTCCTCAAACACATGTTTATTTTTCATTTTGATGATTTTTTTCTTTTTTATGCAGGGAAACCTTCCTATGCTGGTAGCTGCGGCAGTTGTTTTTGTTTTCTATTTTCGTGTTGTTGAAGCACAGACATATAAAGTCGTTTACAAAGGTTTGTGCATATGCCCGAGTATTTATATGTTTTTGGCCGTTCTGACTTACCTCTCCTTTTTTCACCAGGGCTTTTTTCGTTCATGCAGTTTTAAGACTGTTTTCGTTCTCTCTTGTTCATCCATCACTACCTACACTGACATACGTTATCTTAGTTTATATTTTAGGTAGTGTAAAGACTGTTCTGTTCTCTTTTGTTCATTCATCACTACCTACACTTAACACCTTATCTTAGTTTATATTTTAGTAGGTAGTGTAAAGACTTTTCTCGTTCTCTCTTGTTCATCCATCACTACCTACACTGACGCACGTTATCTTAGTTTATATTTTAGATAGTGTAAAGACTGCTCTCGTTCTCTCTTGTTCATTCATCACTATCTACACTGACACACGTTATCTTAGTTTATATTTTAGATAGTGTAAAGACTGTTCTCGTTGTCTGTTTGTTCATTCATCACTACATACACTGACACACGTTATCTTAGTTTATATTTTAAATAGTGTAAAGACTGTTCTCGCTCTCAGGTTGTTCATCCATCACGACCTACACTGACAAGTTGTCTAACATTTTAGGCAGTGTAAAGAAAGTTCTCGTTCCCTGTTTTTTATTTACAACTCAACTTATAAGTTGTGATTGTCGCCAAAATTTTCTCTTATTAAAACGCGTTCTAAATACTTTCCTCAGAAATCCCTGACAATAGAGGTAAAGAGTTCATCGTTGGTTTTTTGAGACAGTTCAACCATGAACTGGATGGTGCCACAAGACTGTTTATAACCTCGGATTACAACACAAGGGTTGTTATCACGGCTAGACATACGAACGTGCGTAAAGAGATCCAAGTGAAATCCCGTCAGTTATATCCCATCGATCTTCCGACTTCGATTCGTATGTCAGGCAAGAAGATCGAAAACAAGGGCATTCACATTTTTGCAGAGTCCGAGATCGTTGTTTATGGTTTGAACATAAAGAAATTCACGACAGACGCATATCTTGCATTGCCCGTGGATATTCAAAGCAAAAAGTATTTGGTCACTTCTTTTAAGCCGAGTTACAAATCCCTTATTGGTATTATTGGCATTCACGACCGTACTGTTGTTTTTGTCACCTTCAAGTTCGCGGGAAAGAAATCTTATTTCACGTATAAAGGAGCAAAGTACAGGAGCGGTCAGACTCTGTCCATCACTCTCAATCGTCTCCAGACCTTTCAGGTTGCTCACACGAAAGATATGACCGGCACAGCTATTTACTCAACTCGACCGATTTCGGTGTTGTCTGGTAACGAGTGCGCTAATGTACCATCAGACAAGGGCTATTGCGATCATCTTGTTGAGCACATCCCTCCTGTGAATACTTGGGGACAGCGGTTTATCACTGCACCATTGGCAGGTCGTACTGGGGGTGATTTCTTCCGAATTTTGGCAGCCAATGAAAGCACATCGGTGAGCATCAATGGTAAACACGTGCGGACGCTAAAGGAAGGGAAGTACGTAGAGATTTATTGATTAATACCTCAAGCTGAAAAGGACAATATGTATATGTAGTAGAGTTTGTTGGTTATTTGCATTATGATTTTTATATTGTATATATTGATTGATTAACATCCCATGCCGAAAAGAACTTTATATATAGTAGAGTTGGTAGTCATTTCAATTTGGTAAAATTATACCCCAAGCTTCAAAGCTGCGATAGAGTTAGGTGTGTAGTTCTGTAATGGTTTTCATTATTGTACATGAAGTGTATTTATTAAACCATGCTGGCAAATTGAAGTAAAATGTATTCACTAGACCATGCTGGAAAATTTGTTTCACCAGCAACAGTAGAACATCACGTCCTCAGATGGACTGTTGGTGTTGTGTTGTTGACTGACGTTTCGCTGCTTTCACTCTGAAGTTGACAACCGCTGAGGTTGTCGAAACGTCAGTCTACATCAACACCAACAGTCCTTCTCAAGTCTCTACTAACTTAGACGATCTACATCTACATACATGTAACGATACTCCCGGGTTCAAACCATTCACTTTAGTAGAACATCAAAGTAGAACACAGCTTTCAACGTAATCATTTATTGTTTTTTTTTGTAGATTTGTCCAAGTTGACGTGCCTTCGAACCGCTATCAATACATCGAGACGAGCAAACCATGCCTTGTAATGCAGTTCAGTAAGGGACGAAGAGTCGATAATACTCAAACTGATCCTTTTATGCTCATGATACCCCTGTGGAACAGTACACGGCCCAATATACGATCTCAACGCCAGATCAAAATGAAAAGTACTTCACAAGCTATCTCAATATAATCATTAACACGAAGGAAATTGATGGTTTGCGTTTGGATGGACGAACTCTCCGAAACGAGAAATGGGTGCCTATTTGGGGTTTGTATTTTCTTGTCTGTTTTGCCCATCGTTGCTTATAAGGTTACTTTTAATTGCATTGTTATGTCAGAATCAGAGCGTATTCCATAAGCATTCAAGAACTTTGATTTGTTTTTCCATAAGAAATGCATAAGAAATCTTATTTTATCTTAGCAGGGATGGTCCATAAAAGATACTGCACTTAATCTCCTTATATTTACGCCATATTGGTCTTTTGGAAATCAAACTATCTAATCTATCATTTGATAAAAAAAGCTCACCTGGGAAGAAGTATTTTTGAATGAAAGAGTCAAAGGGAATTCTTATTTTGTTTTGTAGGAACAACTCATTCTGCTGCTCGTATCAAGGTTTCGTTCGGTGTACATCGTGTTATACACGACTCGCCGATTGTACCCTTTGCCGTATTCTCGTACGGCTATGCGCGCGCAGATTCCTATGGTTATCCCGGAGGCTTGCGATTGGCCGATCTAACGCTGGAGTGTGTACCGGGAAATCCCGGAGATGGTTTGGATAACGATTGTGATCGCAGGATTGACGAGGAAATTAAGAACTTCATTGACGATGATGGCGATGGTAAGCAATGGATGTTTCATTTGCAAGACCTTGAAATTTAGGAATGGCTTTATCGAAGGAAAACTCTTTCTAGTAGTACCATTACGCTTGCTTTAGTACTGTTGTGAATAGACTTTTCAATGGTATTTCTGATAGGAAATATATGTCATTTACCGATTGCAAGATCCGAATGGAAAAATATTTTGGGAATATATTAAAAAGGTATTTTTCATCGGCATCGTATAAACGGTAAATAGCGTATTTGTCATTTTTTGCCAAAGAAAACTGTCTATTGGGATCTGCATCGGATTGAACAAGGCGACAAAGAAAACAATCAAGTTGTCTAATAATGTGCTTTGTAAAACTAAACAACTTTTCTTTCAAGTATTTATTTATAAGATTCCGTACAGCGGTTTGATATCGTAAACTATCGCCCTCTGCTACAGCCAATCAGAATGCACGAAAGGCAAGGATTCCGCCAGCTGTTGATTTGTAGAAAATGCTTACTTGATGTCTTTAGTGTAGGCCATGCATTTAAAAATCACATGAAGTTTAGTGTTTAGACGTTGACTCTAAAAGATGAACTATACATTTGCCATATTTGTGTTTTTAGTTCTCTTTGCGTATTGCTTGCCCTAGAAACATCGAGCAAGATTTCATATATGTATATTTATGTACAAATGTATAACAATGTGCCCTCCCGGCTATCACCATAGTAAAATGGTGACTCCTGCATCTTGACTTCTGTCAAGATGTCACAAGCTCTAGCTTGTATTATTTTTAGATTTCTCTGTCGTGACACCCGACTTCTGTTTGTGTCAATGAGTGCTTCAATGACTCGTGACGACTAACTGCAGGATTTATTCAAGCCTGTGAATTTTCCCATCTTGGATTTTTCACAGCGATCAATGGGATTTGCATGATTCAAGTACTCTAAACACCTAAACAAAAAATACGAATGCTTTGCCACTAAAGTTTTGCTTTATTCCGAACTTTTAGGTCGTATCGACGAAGACTTGGTGACCGAGCCCCCGAAAATAGTTCTCGATGTCAAGGCTATTATTGCAAACGGCTGTCCAGAGGAAGTGAAGAAACAACTGAAAGAACCAACTGTCATCTCTGCTCCCTTGTGTACCAGTCGTGGACGAAATAAACTTAGCTACGTGGACACCATGTACGAGAGAGAGTGCGTGCAGTATATCGATAGATTGTGGTTGGTGCGAGACGGTTGCGGGAATCTCGCGAATGTCACGCAACAGATCAGGATTAGACGACCCGAAATGAGGGTTGTATTTCCCAAAGATGTTCGTGGAAAATGTTCTGTTGGAGAGGTAATTATATGAGGAAGGAGAGGGCTAATACATTGGTATTGTTTACTTTATGATAGCTGTGGTAAGTTGTTGAATTCGGAAACATTTAGCTGCTTTAGCAAAGGCGCCATTCAAGAGTTTTAGCTTGGCAAACGGCAAAGCAATCTACCCGTTTGCCGTTGAGGTTAGCCGTTTCGAAAGAAAAAAAATCAGCACGGCCTTGCATAATTAACAGTTTGTCTATAAAAAGCTATACTCACTTTGTGCACTCAAATAAACATATACCTCAGGGCATGACTTGGTGGCATAAAAGTCATGAAAAATTGCTCTAAATCACTTAAAGTTCGTTCACTTGTTAAAAACCTGAATCGCAAAGCAGACTGCAAGGCAATGATCACGTGACTCTCCGGTTTGCACCTGTCTGCTCAGGTCATGCTAAAGCTCTGTATTGAAACAGCCTTGTCTTGCTTTCAAAGGACTTGTCCGTCGTTGGACAACCATTAGTAACAATGAGTTGTAAAAAGGATCGATTTGTAACCAAACATCGCGACTCACCGTCTTTAACCGAGTGCGTTCGACGCGGACAAGTTGTTGGTAGGGAATGGATAGTGAAAGCATCGTGTGGAAGTTCTGTTAAACACGTTCAAAAGTTCCTTCCAGGTATGTCTCATTTTCCTTACATAGACAAGCGATTTCGATGGCTTTTAGGGAAATGTTCACATGTCAACGATTACGGAGATTCATGTATCGATCCTTATCCAGATGATCTGGTTGCACCGCAAAGCAGCTTGATTTAAAATAGAAATTCCCTCTTGCGATGAAGGGCGTACTAATCTCCAATGTGACCATATGTGCAAACTTTTTTATCAGATTCGGTAGGAGGAGCTTAAAACTCTTCCCTCGTTCTGATCTTTGAGCCGAATCTTATCAGACTAAATCTTTTGTTTGAAACGGAATGAGACATGCATATATGAATTTTGCCCTCCAATTAACGAGTTTGCTACGCCACTGCCTTCAGTGTACTAAACCATTCATAGCATGTCCTATGTTGCCTCTCACTAATCATTACTGTCGTTCATTTCATAGATGTAACTCCTCCAAAAGTGAACTTTATTGGTAAACTTCAATTCTTTGTGAAGAGCAATTTCAGAATCAGTTGGAACGCCAGCGAACCATCCACTTTCACATGTGCTTTGAATAATCTCAAGAACACCTTCCTGTGTGGAGAAGGCTGGGGAGAAACGTGGTCTCGCCGTGATATACCTGATGGCAAGCACGTGTTCTATGTTCGGCCTACTGATCTTGCCGGCAACACTGGAGCGACCATTAGTCATCCGTTTCAAGTTGGTAAGTGACCTTCATAGTTGCATTGGGAGTATTGTTAAATGAATACAATGAATATAATAGATAGTGTTTTTCAATCAATGAATGATCACCGTAATCTAAGCAACGAATATTTCGGCCTGTAGTCCAGTGGTAATTTGAATTGATATCGTCAGAATCGTTGTTAAGTCAACCAACCAAGATAGGCGATGAGTTTTGTGTGCTTGAAAAAAATTCACAAATGATCCATCACAAATGATTTCTGAGATCAACTGTCAATGCTATTTGCGAATTACTACTTATTCGTTAAGTCAAAGATAAAGAAATATTTCTGTGAGACTTGCTTCTTTTGTAACGTAATTTTTGTTGATTATTGTACGATTTCCTGGCTTGCAATTTTTGCATGTTCTTTCCGCACGAATTGATGATTTTAATTTATTGTTCTCTGCAGATAATCGTGGACCACGTTTGACTTTCGACAAAGCTTTGAAAACCCTAAGCAATGGACCTATGGCGATCAAGTGGATGTCAAATGAATTAGCCAGATTCAAATGCGGATTGAATCCAGAAAGGCTGGAGCAATGTGGCTCTGGTACCCGGGGAAGGGAATACAGACGCGATCTTCGCGATGGTACTTATAGCTTATATGTTGGTGCCGTAGATCAGATTGGAAACGAGGCTAAAATGATAAAGCATACGTTTAGAATTGGTAAGATCATGTCTACCATCACCAGATGCTATTTTTGTGCATGTAATAACCAATTGCTTTATTTCTCTATGTGCAATCACCAGGTGCAATCTCAGTCTGTTTGTATTCGCCAGATGCTATCTATCTCTCTTTGTAATCACAAGGTGTTATCTTTCTTTGTATGAAATCACCAGTTGCTATCGTTTTCTGTATGAAATCACCAGATGCTAACTATCTCTGTATGTAATCACAAGGTGCTATCTTTCTTTGTATGAAATCACCAGTTGCTGTCGTTTTCTGTATGAAATTACCAGATGCTATCTATCTCTGTATGTAATCACAAGGTGCTATCTTTCTTTGTATGAAATCACCAGTTGCTATCGTTTTCTGTATGAAATCACCAGATGCTATCTATCTCTGTATGTAATCACAAGGTGCTATCTTTCTTTGTATGAAATCACCAGTTGCTATCGTTTTCTGTATGAAATCACCAGATGCTATTTATCTCTGTATGTAATCACAAGGCGCTATCTTTCTTTTTATGAAATTACCAGTTGCTATCGTTTTCTGTGTGAAATCACCAGATGCTATCTATCTCTGTATAAACTATCGTTCTTTGTATGAAATCACCAGTTGCTATTTCATGTAATGATTCATTGTCTGATTTGATTTATGCACCATATTGATATCATATGAACAAAATTGATTTTTACGTACTCTCTTGATTTCATATGTAAACTATTGATTTCACATGTGCAATATTGATTTCATATGAACATTTTTGATTTGTATGCACCATGTTGTCATCATATGAACAATGTTGATTTTTATGTACTCTCTTAAATTTAATATGTACACTATTCATGATGAAGGCTCTAAGCAACGAGTCGAAAGCTTAATAAAAAACATTTAAAATTCGGAGAAACTTTTATTTATCAACTATTGATTTCGTATGTACAGCATTGAATTCAGTCTCTCCAACTATTTTAACTCTACAGATTCTACACCACCAAGAATCAAGTTCGGTTCATCGTCGCGTCTCGACTCAAACGTCGATCTTCCTCTGTTGTCTAACGAATGGGCGCGATTCCTTTGTTCAATAGATGGTTCAGAATACAGTGATTGCGGTTCTGGGCTAAATGGGAGATTTACGGCCCGGGATCTTGTGGAAGGTCCCCATCAAGTTAAAGTTAAAGCGATTGATAAAGCTGGAAACGAGGCTGATCCAATTTCCTTGAAGTGGAATTCTGGTTTGTATTGAGTTGAATTGTGATTCACTCATTCATACATAATGCTATGTGGCAGTTTAAATATGTCTTGGAATTGTCCCTACGTTAAAACATACTTTGATATTTTGGTATCTCCTTTTCATTAGGAATGATCTAGTATTTAAACTTGAGTCCTTTTATAGCCCAGTCCAGATCTGATGTGAAAACTTCAGGCCTTATGTACTCCAGTCTAGTGTCTTCATCAGGAGTGATTCGAGATGTTGAAACTTTGGTCTTTGTGTGCTTCAGTGTAGTGTCTTCATTAAGAATAATTGAAGTTCGAAACTTGAATAAACTGTTTGCGACTTTTTTTTCATTATTTTCTAGACAAAACTTCACCAAACATAATATTTACTCCCGGTTTACCGACCAAGTTTCGGGAAATGCCTAAGATCACGTGGACGTCCACTGAATATGCAAGTTTTGAATGCTCGCTAGACGACAATTCCGTGTTCAAGTCTTGTGGAGAGGGCATAAAAGGCACGTGGACACAATCGAAATCTCGCGGGGGCTTTCACGATTTCTTTGTTCGCGGCACGGACAGAAATGGCAACGTTGGTCCCACTGCCAATTTTAGATTTACGATTGGTATGTGAATATGCAAAGTATCATGTAAAATGAAACAAACTCCGAGGACAATTTCCATCTTTAACTCAATATTTGAAATGAAAAAGAGGAAATTACTGTGGTAATATTTCGAAATTGTTTTAAAAAGAGCCAATACCATGTTGAAAATGGCAAAAATAATAACGCGCGCAATAGTTGTTAAAGAACTGTTTAAAACCAGAACACTAATCCCATAGTTCTAAAAGTTTTTAAATTTTTCACCACGACAAAGTCTTTATTGTAGTTATGTTTCGAATTTATTACAAATTGGTCTGATCTGATTTGGATCTTGGAGTGACCTGATGCCAAAACTTAATGTCTTATGTACCCCAGGCTAGAGTGTCTTCATCAGTTGTGACCTGTTATTGAAGCTTATGGTCTCATATACTTCAGTCTAGTGTCTTTATCATAAGTGATCTGACGTTTATACGTAAGGTCTTTTATACACCAGTTTAGAGTGTATTCATCAGAAGTGATCGGATGTTGAAATTTAAGATCTTATATACTCCAATCTAGTCTCTTCAACAGTGCTTCAACATAAGTGACGAGATTTTGAATTTGTTATAATTTCGAAATATCACTTCATTATTGTCTCCTCTTTTTTCATCTCAAATGTTTAGTAAAGATGGATATTTTATTTGTAGTTTGTTTCATTTTATGTTTTATGATAGTGTGGTTATTTATTTATTTGTATTATTATTCAAAATTGAAGTTTTGAAAAGCGTATTTCACCATGGCTAATTACGTTGGAAAGAAAGTTGGAAAGCTAAAATAAAGATAGCTTTGAATGAAGATAGCCAAGGATTATAGTTATCTTGATTTTGCTTTTCAGCAGTTTTTTTAGATCTACCTAATCGTCATTCCTATGGCAAATACGCTGCTCAAAGCCGTATTTAAGTTCGTTACCACAATCAAGTCTTAGTTTTACAATTATTGTTTAGAAGCATCATGTTTGATTATTATTATTATTTATTTATTTTCTAACATGTCACGATTGTTCACGAAACAAAGATCTGACAATTTATCATAACATTTTATTCCATTGAAGATGACAAGTATCCTTCTATTTAAAATCCTTTTAAACCCTAACTATATATTTAGGTTACAAGTATCTTTTTGCATCCCAAACTTGTTTTATTTCATCCTGTAGATGGCAGGGATCTTATTGTACCCCAAGCTCGTTTCATTCTATTGTAGATGACAAGTATCCTATTGTATTTAAACTCATTTTAAACTCTACGTAGATAAAAAGTATCCTATCGTGTACCTAAATCGACCTTTGCCCAGGACCTCTGGGAGTGACACGATCACTTTCAGGTGGACTAGTAACGAGATGGCTTACTACAAATGCGCATTGGATGATGTTTCTCGGCTCCAGGACTGCGGCAGCGGCTTACTTGCGGATTGGACCACACCTACTTTGACCAATGGCCAGCACACGTTTTATTTGGTCGCAACAGACGAAGTTGGCAATGAAGCGCCAATGTTAAGTCATACGTGGACTACAGGTAAACATATTTTGTCAAACAGAAAACAATATAGACTCGACTTATATGCTGAATATTTTATCCTAAACATGATACTTGATTCATTTTAACAATTTTCCTACAACTGATAAAATATTTCATTCTGATGCTAACTATTTTTTAGAATGAAATATTTTGTATTTGCGCAATGTGTGTTGTTTTGTGTTTTATCCAATAACTCTTTGGCAACCGTAATTTTTGCTAAACATACGACTGATTGATTGTTGACTGCAATATGTAACGATGGCGTCTTGTAATGCATCTTGCGTAAAATCCACTAAAAATTTCAAAGGTTATACAATAGGTTTGATTGCATTTTGAAAAGTATATGGTTCGAGTCTTTGATACATTTGTGATAAAACTTTCATTGCAAATCCCAGGCAAGGAACTCAGTTCCATTGCGTTTGCGCCTCCTTGAAGACCGATTGCTGCTGAACCATGCAAATTTTAAGATTTCGGCTGACTTCAAATACGACCAATTTTTTCCGAGACACCCTGAGTAGACACCTTAAGTTTGTATGAGGAGGAACGCTGTCAGAAAAAAATTCATTTTTTGAGATGACGCCGAATTAATTCCTTCTTACTTCAGATGGAACTTATCTTTCTCAAAGCGCTTCTCCGCAAAGCTTTTTCATTCAAACCGTTGCTCGAATATTCGAAAACGTACGTCGCAATTCATCACAAAGTTTTGTGCGTTTTTCTTAGATAAAGTTGCTCCCGTCTTGGAGTTTACCGACAATCTTCCCAACAACAGCAACGTGAATGTTCAAAAAATCCGTTGGACGTCGTCAGAAACTGCGAAGTTTAAATGCTTTGTCGACTCCGAAACGAATTCCATTCCTTGTGGCTCAGGAAGGAGGGGAAGTTGGACTTCCCCTGAACTTTCGGATGGCGTGCATACGTTCAAAGTGTTTGGAACGGATGAGAATGGTAATGTTGGAGAAACCATTCAACACATTTGGGAAATTGGTAAGATGATGAAATCGGCATGCATCTAGTTTAGTACACAGTCTATTGCAGATGTTATGTTTTTCGATGGTTTTTCATAGCAATCGTCTTCATGCTATAGCATACATGAATCGTGAATCATGAAATAATCTGTCTTAATTGACTAAAAACAGCCAGACGTTCAATTCTAATCTTGTTTGACTATCCCCCCCCCCCAAATGTGATATCTCATCTTAGACTACTCCTACTCCAAAGTACTTTCTGTTTTCTTGGTTGAGAACCCCCACCCCCTGAATATGTTTTCTCTTCTTCGACTTCTCATGCTCAAAAGTACCATCCGTTCTCTTGTTTGACTACTCCCCCCGTTCCACAAGTACTACTACTATTTGTTCCCTACAACCAACGTATGTCTTTTTTCGTTTGACGCCCATCCCCCTCTTACATGCGATCTTTTCTATCGTTTGCATATGTATATCTAAGCCATTGGACTAAAATACATGGAACCCCTCCTGTAATAGAAAAGCCTAATAATTTTTTAAGCCAAATCTTAGTCACCCAGCCACGCGAGACTACACCCAGACACGCGTGTGTAGTCAATCAATTTTCACCCGCGAGAGAATCTCGAAACACTAGACACGCGTGTCTGGGTGTAAGAATTGGCTTCAATTATTTGCTTCAGGTAGCGTTCCATGTATTTTAGTTCAATGGTCCAAGCTATCTAACTACATAAACGTGTCTAGAGTACGATAGTGAGTTGATTATTCACGTGATTTTCCTTTGAAGATACAAGAGCACCGGACGTTGATTTTGCTACGGTACCCGATGCAATTAACAATTCTAAGGCATTATTCAAATGGAAAACGGATGAACCGGCAATATATATTTGTGCTCTCGATGATGATGAAGATGGCAATGAGTGTGGCGAGGGGATAGATGGGGAATATCTAACACCAACCCTCGCTGATGGGGAACATGAATTTAGATTATTGGTCGAGGATATGGTGGGAAATTTGGCACCTTTAATCCGATCGAAATTTAGCATCGGTGAGGATGGCAAAAATATATTGCAATGTTGTTTGGGACCGTTGTACTTGTTCTAGGAAATTTTATTCGTGTTATGTAAATTTTTATTGACTTTGAAGTACAATGTATTTTATAAGGCATTATCTAGTCTTAAAATATATAGATGTATTGAGTTAATTTCAAACAGAAGCCATCTTCAGAACTATTGTTTTAGAAAACGCAACAATCTTCCATCCATGGCACAATCACCCCACACACACACACACCCCGTAATGTTTTACTCGTGCAAATTGCAAATTTATTTGAATTTAACTCTTTTGAGATGAGCATGAGTGGATATTTTTCGTTGCAGACACAACAAATCCTGTAATAACCTTTGATAAACCGGACCCTGAAAAGCCACAAAAAGATCTCAGTGTATCGTGGAAGTCTTCAGAAGAGGCCGACTTCGAATGCAGTTTGGATGACCCCACCCTGTACGAGCCTTGTGGTAAAGGAAAAACAGGGCTGTTCCAAAAAGATGACTTGCCAGATGGGGAACATCGTTTTTATGTAAGAGGAAAAGATAATGTTGGTAATGTCGGAGACCCGAGTGTGTACACAGTGGTGACAGGTAGGGATGTGTGTTGACTATGGATATATTAGGAGTACCTGTTGATCATTCTCATCTATCATTGACGGGACCTAAAATAGAAGCTTTGGGAACAGCAATCGTGATTTTCAGCAATGGATTGAATGATAAAGATCGAACAGTTGTTGAAACATAAGGTTAAAGAAGGCTACCATCACAATACCGTCTAAAATTTCTTTAATTTTAGATCGCTCTCCTCCAAGTGCTCAGTTCACTGATAAGATAAAGCCAATCTCTAACAATACGAGGGAGCGAATCACGTGGTCTTCAAACGAGCCGGCTACATTTAAATGTAAGATCGACGAACGACCAGAAGTTGACTGCGGAAATCGTTTAAACGGAGAGTTTTTAACACCCGATCTTCCCGATGGTGACCACATCTTCAAGGTATCGTAATCATTGTACTTTGTAATACGAGGAGTCGCTTACGTATATAAATAGTACGTGTTTTTCCTTAAGACATTAAAGTATTCTTTGAAAAGCACGGCTCAAAGTACCGGTCTGTCAACGGAAAATGACCATGCCTGTTGATTGGCTGATATCTTACCTTGAAGGTCATTTTGTCTTGTCACATTTTCACATCATCCCAAAAAGCACTACAGTAAAGCAATGCGTTGCTACGTGACTTACGTCTTCATCTCTACGAACATGAAAAACGATAATCTGTTACTCAAAAAAGTTTTTTTCAAAAAAATTATTTAGTGCGAAGTATGTGTATTAGCCACCGGTCAAAAACCGACCTAGACCGGACACCTTTTGGCCATCACTTTGAGCCTTGAAAAACACTAACATGCAAATTTGCAATTGTATTTCTATTTAGCTAACCCCTGTTGATGAAGCTGGTAACAAAGGAAGGACCATTGAACGGAAATGGACGAAAGGTACAGGGATTATAATCTGATGAATAAAAATACTGCTCGGCAAGCTCGTGCGCAGAATGTTTTGCTCCCAGAATGAGCACAGCCTTCTCGGCTGAAACTATGGTTGCGTGACCAATTAACCTAACCCAGACCTTAATTCGTCAAATGTCAAATTAGAATTACTCTAAATCTAAGCCAATCTTATACTACCAACCTTATAATAACCCGGAGCCTAAATCTAGAGAAATATATCCTCTTTCGAGTTTAAGTAGGCTCTTGGATGTCCCCATGTTGTTGATGAGTTGCCATTTAACAAAACATTGGCATATATAACGCTTGCTTGTCAATCTTAGTGTGAAATGTCAACTAATTCAGGGTTCGCATCAAACTCAAATGGAAAATTCGAAGGCCTTGAAATTACTTATTAAGATGTTCTTGAAAGTGCCGAAGTGCTTTGTTGATCGAATTTTTGCGCTATTTTTTTCTATTGTGGAGTTGAAATTTTATCTTAACTCGTATTGCTCTCGATTTATCAGAAAAAAGTCTTTTGTTTCAATTCTGATACTTTTAATGTTTTCTTACTTAAGTTGTGCTTTGTGTGCAATTCAAGATCTTCCTCGTCCTCAATTTTTTCAAAATATGTCCTTGAAAGTCCTTGAAAAGTGTTCGAATTTCATTACTTCAGCATTGTACGAAACCCGATAATTCTCTTCATTGAACTTTCATTTTCCGTTTTCTAAGATACTTCCCCACCAAGTGTCATTTATACAAGTCAACCCCAAAACAATTCGACGAACTCCGTACACTTTAAGTGGAAGTCATCTGAATATGCGGAGTTTGATTGTCTTTTGGATGACGCGAGCACGATAATACCCTGCGGTAATGGCACTGTTGGGGAAAAGAACTTGACTGACTTGGACCATGGGCCTAGAATATTTTGGGTTCGTGGTAAGGACAGTGCCGGTAATGTTGGCGAGTTTGTTCCTCATCGTTGGTTAGTTGGTGAGTACTGCTTTTTACGTCTACTTTGTGTCGTGTTTTTCATGGTGAATCGAGTGAGGTTTTTCCTGTTGATTATAATAATCTTTGATTGCGATAAAGTTGATCGTCCAGGCTAGTGAAGTCCCGAGAAGGACTGTTGGCGTTAGTGTTCACTGGCATTTGAACACTCTTAGGGGCTGTTCACATGAGCCCTGTAACCGGGATTCAGCGAGGCGTGAAATGATTTTGAGTCATTGAAAGGAGAAAAACTTTAAGCTCAAAACTTACAACCTTTTCTTACAAGCATCATATGTCATTTTACTCGTAATTTTCAAATCAGGATGAATTATTTGTTTTCACTTTAAAGGTTTTATGAATTTGCAAAGTCAGAGCATAGAGAAATTACAAATACAAATTTTTGTTGTGAAGTATTTAATGTTTTCCATTTTCCAAAATCATTTAACGCTTCGCTGAATTCCGGCTACCGGACTCATGTAATCAGGAACTTAGGTGTAGTCATTTTCAGAGTCGAGTGACCGCACTAACCTGGGCAATCGACTTCAGAAAAATGCAACAACACTCCCAGAACATTCAATTTAGTCTTTAATATGAAACTATAAAACTAATATGCACAGTAAGAATTAATTGTATCTAACATATTATGGAAGAACGCTTGTTTTAAACGCTGAAAAATTCCACAGTACTCCTTCATGTACATATCTGATAGTACAGTACTCCATATGTACTGTATACCACTGTACTCTTTATGTACATATCTGACCATCATGGTATGCCACAATAAAAGTAAATAAACATTTTTGTTGAATAGAAGTGAATTTCGTTTTGCAAACCTACGAATGCCTAAATGTATCCCGTGCAACACCGCTGTACTGAAAGCACTTCATATGAATTTTCATTAGATACAAATCCTCCAGTGATCGAGTTTACTGGAGATTTGCCTTCCTACTCAAAGACAAGCTTAGTCCTTACATGGAAAACAAACGAAGATTCAATGTTTGAATGTGCTCTGGACGATCCGAAAAAATTCGAGGATTGTGGAAACGGATGGTTTGGACAACGACGGTTGACTAGTCTAACCGAAGGTCCCCATACCTTCTACGTTCGCGCAAGGGATTATCTTGGAAATATTGTCGCCCCAATCTCCCACTCGTGGATTGTCGGTAGGTCGTGATATTATTGTTAATTAAGGACACACGGGGACACAGCATGACCTTTGAGATGTGTGTTTTTCAGAAACAGCAATTTGCGTTTGATAAATTGTAGTCTGTTTGTTTGTGTTCATAGTACTGCCCTTGTGCATTTTTTATTTCATGTCAATTTGAAAGACCAATTGTGATAAAAGCGAATGTTTTTTTTAAAAGATCTGACAATAATACAATGTGTGTTTCATATGACATTGCATTCATATTAAAATCAACGAATCCATACCCCCATACCGTATTCACAACAACCACTTCAGACTTTTTGAATATAAGGAAAATGTTGTTTAGATTCCATTCCCCTCGGGCTGTTCTCGAAGCAGTCAGCCCCGTTGTTGGCACTCCCTACGTCACTCTCTCCTGGACTGCCGATGAACGTTCGAAATTTCTTTGCGCCATTGGCGACGTGGGCAATGTTATCGAATGTGGTCAAGGTACGAGCGGAAGTTGGACCACACCGTACTTACGAGAAGGTCCTCATAAGTTTTGGTTGATTGCTAGCGATGACCATGGTAATCAAGCTGAACCCGTGAGCGTCGAATGGACTGTTGGTAAGTATGTTGCGTCAGAGCCCTGTATTTGTAAGAGTTGGGACACGTATTGTTCTCTGCATTTTGCCTTATGATCAAGGTGATTGGGTAGATATGGTCACATGGGCATCTAGCCGCCGTTTTTGTTCCAAAAGCGCAAATCAAAACCATTTTTACGTAGGAGATAAATTATAAAAAAATGTTTGCAATAATTTTATGTTGCGTTGTAATAGTACCAGTCAAAGCGATAAAGAATAGAAACATACGCGCTCCCTTGTGGCAAAAACAGCATTAAAGCCGTATAAATTACATCCACTGTTTTAAATAAATGCTTCTATATTATTATGACATCTATAAACAACTGAGTTCCGAAGGTCGGGATCGCTGTCTATACATGAATAAGAAAATACAACAGATAATTTGTCTTTCCACCATTTGATGCTCTATATTTGCTGGCTTTTGCAACAAAAATGGCGGACGCTAAGCACTTTTACTTCCGGTGTCTCAACTCTCCTAATACAGGGCTCTGTGTCGCGTTGATGGAAAACAACGAGTTACATTAAACACGAGTTAACAATGAGAAGTCAAACCTTGCTTCTCTCTTAAGCGTTCCATTCAAGTAAGATGCTGTCTCGCCAAAGTAAATAAGCAAATGAATAAGCGTTGCGATACTAGTTTGAAGTTTTAAACCACGATACACATATGTATCTCTCTGACAGGTGCTTAATACACCCAACCCCCACTCCCCTCCTCGTCGTGGCCTTTAGAATAAGTATAAGCTAGTTTACTTTGTCTATTGGTAGTGTGGATGTATAAATGTTGAATGCTTTGACTTCGTATATAAACGATATAAACATAAAATTAGTTGACTTCCTCTATTCATACTGACAATATAAATGTCAATGGTTTGACTTTGTCTTTAAATACCAATAACAGAATTTGAATGAAATTTGAATGAAAATAACACGAGTTTATGGCATACCCAGTCCAAACTTGGAAGGACTGTATGACGTAGTTGTTTACTGGCTACGTCCAACAAGTTATTACTCAGATGATCGTGTCTGAGACTTGTTATGTTTTCATGCTAAGGGGAATTTTTTTACTCTTAACTTAGATAACAAAGCCCCAGTGATCACCTTCTCTAAGGATTCAACAGACAAGAGCGTGACGAGTAGTCCACGCGTGTCGTGGACATCTGACGAGCAAGCTGATACATTTGAGTGTGCTATAAAGGGTTTAACCTCTTTCGAACAATGTGGGTCTGGCTTAAAAGGCTCATGGACTGGTACAAACGTCCCGGATGGAAAACACACATTCTTAGTGCGTGCCCGCGATGCTTACGATAATCAGAATGAGCCATATAGTTTTCCATTTGAAGTAGGTATGTTACTTGATGAAAAAAGGAGTTTGTGTTTGACTCATTGAAAGTAAGTCATGGTTTAAGTTGAGCTGGACGAATTATAGGCTGAATGGTCCTTAAATGTAGTAAGCAAGGAATTTTATTCCTTGTTTATGTTCTGCCTTAAAATTTTTACAGTGTTATTGTATTATAAACTATATCCTTTTAAATGAGAGAAAAATTCGAACTCAATGTGCACTTTAAAAGACAACATTGAGACGTCAGTCAACACCAACACCAACAGTTCTCCTCTATACTTTACCAACCTGAACAATCAACATCTGCAATCATGTCACGAAACTTCGCAGTTCAAACAATTTACTTAAAAAGGAAGATGGTTTTTCACCCGACTGAGAAATCGCCAAAAAAATGCACCATACATGTAACGTCTTTTGATAAAACACAAAGCAATAGACAGTAGCTATTTAAACAGTGAAGATTTTTATGCTGTACGTTTCGATAAGGAGGCTTTTCAAAAAAGGATTATAAATGTGAATGTTCTGATAACGCATGTAGAGAATATCATTCGCTATTTACGGAGTGTCTATTGTGTTAGTTCTAACGTAATGTTTTATTTTCTAGACACAACTCCTCCAACAGGTTTTGTAGTTACTGGTCCACCAAGACGTACCAACAAACCCGAGGCGACATTTTCTTGGAGAACGAGTGAGGACGCAGATTTCGAATGTTACCTAAACAATCAGGTCAACTCGACAAAATGTGGCGAGGGAACCAACGGATTTGTTACGACGCAACCCCTGGAGGATGGAAAGCATAATTTCTCGGTCGTTGCCACTGATGATTTAGGGAACAAAGCCCATGTCGTGAATGCTTCCTGGACAGTAGGTAAGCACGACTATTGATGTATGTTCAAGAAACTCTGTTCATTATAAAAAGAAAAGTTTTAAGAAAAAAATTTCGGAGCTTGTGTAGACCATCATGCATTGCGCATTTAAACATTAACATCGCAGTAAAATTGCAGTAAAATCTGAGCAAATTGGCCACTCTTTATTTTGAAGTATTATGAATCGCCAATTTAGATCGGAGCTTGTGGACCATCATACATTGCGCATTTAAACATTAACATTGCAGTAAAATTGCAGTAAAATATGAGCAAATTGGCCACTCTTTATTTTGAAGTATTATGTACCGCCAATTTAGATCGGAGCTTGTGTGGACCATCATGCATTGCGCATTTAAACATTAACATTGCAGTAAAATCTGAGCAAATTGGCCACTCTTTATTTTGAAGTATTATGTACCGCCAATTTAGATCGAGAGATTTACGGAACGAGGAGACAATCGTTTTATATTTCTGAAAGTATTTGTATGTATAAATCTTGACTTGATTTTTCCGTTACACATTTCATACGAGTCTAGATATTTCAACGACACTAAATGTCAGTAATATTACAATGTAAGTGTTAAAAACAAATGTGAATAAAAACAAGCAATAGATTTACGATTATTTTCTATACTATGTTCAAAAAGTTGGTTCAGCGGGATTTTCACTCGTGTGAAAACATGCAGCAATTTTTTCTTGTATTTATTTCACGGTGATAATAGATTCATTTAAAAAACACTTTCAATCCGATGCTTTGACAACGTACAAGCATACAATGCAAATGTACAAGACTGGTTCTTCGTAGTTTAGACCAAAAATCATGACCAGCCGACAGTTTAAAGCAAATTCCGAAAAAAGTAATACTACACCTCTTCCAACTCTGCCTTTGTAAACATCACACTATTTTATTTCTATTTCTTACTTCCGTTTATTTATTTCGTGCGTTGTAAATATATATGTGTATGTATGGTTTTAAATATCATTCTGTCTGAGGATGAATTCGAAAATTTACAGTTCACTTCTCGTCTTGTTTTGATGCATATTTTGCAATCTCAAGATGTCTTGCTTTTTCGGAATTTGCTTTATACTATGGTTCTTCTTCACTTCAGATACCACTGGACCCAATATCAACTTTGACTCCAATCTTCCCAAGCACACGCTTGCAAACCCATCGTTCACATGGACATCTGACGAGATTGGTACTTTCCTATGTGCTCTTGATGGTGAGACAAACTGGGAATCGTGTGGCACCGGAAAAACTGGTACGTGGCAAGGGTATAATGTTCCAGATGGAAGTCATCGCTTTTATGTCAAAGGAACGGACGATTTGGGAAACAGTGGACCTTCGATTGTTCATAATTTCGATGTTGGTGAGTAAATATATTAATATTTCGTACTTGTAGTCATTGGTTCGCTTTGGTAGTTTCATAATTATTTTGAGTAAAAGCGATTTGGAATAGTGCCGAACAAAATTTTCCCAGTTTGTAGAACATCATTAGCTTAGATAAGTAAGATTGCAATGCGAAGTTTATTGGTTCGAAGGGATGAGAGCAGGATTAATTTTTGCCTTCCAAATACCCCCCCCCCCTCGTCCCCCCGTTTCCTCTTTCGCATACAACATAAGCTGTTTTTGTAAATTACAAAAGATCAATAAAATAGAACTGCACGTGAAGAACCTCTCTGTGATATGTTTATGGAAGTGTAAAACTCCAAACCTGTCCATTAATATCGTTGTGCGCTTAGCTATATGTTGTACCTCCATGTTAATCAAAATGTAAAATGTAAAATCTTTAAAGTCACCTCCATGTGTATTAAAACATTTGTACTTAGATGATACCATGTTGTACCTCCATGTTAATCAAAATGTAAAATTGTAAAGTCATCTGTGTATTAACATCGTACTTAGCTGATACCATGTTGTACCTCCATGTTAATCAAAATGTAAAACTGTAAAGTCATCTGTGTATTGACATCGTACTTAGCTGATACCATGCTGTACCTTGATGTTAATCAAAATGTAAAACTGTAAAGTCACTTGTGTTCAAACAACTGTTGTATTAAGTTGCTCTTCCAAGACCCGCGTGTATGAGATTATACAATTGTGCCTAACGCGAAAGTTAGCATTCCAGATGTACATTTGTATATCAGTAGATTATGCTCAATGTTGTGTCGTGAAATGATTGTTAATTTGTGTGAATTTATACGAAAAACGATTTTGACGAATCATTCAATTTATAGACAACACCGCACCAAGGGTGCGCTTGACAAGGACCCCTGAAGTATCTTCAAATCAACCGAATATTGAGTGGAAATCAACAGAACCCGTGAATTTCAAATGTTCTTTGGACGATGGCTTAATGTTTGATTGTGGAGAAAACAGCACGGTTGGATCGTGGACTGGTCGTAATCTTCCGGATGGCCCACGGAAGTTTGTCATCGTGGGAGAAGATAAGCTTGGTAACACGGGCACGTTTATATACTCATGGAGAAAAGGTGATTGGTCTGCTTAAAGTGAGCATGTTATTTTTATTAAATGACAATTTTCCTGTATTATTCCCACGGGAAAAAAGATTGATCATGAAGGAGTCATTTTGATGCTTTGTCCAAGCAGGTTTGAAGGCGCAGGTTTTTTATCATATTTCACTCCAAGCAGATTTGAAGGCGCAGTTTTTTTTGTCATATTTCACTCCAAGCAGGATTGAAGGCGCAGGTTTTTGTCATATTTCACTCCAAGCAGGTTTGAAGGCGCAGGTTTTTTTGTCATATTTCACTCCAAGCAGGTTTGAAGGCGCAGGTTTTTGTCATATTTCACTCCAAGCAGGTTTGAAGGCGCAGGTTTTTTATCATATTTCACTCGAGTCGATTTATTCCTTGAAAAAGCTAAATCTTTCCTGGTACAGAGGCTCGCTTCACAAGTTTGGACAAGTTTTTCAATTTTCTTGCAAAACAGAATGAGTACTTCTTGCTAATTTACGACCAAATAATTAATGAATTAATCGTTCGCTGGAAATATCCACTCTTCAAAATATCTTTTCTTTTGTCCTAGTACAAGCCTGTTTAGTGAGATGTCACTCATCGTCTTGATCAGTAATACTAGTAATAAATTAGTTGTAAATTTGTGATAAGTTAACGAAAATTTCTCACTTAGACACTACTTTGCCTGTTGTGAGATTTGATGCAAACCAACCGAAAGTCACCCGAAGATATCCACGTTTCACTTGGACTTCAAGCGAGGATGCAGTCTTTGAATGTTCATTGGACGATTTTCAAACTTCCCAAAATTGTGGATCGGGAAAGTCCGGCTCATGGCAGAAGCAACAAGTCGATGGCGTTTACGAGTTTTCTGTGAGAGCGACAGATATTAACGGAAACACCGGGGAGCCCGCAAAACATGTCTTTCGAGTGGGTAAGTTTGCCATCCATGTTTGTAGATGTAGGTCATCCAGGTTAGTAGTGCCTTGAGAAGTACTGTTGATGTTGATGTTGACTGACGTTTCGACATAGTCACTTGACTCTGAAACGTCAGTCGACACCAACAACAACAGTCCTTCTCTGGACTCAACTAACCTGGACGATCTACTTTACAAACATGTAACGATACCCTAGTTCAAACCATTCACTTTGACATATCTGTTTAAGAAACTATGCTAGTTAACCAGTTTTAGATTTGGAGCATTGTATGAGATGCATATAACAATGTAAACGTCCAAACATATTTTAATAACTTAATAATGTGAGATGCTTGGTTATGATATGGCTTTCTTTTATCGCAATATTTTATTTTAAAATTTTTGCATTGTTTGCCATTTACAGCGTAGCTTTGGGTTATTTTATTTCTTCAGGATAAAGGAAAGCTCAGCGAGTGCTCTCCGGCATAAAAAAATTTTTATTGCGTTGTTTTCTTTAAGACTTTTCGTGTTTTCACGGACGGGCGTTGTTTTAAGACTTTTCGTGTTTTCACGGACGGGCAAAAGAAATACTTGTGTGGTAAGATGACTTTGCCAGACTGGAAGTCAACTAATCGGCGTGCTCTATTTATCTTTTTCGTGTAATGAACGTATTTACAAGTGTTTCATGTTTCGACAACGAAACTTTCAATATATCACAAAACAAAATACCTTGTCAAATCAGTTGGTTGTAAAACACTCACGCTTTATTGCCACTCAATGATAATGCCGTATTTTCACTGATTACGTTTTTCGATTTAGACAATTCTGCACCCACCGTTGTAATACAGGCAACCAATGATCTCTCGACGTCTGAGCCTGAAATCAGGTGGACATCCAATGAGAATGTTACCTTCATGTGTTCCTTTGACGATGGAAGGTTTTTCAACTGTGGGAGTGGGAAGACTGGCTCTTGGACTGGTAGAAATGTACGTGATGGCCCACACAAGTTTATTATCGAAGGAAAAGATGAGATGTTGAACACTGGCAGACACACATTCACATGGAATAAAGGTAGAAAGATCATCGTTATCTTAGTTAATATTTTAGGTAGTGCAAAGACTGTTCTCGTTCCCTGTTGTTCATTCATCACTATCTACACTGGCATACGTTATCTTAGTTTATATTTTAGGTAGTATAAAGACTGTTCTCGTTCTCTGTTGTTCATTCGTCACTTCCTACACTGACACACGTTATCTTAGTTTATATTTTAGGTAGTATAAAGACTGTTCTCGTTTTCAGTTGTTCATTCTTCACTACCTACATTGACACACGTTATCTTAGTTTATATTTTTGGTAGTGTAAAGACTGCTCTCGTTCCCTGTTGTTCATTCGTCACTACCTACACTGGCACACGTTATTTTAGTTTATATTTGATGTAGTATAAAGACTGTTGTCGTTCCCTGTTGTTCATTCATCAATACCTACATTGACACACGTTATCTTAGTTAAATTTTAGATAGTGTAAAGACTATTCTTGTTCTCTATTGATCATTCATTATCAACTACACTGACACACTTTATCTTAGTTTATATTTTAGTTAGTGTAAAGATTGTTCTCGTTCTCTGTTGTTTATTAATCATTATCTACACTGACACACGTTATCTTAGTTTGCATTTTAGGTAGTGTAAAGAATGTTCTTCCTTGTTGTTCATTCATCTCTACCTACTCTGAAAATTTATTTTAGTTTGAGTAGCAGCAGTCATCTTTGTGTGATATCTTTTGCATTTCCTTTGTATTAGACTCTAGTGGTCCTGAAATTCAAATGGACGCCGATCTACCTTCAGTTACTCTCAGTTTTCCAAGAATAACTTGGAAGTCAAGTGAACCCGCGTCGTTTGAGTGCTCGTTTGATGGTTTTGTTCGAGATATTAAGCAGTGTGGCTACGGAAACAATGGTCGTTGGCAATCATATAAACCAGATGGGCAGTACACGTTCTATGTGCGAGGGCGTGACAGGAATGGAAACACAGGCTCAATTGGTCGTCACAGCTTTAGAGTCGGTGAGTTTATAGATCATTGAGTCTTGTAATCGTCTCTTTGTCTCCTCTCTTTTTCCAGGTTTTTTGTCGTTTTTATGTTTTGGTTTGTTGAAGAGGGTTTGAGAACTGCATGGTAGCATAAATTATCTTACAGAGAATCCCTTTGCGTGCTTAACTAAAACTAAGTTCGGGAAATTTTTTCATCGCATATTGAACCAATTACTAATATAAATCAGTACATTGGTAAGAGTATTTTCATAAGGTAGATGATTGAATTCTCAAAGAATACAACATCTTTACCATTGCAAGATTGTAGGTTGAAAGTGCGAGTTGTTTGTTTTGTTCGACAAGGAAATCTTCTTAGAAGAGTTATGGTGTATGAAGACAGAGATTTTATTTCGTCCGTTTAAAAAACAAAATATCGTCAGTTGTATTTTCGGATAGCAATTGAAGTTTTTTGACTATAGTTTCGGTGCTAGTTTAACTTCAGTAATATGCGCATGTCCATTCCAACGTTATATACAAAAGCCAATCAAATCGCCAGAATCTGACGATATTTTACATAAACTGCGTTCTATTACGAAAAGCCAAGCAAAAATTTGCGTTATGTATCAATGAGTATCTGCAGATGGTTGATGTCAGGGAGTTATTAAAACAAATATCGTTATTTTTTAGATAACACTGCACCCAAAATCACAATTGTTACCACACCAGAGATCAACTCATCCAGTCCCAACATAAGCTGGAGCTCTTCCGAAAGTGTGAAATTCACATGCTCGTTGGATTACGCACTTTTCGCGGATTGTGG